TCATGCGTGTCAATCGGCAACAGCTGATAGGCACTTGCTAGCAGCAGATCCTCGCACATAAGAATTTGCAGCTGCCACTGTCATAGATATGTCAAGCCGAGCGGCCGCTGCGGAGTTGCGTTGGTGCGACTGCATGCGATGTATTCAGGACATCGACGAACATCCTGTCACCCACGAACTCATGCCAGGAAAAGTGTATGGACGGAAAGAATTCTACGCACATCGTAAACTCCTTGAAGTATCGGCGGATGCCAGCCCAGGTACTGAGTGCAACTAGAAGCTGCCTACAGTTACTTATGTATTGTCGGTGTTGTTGCAGGTATCAGCGCAGAGCCCGAGGCCCATCTTCAAGGCGCGTCTGCTCAGACCCAGTCCAATACACCCAAAGGAGAAGCATCTTCCAAACGATCATCGACACCACCAGATCATCCTGCCATTGTCCATCTACAAGAATTGCGGGACGACCTTCTGGAAAGGAAGTCGGCTCTGGAGGAGCAGCACCGTCATTTGGTCTTCCAAACCCCACCTCATGCACTGTCACCAGCTGCTGCGGAAGTCAAAGGAGCTAGCGGTGATGCTGTGGAGATCAATGCAGGTACCTTCGGCCTCGCTTACGACGACCCCGAGAACGCGGCTCTCCTCGAGTTCGAACAGTGGCTCTTGAACACCTACGTCGATCTCGAAACATCAATGAAGAGCCAGAACATATCTGTTGCTACTCGAGCCGACTTACTTCGGATGGACTTCGGCGTCGCATTGGCGGAGGTGGAAAAGTGGAAAGTCGCAGAATGGGAATTACAGCGAACAGAGGCGGTAGAGGACCTGCGAAGCCAGAGACCGGAGCTGCCTGGCGAAAGGACATCGGTTGATACAGGTTCGATATATTGCTCCCTGTTGCAGTGACTTACTAACAGGATCTATGTAGAGCCATACGTCTTTCCGAACACTCGATTCTTCAATTCGCTAGCGCTGTTGTGTTACCTGATCGTCGGCACCCTTCATCTTCTCTGCGGACTCTCGATCAAGCGCTGCGGTTTCGTCCTGGGTAGTCTGCACCTACTCCTCACACTGGCACCTACCTTCATGGAAGGCGCAGAGACCGCACCACGCAACACAGAGTATGCTCGCATCATCTCTCAGATACCGCTTGATGCACGAACGGTGATTAAGGACCTCGCGATCTCGCCGAAGACAAAACCGTATGTTTGCTGCCGCCAGTGCTTTGCAATATACGCACTCGGGGGAGGAAGCGACTATCCAGATCAATGCACCAAGCAGTGGACAGCAAGTGGAGAGGTCTGCGGGGCTGAGTTGCGTAGGACCCGCTTGATCAATGGACAGCTGCGAACCTTCCCTGCGCGTCAGTACGTGTATCACGATTTCAAGGATTGGCTAGGACGCCTGTTGTGTCGCCCCGGCATGGAGGAAGTCATGGATCGAACGTTGGTCGATGCGGTGGAGACAGGCGATGCCGCAGAGATTGGCGACTTCTTCGATACGGAGACACTTCGTAGCCTCACTGATCCCGACGGGAAGATGTTCGTTCAATCCAGCACAATGGAGGGACGATACGTCTTCAGTATCTGCATGGATGGTTTCCTTCCGAGCGGGAAAGGCGGCAACGCCTCGGTGTCTGTCGGAGCTATATATCTCGCATGTCTAAACCTTCCAATCTCCTTGCGGTACAAAGAGGAGAATCTCTTTCTCTGTGGAATCATCCCCGGGCCAACCCATCCGTCGCAGGAACACATCAACCCACTATTGTCGCCCCTAGTGGACGACTTCCTCGATGCCTGGTATCACGGGATCCGATACACCCGGACACCCCGTTACAAGTCAGCCAGAATTGCTCGATGCATGCTGTGTCCCCTCGTCTCGGATCTACTCGCGGCCAGACAGATGGCTGGATTCTCTGGACATGGGGCTAGTTTATTTTGCTCACACTGTTTCCTAAAGCTAGACGACATCAACAACCTCGAATGGTGGCGCTGGCCGCTTCGAGTGGGCGCTGAGCAGAGGGCGGCCGCAGAGCGCTGGAGGCGAAGCGACGATCCGGATGAACGGGCTCAGCTCTTCCGTGAGTACGGTATTCGCTGGTCGGAGCTCATGCGACTACCGTACTGGGATCCTGTCAAGTTCACCGCCATTGATCCTATGCACGCCCTCCTACTTGGTCTATTACACCGTCATTGCAGTAACGTGTGGGGTATGGACTCTAGATTCAAGGACGGATTAGAGGGTCGTTCCAATGATCCGGCGAAGAATGCGCCCACAGACGATCAAGTGCGTGAGGCTCATATCATGGTCAAGACGGGTACCGATCGCGACGTCCAACGCTTGCCGAAGGAGGTAGCTAGAATTGTGTGCAAGGAACTCAAACTTGCATATTCTGGCAGGATCGGAAAGCTGCGCAATCGCCTGCTCAAACTCGTTAGTACAAAAATCCTTTCATGTATGACTACGGCTGACCAGCAATAGAGGACGGAAGTAGGGTGGCCGGCGGGCCATGGCGAAGGTGCTCCACAAGACAAAGCCGAAAATGCGCCCTCGTCATCCTGGACCCCTCTCAACGATTTTCAGCTGCAGGAGATTCTCGCTTCCCTACGCATCAAGAACACAACTCCTCTACCGGCCCACAATCAACCCGTTTTATTCAAAGCGTGTGTCCAGGCTTTAGGCGGTAGTGCGGCGCAATATAGCAAGCTTCGAGTCGGCGAGCTGCGCTCAAAGCTCGAAAACTACGTATGCTCTGCTCATGAACTGCAGGGAAGCCAAAGCTGATGATAGCTGCCGCAGAGAAACGCACGGGTGGTATCGGAGCCGAGCGACACCGACGAGACCCTCTCCCAGAAGACTGGCCAGCCTACGCAATGGGAAGTTGATTATGGGATGGCCATCTTAGACTATGGTGTAAAGTCTCATTTGCGACCGTTACGCGTCCCTTTACTCGCCGAGTTGTGCGCCAAGAAATTCGGAGGTCAGCCTTCTGGCTACCACGCTATGAAGAGAGAACAGTTATTGTACAGGCTCAATTTATGTGTCTGTATCCTCTTCTACGACTAGCATGATCACAAGCTGACGTATGCCCATAGCTTGAAGAAAGGAAGACGTCTAATATTACTCAATCGAAAGAAGCTCCTTCGGCAAACTTCCCTGTCAGCGAGACTGAGCTCATCATCGCCGATGATATATTCGAACATGGATCAAAGACTAAACTCAAGGGTCTCCGTGCCGCATCCGTGACTGCGCTCTGTATGTCCAAGCTGGGTTGTACACGACGCGAGGCCGAGAAGATGAGTAAAGGTGACGCACTCTCGAGGCTGCAGCAAGAAGTAAGTTCACAACCTCGTCACACCGCATCTGTATCACTCACAATTGGAAAGCGACATAAAAGAGGTATAACGGACGAAGACGGACGACTAGCTACGAGCCGGAGATCGCGGACCAGGGTCTTAGGTCAAAATACTCTGCGTCTCATCTGGGCAGAGATGCAGGATATAACATTGCCGTCTGAAGTCTCACGAGCGCCTTCAAAAGCAGGTGCTCCGGGTTCAGGGACCCTCTCAGCAGACGAGTGGCGGACGTTCTGTACCATCAACCTCGTCGTCACCTTGGGGTGGTCTTGGGGGACCCTTCCGAATAACAGGAGAGAGTATGCACTGTTCCGAAACTTCATGGACCTAGTCACTGCCGTCAAACTAGCGACAGCGAGGTCGGTGACTGAGAGAAGTCTATGGGAGATGCAGACGGCTATGCATCGCTACCTAACGAAGCTGCTAGAGCTGTTTCCGGGGACGACCATCAGTCCCTATCAACATATGTGCCTCGGCCACCTTCCTACAGTCCTCAAGACGCTGGGACCTGCGCATGCTATCTGGTGTTTCGTCTTCGAGCGTGCCAATTTCATTATGCAGAGGATCAAGACAAATAACCGGATAGGTATGCTCAACATTGAGGGAGAGAACTGAAGTGAATGCCATTGCTCATCACCCTTCGTAGAGGATCTTTCCGTCACTCTCCTCAATCGTTTCTGTACTCGACAGAACCTGCGGGCGCTATTTTCCCGTCTGACGCTTCCTCAAGCACTGCATAAGATCATACCAACATACATGAAGACTTTCGAGTCCGACACTCGAGGAACCCTCAACGACATGCTCTCTCTCGACTCGAAGACAGATGCGGCTCTGGACAGCGGGGAAGACGAGGACGCCGACAAGAAGACTCGGCCGCACGCTCTCACGCGCGATGTCATTAATGCAGTGCAGACACGCGTGGGCCAAGCAAGCCGTCGTGCAGTCTCTATGAAGTCCGTGGAATATCTAGGTGTTCGATACAAGCCACATACGACGTCGCGGAACGACAGCGTGGTAGTGTTCAGAACAGGTAGCGATACAGAGTGGAGAGCCGGCCGCATCCGCGAGATATTCGCACAGGAAGAAGCTGTAGGCACAGATACAACGTCCGGACCCAGACAGTGGAGAACATGGGTAATCGTCGAGGAGTATCGGCCCCTGGACCCACGTCATCGTGAATTCGACCCTTACAGGGACTTTCCCGTGGCTGGAGGGCGTCTATTCTACTCAGCCTTCATGCCCAAGTTGCTCGCCTTGACGGTCCACGACATCGTGTGTCATGCAGCAACAATCAATAGAACCTTGCCTGGGTCTGGCGATCAGTGTGTGCATATCCTACCATTGGACAAGGTACGGCTCAACTTGATATCTATGGACGAGAGACTCACTCGCGTCCATGCCAGTGGTGACGTGATAGCTGCAAATGACCGTCGTCTCTCTGATTTGCACTGTTTCGTATCTCTGCTCATACGTCAATGAAATCTCACGATAAATGTGATTCATTCACAGTACGGTACTACGGTTTATGCTACACCCTGTATTATACGTCAAAGGTAATGTCCCATTGCTCGATCCTCGTTTAGATACCGCATATCCCTTTCGTCATGCATCCTCCTCCTTTTCATCAGATTCGCCGTGAACACGTACTCAATACAAGCACGTCGAATCAGGCGAGCCCCAGTTGGTCAAAACTTGGAACACTACCTCCTCGATCTTGAGCGAGTGCACGGCGTCGTCGACCGGGAAGGTCTGAATATGCTGCGTTTCCAAGATATTGTATTCCAGCTCAGCGATAGGAACGGCCTTGAAGCCGGTGGGTATCGCAGATCGGATCGGAAACATATGCTTGACCCGGGTCGCGATGCCGGTCACTACCGATGCAGAGGCAGGTAGAATAGCCCATACAAGGACAGATCGTGGCGCTGTACGAGAATCGCGGTCGAGCGATGAAGGCAAGTGGTCAATTGTTACGTTCCTGACGCGGACGGGGTCCGAGAGCTTGATCCCGATATACCCAGATGAGCCGCCCATGGACCAGCAACTGCCGGGTTGCAGGTTGCGCGTCAGGACCGTGGAGGGCGAAAACCTCTTCTCTCCGGACGCGGAAGAGTAAGCGAACAGTCTTTCTGCGATTCCTCGAGTGTCGTAGGTCCGGGACGTCAGCTCCTTGATAAATCTTGCACCAGCAGCGTAACTGGCGAAATCTCGAAGTCCGAGGTCGTCTTGCGATGCACGGAGAAGTCGCATGTCTATCTCCATCGCGATGCGCTCCAAGGTCACCGAATTCACGGAGCCCACCGGCATACAAAGCGTGGAGGGTAGGAATTGGTGAGCGCGCTCCGGGATATGTATCTCGTAGCGACACAAGACCTGCACCAAGAGACCGACCAAAAGAATGGAAGCGGCGCCGCCGAGCATTACAATGATGCACTGCCTGGCGATGAGACAAGCAGCGACGATCATGTTGAAGAAGAGCTTGAGGAAGAGACGGGGACCTGTGACGAGCATTGCATCAACAGAAAGGAAGGGTGCGCGGTCCGGCATGTTCGACGAGGGAGCGGCTACAACAGTCCCAACGTCTTGGGGGCCGCGCCGTTCAATACCAGAAACGGCTGGTGCGGGGCCAGACGGAGGATCACTGTGACCTTGGATGTGCGCATACGGCGGTAAACCGGGCGCTAGGTGATCTCGGTCGGCTTGCCTTGCCGTCTGGGTGAATGACAGACCTTCATATGGCGCGTCATCGACATTCAGTGGCACAGCTGAGGCATTAGCGAAGTTGTCGAAGTCCTGTGCACCTGGAGAGGAGTCCTTCAGTATGAAGTCGTGATGTTCTAATGATGAGCTGCCTACGTCCGTAGTGCGGTGCATATTGGTGTAACCGCTCGGAGGGATTACCCCGAAAATCGTCGAAGACACTGTAGCCACGTAGCGTAGCGGTCCCCGAGATCCCTGCCTGTATGACGCACTGAGTCAGTTCACGCTCGCGTCTCCACAATGGTAAGAGACGCCCACCGACTGATTACCGTGCACCTTCTCATACGAGGGTGTTCGCTTCCGGAAGCGGTTGCGGACCGGGCCTGTTGTCTGTTCCATGTATGAAGCCGTACAGACTTGGATGCTGAGCGCTGAGCTTACACACTTACAGACGTCCGTATTTATATGGTTGCCCCTAGATGGGATCATCGAAGAGGACAAGAACGAGCGGAAGCGTCAGGATACGGTTACAATATGGTGGCGAGCCATGGCATGTCCCATTCAAGCACTCTTAGGGCGTTCGGTCCACCATTGTGGACAGCGGCCTCAGCCGGGGTCGCGGCGGCAGTGGGTGCGGTTGCCTAATTAGTAACAGTATTCCCATGGCAGTACATGCTTAGCGCTCAGGTCGGTTGCACAGCGCAAGTCTTGCGCACGTCCTTCTCCTCCACAGTCCGTCCGGACTCGACGCTGGATGCCCATTCACCACGCGAGATGCAATGTGTAGCTGGAACTCTGTACGTAGCCGTTCAAGATAGGTGTCACTCATAGAGGTTCGTGGATATGACTGCGAAACTGGCAGAGATCCATCGGTACGGCGCGTGGTGCTCATTGGTTAGTCGATGTACAATGCAAGCCCGAGACTCAAACTGAGGCCATGCACATCTGTACGGATCCCTCTACTTGACGTCTTTGCCTCAGTCCCGCTTCACTCCATCAGCAGAAGGGTATGGACTTGTCAAACGAGAGGGTAATCCTCACGTATGCACCACTAGACCCTGCTGCCTTGCCTGGAGATGGCTTTTACCTTCAGGTTGTCGCTTGCATCGTGAGTCGCGTCTTCGAATGCCCAAGCCTTTGTCTCATAAGCAGCATAGCGTCGCACGGTGTTGGAGCAGACGCCTACCTACTTGTTAATAACGCCAGATCCATACGAAGAATTTACCCCGTTGCCTTTCGACGATCCAGAGTGGGACAGTGATACTGGTGATGAGGTCCACAACGCGCAGGAAAACGAACATGGTGTGTCATTGTTTGACCTGGAACAGCGAAGTCTGGAGCGGCAAGCTGGCACAGCGGCCGCTGAGGCCAATGTGATTAGTGTCGATGAAGGTAGTGCCACACGTTTCGATCTTGATGTGAACAGCAATGACATAGTTTGCATAGATACTCCTGAAGAAGAAGGTGCTGAGGAAGAGGGTGGCGACGCAGCCTTGTGGAATATGATATGTCCTGCTAGCTTGGGTGCGTGCATTGCTCGTCTTGCATTTACGATGGCTGACAAGCGGCGAAGAGCACTTGCAGAAGCACCCTTCCGACGTCGCGGGCGCAAAGGAAGTCTACATAGTGCGAGTTCCATACCGCGTAAGACCCCACGATGACTGTATGCCGCTCGTATGGGATCTCTGATTAGGCCTCAGATTTCAGATAATTGGTCAATCCGCCTCTTCGTTCGGCAGGATGTCGATGGCATATCCAAGGTTCGGATCCTGAATCCCCCCCTTCGGTCGTGGGCGAGTAGCTGGACAGACTGAGTACGTACGGCCAACCATACTCATGTTCCGGACGCTGTCTCATCCGATTTAGTGATACATTGTACAACTTCCTTATCACGCTCGAACTCTGTTCTCCGCGATGAGCTCCACCCAGGATTGTTGTACTTCCCGGTGCCATAAGGACATGCAAGGGCTTGTAAGTCGCAGACGACTCCGTTGGGCTCGCCTGCCCGTACGCCCGTGCCCAACGCATTCACACACCCGCCTATCGGTGTGTGCATTCGGGCTTCCGCTATTCTGCCCACCTGTCTGCTTACCCGCACATCCTGCCACTCGCTCGCTCGCCTGGCTGCCTTACCCGCCCCATCTTTGCTCGCTCGCCTTCCCCTTAGCCACTCGGCCGCTTGTCCGTTTGCTCGCGCGCACCACCTGGTAGCTGTGTGCTCTGCCGCCATGACAATGAGCGATGGTTTATTTGATCTCGTTTATCTCTCTCACCGTCTTAAAAAATTTACGCAGGTGCGAAGGCCGCGCGATGCGTATTGGCTGACCGCTTCCACTTAGCAAGGTCAGAGACGATCCTCGAAATGAGGCTATAGAACCCAGTGCTACGGTACGGGGTGACGAAGTAAATCAAAGAACTGAGACGCAAGGGCATTCCTCTCATGGCATGGTCATCTTAGGGGTGCGAGATGGGATCTGGACGCTGCAGCCCTGGTGAAGTACGTCGTCCAAGAGCTTGCTTCACGGCCAAGTACGCAGCTCTTCCTGCGACATCGTACCCTAACTCTCTAGCAAGCGATAAAGATCTTTTACACCTCAGCGACTGCGACCTTTGCCTCCTGCTCTACTCGACGGAGCTCTTGCGAGTGGGCAGCTCGTGCTGCTCCAACGTCGCTAACTCAACAACGTCGCCAGCTCAAGCGGAGCGGGCGCTATGTACGCAGATCGATAGCAACGTGCGATCACAACACAATGCATTCGCGGTATGTACTAGTACTTTCCTTTCTTGGTCCCCTTTGTGTCGATGGAATACTTAGCCCAGCTCTTGTATCGGCCACACAAACATTTGTTACGCTCACGGGCAGCCACACACTGGAGCTCATCTGTGCGATGCCGTCTTCGTCGCAGCCACTCTTTGTACGGCAGTTCGATGGACGCATGTTGTGAGTCACCCTTCCGTTGGCTGAACGTAGACATTCACTGACGTGAGTGGCATATGCATAGACAGTACAAGGTCTTGCTCTGCGTGAAGTTGACGAACTGCCTAGCTGCGAGCCGGCCTGGCATGTTCACTGGCCCCGAGCAAGAAGGGACGATGCTGGTTGTTCAGCTACCGGACCCGGGAATGTGTGAGGATCTCATTCGATTGTGCGTTCACTTCGTCTCTCATCGCAGGTACCGGTTTAGATGGCATCCTACTGAATTTCCTGAACCATGAAACCGGGCGGCAGGTGTACTTCAAAACCCTCATTACTCCACTGGTTCATTTCGTTATCTACGAGGTAAGCCACTTAACGTGATGGCATCTGCGATGTACATTAATACGATGAGCAGCAACAAATGACGATTCGTTGGAAGGCTACTGTCCCTGTCCATAGTCATTATTTGACCGCCCTGGAAAACCGTGAAGACTTCTGGTCCGTCTTACGATGCCTCGGAGACTGCAAGGCGGACGTGCAACGCCGACAAGCTGCAACGATAGAGCACTTGAAGTCCCTCGAACGCACCTTCAACGCCATAGCAGGAACTCGACTGGATGTAGTATTCCAAGATATAGGCAAGCCGGTACACGTCTCGCTTCTCAATCGCTGCCTATTCATGGTGGCGGGATGGATATGGGTTCTGATCGACATCCTTGCTTCCGCATACAATTCCCTACGCCGCAACGGGCAGGAGTCATCGTGAGGTCTGGATTTCTGGGCGAGTCCATGTCTAATTGCCGGCGTCTGTATGACGAAGAGTGCCATGCCATCGTACCCTCACTGTATTGTATATGCGCATCTCATGGGCACTTGAATTATGGTACTATTGGTTCAAAACCGTCATGTATGTTCTATGCGCGTTTGCTCCGTCAAGTTGCAACGACTCCCTATGAATGTCGATTTCGATCTCACGTTGCTGTCACTCAATCTCAGCACCTGTGGCTTGGCGTCGCGCCTGTAAGCGCCATTCACTTTAAACGGTTGCGCGCGCGTATCGCCTTCCGTGTCCCGACGAATGTCTCCGTCGTCGACCTGGAGGAGGAGGTCGCTCGAGTCGCTCGACATTCCCGCCTCGTCACGTGAGGTGATCCAAGCCGCCGCAAGTCGCTCGACCGCGGGCGCCGGGCGGCGGCATCATCGCGCACACGGGCAAGGAGGTCCACCAATCTCATCGGCAATAACCACCCATCTATCTTCGACACGGACGTGGGCATCCAGTTCACGCTCACGTTCGTCAAGCTGATGGCGTGGTACGGCAACGATTGGAGCTACTCCAAGCGCGTCTGCGACCTCCTTGCGTACGCCGCGGCGGATAGCTCTGTCGCTCCAAGGGCCCGACGCCAGACCGACCTGGTGCGTACTAGGGCGCATCACAGCGGGTGACTTCAATTGAGGCAGCGGGCACTTCTACTAGCGCCCCTGACTTCTACTGTGAACGGCGACTTTTACTCGTGCCCCCGACTTTTACTTCAAGAGCTTTGGTATATATACTCCCAAATCCGGCATGCCCTACCGCCCTCTTCGCGGTCACGACCTTGCCGCGCTCTGCTCCTCCCGCATGGAATCCCCACCTCTGCACGAGGAGGATGCAGCTTCGCAAGCTCCTACAGAGTGATGTGAGTGTACGGCTTTGGCTACGAAGACGCGCGTTGAGTGCTCTCATCCTCATTCTTCACACTATCTAATGCGTGCTGCTCGAGCTCTCGGCCGACCCTATGAGGAGGTGCAGCACTGTGGACTACATCATCGCGCTCTTGCTCAAGTCCCCGTTCAGCCGTCTGGACAGCACCACACTCAAGGACCCTCTATCATATATCATCGTTGAGTCAAACGGTGGTCCCCGGGCTCGAGCGCCGTTCATACAGTCTGGCCAGCCACTTCTCTCACCTATCCTCAACAGGCTGAGTATCGCACGGAGTGATATGATGGGCGGCCCAGCGCCTTCGAACGGGGTCACCAGCACTGTACGACGCACGTCGTCCTTCGCCAACGCGCTCAAGAGTCTTACGAGTAACATTGCCTTCCGACTAAGGACAATGGCCGTTTGTCGCCGCGCCCTGCATTGACTGGTGAATACCCGCCATTTGGTAATATCATACGTGTTGCTTACCATGTTCATCAGCGAACGTCCCTGAGATTGAACGAAGTCTTCGTGAGACCTGAGCGAGGTCCCGTAGGATCACAAATGACACTCTCACCATCGGCACTCGAGCCTGTCGATGTTGTGGCATCTGTCTTCTCCTCGGCATCCACACCAGCATATTAGCACCCCTGCTCTAGCCCAGTAGAGGCCGTTCACCCGCACTCATCCTGTGCTGTCGACGAGGTCGAGGACCTATTCGAAGAGGCCATCGACCGTCGCACCGAAACTTGCATCAGCGCCCGTTGAGATATCGCCGCCGCTCTCAACGCGGCTCGGCTCGGCTCTGGGTAACGCTCGTCGGAGACAGACAAGCTACGGTACGTAACTTAGTCATGGTCGGGCCCGGTGTCGTGGTGGTGCGAGGCGTAGCGGTCGGGCCCAGCTTCCTGTCAAGTCGTTGTAGTTGCAATCGTCGTCGGGGCCGCTGCTCGCGTCCGAGTCAGACTCGGGCGCGCTCGAAGTCCACGCCAATATTGAATATGGGCGATGGCGTCGCTTCCGAAGGGGGCTGCAGGTAAGTCTGCGAACCTATCAACGAAATGCGCGGGTTCGGGCATCGAGGACCTTTATCCGGCTCCGTCCCATTGGCAGCGGAAGGCACCGCGGAAGGCCCGTGTACGTAGAACTGATAGTGGGCACCGGCAACATGACTGCGAAAGGTTGTGGAGAGCTGGTATCGCCAGGAATAGCGAGAATATCAAGCTTGGGAAGGGTACACGGTGGAGTCCCAGTCAGAGGCCATTGGGACGGTCTGTGGGGAGACTCGGACTGCGGTACGTTTTCGTTGTGATACATTCTCACTGTGGTACATAGTACATACACTATGCAACCTATAATACACACCGCGCATTGCACATACATGCACACCCCTCAAACAGTGTACATCGCCAGGCTACTTTTGATTCATGTCAGTTGACTGACTTTCGACGGATGAGGCACACTTACATCTTTGAGCCCCACATCCCAAGCATCAGACCATAGGACGATCGATATGGTAAGGTATTCCGAACAACATGCGTGGGTTGATGACCTGGACCGCTAGCAGCACGACGTAAGGCTGAACAGAGCCGGCCATCCTCTCCATCCGATCTCTCTGCGCTTGCATCTCCGAGGCGAATTTCTTTCCGAAGCCGACAGCAGGAAGATCGTCCCAGGACACGAGGGCGTGAGATGCCACTCGTATGCGGTCGCACTTCCGTGTTTGCATCGGGTTGTGCTCGACAACCATGTGGAACGCAAACTTCTTGCGGGCATCAGGGAGACCAGTGGACCTTATCACTGAAGCTACGAGGTCCGTGACGGAAGGGTTGTTACCAAACCAAGCATTTACATCATGCAGCAAATTCGCGTCTGCTGGAGTCTGCTGGATATGGCGAAGTCTGGTGCATTCCAGCTTGTGATGGCCCCAGTCCTTCCTTTGGCAGGTCTTCGACTATTGGTGGGTCAAAGAAGAAGAGATGAAGGTAAGCACGCTTTGCAAGACGAAAGATGCGGCGTACGTACACAATATCGGGCAATTTCACATCCTTTACACCGCTTCAGGGCACAGTCCAAGTCCGATTTGTGGCATTGCGGTTCGTTGCACAAATACTTGTGACGACCAGCCGTAGAGCTCGACATTTGAGGAGTGGCGTATTGTGGCGACCACAGACAAGTACTGGTGGTCGTTATATGCGGCATTCGTCAGCGGCTCGTTCTCATTTCCCATTGTTGTCTTCAGAAGGCAATGATGGCGAGACGCCATGAAATAGCAATGCATTATCTGATGTGGACGATATCCTTACACGGGAAGTTAAATCATGTGTTCCAGCTAGGTCCATATCGTTAGGGCCGGTTGGGCCCCGCGCCTTTCGAACACATAGCGGCGGAGACCAGCGGGTTTGATATAGGTTGTTCGACCTCATATCCTACACACGGCGCTAGTGTGGATGAGGAGGAGTCCGACGACCTCCGCCCCTATACTACGCACTTTTTGTGCGGGGCCTGGCAACGATGTGGACTTAGCTGTCACGTTGTCGCCCTCGCCGTGTTCTTCTGCCAATATTATGATAGTGAGTGTAGCTTTTTATGGTGCCAGTAGTGCGCCGCACTGCTCACGCGCCCTCGCCTCCTCCAGCCGTCACATAGACGCGCTCACGCTCTTCCTTTTGCATACCCGCTCCATCCACGCCAAATATCCGTGGCTGTACCTATATCCACGCGAGTCCGCACCCTGGCCATCCCGCTCCGTCGAGAGCAGTGCGTAGGACAGGCGAGCGAGCGACGCGATCACAAGATGGGCCATGCGAGACCTTGGATGAGGTGAATAATCGTCGCCGAAACTGAACTGGGTACGAGCAACGCTTGGCTCACACATGTCGCCATTCAGAACCACTCGATCTATTGGCGGCAGTGCGACGACGACGTTTGACTCAAGCGTTTTCGATGATTGCGTAGACTGCGGGCCTGATGGTCGCATGCAGAGTGCATTGGTGGATTCTGTTCACATTGTCGCCCCCGCCGTGTTCTTTTGTTAACACAGGACGCGCGCACGCTATGTCGACTGCCCGCCCGTTTTATTCACCCCTCCCACCGACGATTTGCGCAGGCTCGGTGTCGTCTCTTCCTCCCGCCATGCGCTTGATGAACCTGCTGCGAGCTCCTGTCGCGTGACACCATCTCCCTCGAGCCAGCGGTCATCTCGGCAATGTACTGCGCAGATTGGGTGCTCCTTTCACCCTCTCCCCAGCTTTCGGGTAGCCTCGAATTCACCGTCGGACGTCCTCCGCCTTTTCCGCCCAATTGCCGCGACGAAACCGGAGCCATTCCGCCCGGCCTGCTATCTTCGAGGATACCATACGTGGGCGTCGCCCTGTCTACGAGCGCAGGTACTCTGAATCACCTTCACTCGTTGAACGACACGGCCATCGACCGAGACGAACGGTTCGCTGACCCCGAGGAGGCGCGCCGTGGGTAACGCCCGGCCGATCCAATCGGGCGCTCACACATCGATCGACGGGCTCCTATTTAGAACCTTGGATGCTTACCGCCGTCGCACAAGCGACGTAGCACGACCGACTCGGGCTCTTCATTGTCGGGGGGGGCACTGTTCTCCTGTTCTCCCGATGCGGACGACAACATCGCATCTACCACCCCTCGTACACGCATACTCGTACCCGAGTCTGCAATACTAGTACTACGCACAGCTGTCAGGCAGATCTGTCCCCTTCGCTACGATCATCCTCTACAACCTGTCCTCGTGAAGCTCTAGTGTCTCTGCATCCTCATCAATGGCCTCCCCCCACCTGGATATCCACGAGACGTACGGCCTGTTAATGCTGGGCTGACGGGCAGAGAGTACCCAGAGGAGAGGGTGCGAGAGGAGTCCCGCGCGACGCCGGACGACCTCAACTGGATACGCCGCAGCAAGACGCTGAAGCTGAACCCAGCTAAGTGCGCGCTCCTGGTTGAGCAGCTCCGCAGGAACACTGAAACAGCACAGGACATAGGTTACATTCTCGTGGACATCCGCGGCTTTCGGTGCACTAATGGGGACAACGTCTGGAGTAACGCCACAAAGCTCGTCTCGGTACGTGTGCTCAATCCTATTCACAAGGTGCCTCGCTGAAGGTGTCGGTATCGGTAGCCTGACCTTGCGCCGCATCATGCGCAAGCCGGACCTACCGCGCCTCGGAAGCGCGACGCTGCGCTTATCCAAGGAAGACATCACCGTCTAGCACCAGTACTTCGTTTTCTGCCAGGACGAGCGACACGCCTCGTTAGTAACCGCGAGCCTGAGGCTTGTCTGGTCCATCTCAGCCTCGCGATGTCCTTTTGCGACATACATTCCGACTCCACGCTATTGAGGCGTGCTCACGGCTGTACCTGTCCTGCTCTACGAAGACCGTTCGCCCTCTGCGTGATATAGCCAAGGTCGCTCGCCTGCAGTCTGGCCCTCAATCTACGCATGCAAGCTCTTCCGTCTCGCGCCTCTTGCCTCTTCGTGCTCGCTGTCCTGGCGCCGTCTCGTGTCCAACCCACGTCCAAATGGATCACGCGTAGGCAGCTGTGTCTGCCGTGCCCCCGGTTCTCTTTCAATGCTGTCACGGCTCGGGGAAAAAGGCGGGAATATTGCTGGTGTGTGGTCCGTCCAGGTTAGTTGATCGTACCCATGTTTCGGCGCGTACCATTGACAGAAGTTCGCATCGCCTATAATCAGTCACACAACGCGACTGCGACTGCGTGGCCAGTGCAACCGTACGGACCCGACTTGCTCCGGGGATGTTCCTCGCCACGTGAGTACACTTTCCTTGCGCATTACAGGGCTCACGGCTCGGCAGATCGTTTCGGGCTTGCTACAGACGGCGGACATATTAGTACTGAACCTCCCATTTAATTTCTTTTTTCCAAATCTCTCTCCGCTGCGCCAAGCTCGTTGCTAGGCATGCGCTCCTGCGTGAGCGCTGCTGGTGAAGTAACACACGCGGACATCATCCTCGCCATGTCGGTGCTGCGTTCTCGAATCTTGACGTCGTCCTTGCTGCGCTTAACGCGCCTCCGTCGACGTCTCATGCGTGCTGCCGCCCAAGTTTGGTGGCTACAGTCAATTTTCACGAGTCTGACGAGCGGGCCATATGGGCCCTCAATATTCAATGGTGGGCAGCCGCAGTGCGGTATGCTACGTGCCGACGTCAACAAAGTATCGAATGTGATGATAGCCACTTAACGTACTTCACAGTTAACACAAGGATTCTTTCTGACACGTCACATTACCGACGCATCACGCTACGTGGTCGGCCTGATAGGTCGTACCAGTCTGTCCTTCCTCTGATTCCGACGGACCGACACCATATAGTAAGCCACCGGCGACAATTCAAGAAATCGGACCTTCTCTGCATCTCTCGTCCCCGTTCTGTTCTCATGGCTCAGGAGGCAGACATCGCTGACGAGCTGTACTCTGAACAGCCCTTGTTCATCTCGTCTCGGTGCCCATTGGCACCAGAACCCGAAGTCAAATCACACGAAGAGGTCGTCGCCCCGGTTCGTGCGATGGCACAGCAGATGTTTAGCTCCGGTGCTTTGTCTGCTGCTTATTACATCGGGGACGCTCTGCAAATTGCCCTTTGGCTGTTCAAGAAGCCGCTGGGTGTCCTCATTTTTGGCATGGGCCTGGCGGTCCTTTGCAATTACGTTGTCGGGAAGATCGGTGACATGCTATCCCCCGTCTGTTTGGTTCCGGTCATCTCAACCACCCCGTTCTGCATTCATCGCACAACATTCTCACCCACCGTGAACAAGGCGCCACACTCGGCGGATCTGGACAAATCGATCGGGCTGCATGGTAACTTTGGGGGCCTCCTAGATACGAACGCGGACGCGGGCGACATAGGTACGAAGCTCCTGCAGTCGGAGATTGCGACGCGCGACCTGGTCACGCTCGTGCGTGTCAGTGACCTGCGCAGTCGTAACATGCTCGCAGGAGCTCTGGTGCAGCTTGTGGAGGATGCAAAGAGGACAGGAGAAGGATTACATAGTCTGAATGCAACGATCAACGGCGCAGTAGAACGGTGAGTCTGACTCGTACGTTGGAGAACACCTGGCTCACCACAGAATTTAGCATCACGGTCGTGAACGATTACGCTATGAGCACAATGTCTGCCGCGACGGTCGATGACAGTCCGTTGTCGTGGATCGCTACCACTTTCTCGTTTTACTCCGGCACTCCGAAGGTCGTCATTGTCCAGTCATACAGAGATGTAATGGAAACACTGGCAGCGGAGACTGAGCGCGCGCTCCTGGAGGCATCTATCAGCGCCGCAAACCTCGAGAGGCTCCAAGAACACCTTTTCACAATTCACGAAATCTGCGTGAGGGAGGGACTCTCCCTGAGTGACGCGCGCGCAAAGCTGCTTTCCGAACTATGGTCGGTTCTCGGAGGAAATCGCGACGCGCTGCGCAAGGCTGAGGGACGACTTACCCTCCTTGCGGAAGTCGACCAATATACGTGGTTATGACGCGCGACGTGCTCAAGAAGGTGGCAGCGGATGTGGAGGAGCTGAGGGACCGCTCGGCCGCACCTCAAATTGTCGGTGAGCGCGTGCCGGTGGAGGTTTGATCCGAAGCATTGGCCAGGGCATCGAGAGGCTGCAGCAAGGGCGCCAGAGAGCGAGCGGGGGAAGGCATGCAATGGACAAATTATTGGCGGCGCTCAACGACGGTGCATAGCGTAAGTACGGCGATGTACGTTCTGGCATGTATCGTCAAAGGTAGCACTAGGATCAGTCGCATATGCTTACATGTGGTCTATATTACAAGAATGCACATTGACTTACGCAGTCCGTCCGTCTCTTCGAAGTGCTGATGATTTGGAGTACTATCATAAGCAGAATGGCGATCTGAGAGAGGCGAGGCACGCAGAGGTTGGTCCAACTAAGTTAGTAGCGTAGTGCAAGGTTTAGGCACGCAACGCTTCTCTCGTCCACGTCTAAGTAGAATCTTCACCGACCCTTCGGTCGTCTTTTCGCCCACCCACCTTTCCCTTCTCCGCGAGATCTCGCCCCTTGCATCTCAAGTCCCAGGCAAGGTGTACCTCATTGGCTCGATACGTTTCCTCCCCGCGACATGTGAACGGCCACGCGATGAAGCTGCCGGCGGGGGTAGCTCCCGGGCACCCGCACCATAAGGCCGCACTCTTGCTAGATCTCGACGCTGTCGACGTCGAGGCCGGCGTGGATACTGAACAATCCGCTACTGTTTCTTCCTTGAACATATACGCACTCGTCCGACTGCCCCGCTAGAGCCAACAGCTAGCCGCTGCGTCCGCACGCACTCGTCTCCGCCCATATTCAGCGACATCCGCTCATCGTCTGCGGACAGTACTAGTCATCCACACTCAATCAGGTTCGACAACAGGCTTACATATATATCCTCCTCGACTCAGCTAGACGACCCATTCTGTACCTCCAGCCTCCGTATGCTAGCGGTAATGGCAGCGCACCCAGCATCGATAATCTACGTGCCCTCGCCAACTGCACACCCGCAGAACTTCTCTTCCTCTCTACCATAATCACGCCTCTCCTCCGGCGAGACTTCCTCAATTATCTTCCCGCAGAGCTCGCTTTCCACGTTATGAGTTCCATGACGACCCGAAAAGTCCCTAGGGCGAGCAGGGTCAGTCGTGCATGGCAGCAACTCCGGGACGCCCAATGATTATGGCGGTGTATGTGCGACATCCATCACTACCCCTTTCCCGAAGACGAGGAAGGCGAGGAGAGTTGCTCCGACGATGTCATCTCCAACTTTTCAGGTGCGTAGCCCAATTACCTTCCTCTCAAATACTTATTCATCCAATGTGTGCCGGTTCCCTTCAGTTGCTGCTCCGACAGTATCAGCGTTAAGCGTGCAAGAGCTACCTTCGTATCTCCTCCCCACACCTCCGCGCTTCTCCTATTGTAAGCACTTCCGTTACGAATACACTACCAGTACGTGCAGTTTGATCATGCGTCACCGGCTGATCCTCATCACGCCTCTCCTTGCCCTCCGTATCAGCTTCAAACTGTGTACACAGTGTGAAGCTCCTTCGAATGAACCGGATACCACTGCTCCCGTCTTGACAAATCCCGTTACAGGACCCTTCCGCGGACCATCAAAGACCATCAAGCCCCACAGGGCACACAGCCGTCGGCCGTCATCCCCACTTCCGTTGCGATAGGCGACAACTGGTTCGCCGTCGGGCTGGCGAAAGGCCGCATACATGTCTTCAATGCCCGAACAGGCGTCTTGAGCCGAACATTGGTGGGCTATGCGAGTGGTGTTTGGTGAGTTTGGTGTGCGGAAGTGATGGCGCAAAGAGTGCCTTCTCGACCAGGCACGGCCGAGAAACCGAGAACGAAGAAGACCTCATCGACATTGAAGAGATGGACACGGATTTCGACAAGGATTTCGTCGACCCAACGGACTATGATCTATCGATGTCGCCCGCGCTCCGGCATGCACTTGGCTCGACCTCGGAGCGATCAGTGGTGCGAAGCAGCCGAGACGGCGCTCGGCGTCGGGCGTATTCAGTTGTGCGGGCGCCCAGAAGAGCGGGAGGTCAGAGGCACGACCTACGCCGTTTGGTCATCCAAGTGAACCGAACGGAGCGTCGGATGGATGGGGCCAGCCACATGCACTGGTGGTCAGTGGCGGATGTGACAAGGACCTCAGAGTCTGGGACGTCAAGTCCAGGTACGCTACGCCGGCTGTCCTCGCTGTGACCTAATTGAAATGACCTTCTAAGTCACTGCATCTACGTCCTCTGAAGCCACACGTCAACTGTCCGCTGCCTCAAAGTCCTTTATGGCCGCCCAATCGCTGTTAAGGATTCGCGCGATTGCACCGTGCGCGTTTGGGACATCCAGAGGGGGCGGTTGTGCGCACGCTCGAGGGGTACGAGCAAAGCGTGCGCTGCCTCGACGTGCGCGACCGGCGCGTCGTGAGCGGGAGCTACGACTGCACCTGCCGTGTGTGGGACATTGAGACAGGGGCCTGTATCCATGTCCTGAGGCGTCACTTCCACCAAATTTACTCTGTCGCGTTCGATGGAGTGAAATTCGCCAGTGGCGGCTTGACACCACCGTCAGAGTGTGGGATGCCGCAACTGGGTACGCCATATGCCGCCTTGGCCGAAGTGCTCGCTCACTCAGATTGTTTCAGGGCGGGCCTCGCTCTTCTGCGAGGGCACACCGTGCTTGTCTACCAGCTTTGGCTCTCGCCGACCATGCTTGCCACCGGCGACGGACAACCTCAACTTCGGCCCCTCCCCCGACTCCACGGCCGCGAGCGGTACAGACCCGTTTTGTTCGCGTGATCTTCGCGCCTCGGCGCGGACGACCACGAGCATAAGCCGGAGCACCTCGAGGACACGCTGTTTGACTTGTACGCGACTTCCAGAGCACGGAGAAGGGGTCTTGGGACAGTGTGTGGGAAGCCGTTGCACGCAATCCAATAGGTCTCTCATAGTCATAATCATATTCGTACTAGCAGGACCATAATCAATGCACAAATTGAAACATATTTGACTGATACAGGAAACACTAGGAGGCACCTTGAACGGCTTTCACTGCAGGCTCTGGACTAAGGATGCAAACCGGCCGTTTGAGATAGCGAGCACCACTACACCAAGAGCGAGTCCACCAAAGATCGCCCCCGCAGCTGCAGCCATCCCGGCACGAAGGAGGTAATATGCGGCGGTTGAAGCAAGGGAGGAGCGCCTCGCCGAACGACGTTCCTTCTCCTCGCTCAGAAATGAACGGAATGATCGGATCTGCGCCTCAGTGTCACGCTCCCGACTTTCAATGTCGGCCGTGTGACGAGCGAAGCATCCGGCGATCATCCACAACGTCTTGCTATCCTCCGCCTTGATCATAAGGTACTCGTCCTCCTTGCCTGGAACCTTGCCGAAGATGGTGAGAGTGCTCTAACATATGTGATCAGTTGATTAGTATTCTGCTGGCGAAGGTAGCCATGGTACCTGATTCACATAGATGACCATGTCCTCAGGGATCGATCGAGTGGGCATCCACAGCAGTGGCTCGTATCCTTCATCTGGCTGCGCAAACAGGACATCTACACAGGGTCAGCCAGCTCGACTTCTTTGAGACATCTCCAACTTACATGGTCCTGCAGTCAAACGAGCTACGATCAGCTGCGCCGGGTCCCACTGTTCAAAATGCTCGTGCTGTATCAAGTCTGCACAAAAGTGTAGCTTGGCGTCAGCCACATGTCCGTTGAATAGAATCTCCTCGACCCTGTCGACGCCTCGTTAGTCCCCTAATAAGGTAGGTGTTATTCGCAGACTTACCCTGGAGTGTTCTCCTTGAAGCGCAGGAGTCGCGGGACATACTTCATGACCAGGCTGGACGATGTTTGTGGCATACTTCCGACCGCCGGGAGGCAGGGCAGGAACAGATCGAGAAGGACTTTATATCGCGATGAATATCACTACCTAATCATGGTTGCTTTGTCTGCGGAGCTGCCCATCAGGGATGAACAAAGGTAGCGTAAGGTCAGCTTACAATCGGCGGCAAGAGGCTAGCATTGGTTCTCGGTGAAGCTTCGTCCTAAGGGTTGGGAGCATCCTCACCAGTTGTCGAGCCAACTGTCGAACCTCGGAGCGTGCGCTGCGCGGGAGGCGCGTACGAGGGCATGGACCAAGTTATCGAGCGGGTGCTCGCGCGGAAGAATTGGAGACGAGGAAGCAAACGGCATGACAGTGCTGGTATGAGAAGATGAGAACACGCCCACCAACACACCTGATCTCGGGACCCCACCAGCCCAAATGAACAAATGTTCAGCTAACTCTGTCCCGACATTCTCGACGAAGCGAGCGGGGCGCCGGCTAAGTCCCATTGCCTACAGGTAGATTCAGCGGAGGAAGATGGCGGAAAACGGGGGCGACTTACGACACGGCTACTTCCAGATGTGCCCTTGATATTTGGCAAGTCCGTCCGACGGGGAGAACGCGAGCGTCGGCAGCCGCAAGGACTCGACAGCACGCGTATGTACACGGGCGTTGTACCAACACGTGCATATGCGGCGTCTCCGCGCGGGCAAGGCCTACTTAAATATCACACTCATTGCAAGCGTCTGCCGACTGTGCGTCTGCAGCAACGAAGGCCCCATTACTTCGTTCCCGGGTGATAGGTCGCGACCCGTACGGTCGAGTGGAGCCCAACATCCCGTACCCCGTGCCCTCACCAACGGTTGGAGCACGGTAGCTGCGCCTACTGACGGCCCAACGCCGACAGACGCCGACTTCCATCCGCCTTGCCACGTCGCCGCCTGTGTGAGTCTTCACTACTGCTACCTAGCCTTATGCTTACGAAGGGATATGTAGGAGGAGTTTGAGAGTGGCTCGCATGGGATGAGGAAGTCATCGGGCCATTCAGACGAGCCCTTCTGCCTTCATACGTAGGGCACAATCTGCCTAGCGGAGGCTTGGGTTTCGGCACGGGCAGGAGGAGGAGGAGGAGGAGGAGGAGGCGTGTTGCTCTCTCTTCAAGTGGGCGCGCTGACTAACCAGCCTGGCCCAGCACCTCAATTCTGTTGCTTGACCCCGTGCTGTGGAGGATGAGAATAGACCTGTGCAAGGGCGGACGTCGGGCTGCCCGCGCAGTAGCCCGAGACATTGGCAAAACGAACGTGGAAGGCGGACGGATGGTTGGAGACGGCAGCAAATATACTCATCCGCACAACGTTCTGCCCTGAAAAGGAGGCCCACCGAAAGCGTTGAGCAAGGCATCCGAAGTACGTCGGCCGCTTAGTTGCATGGGTGCGTGCGACGATGGATTCGTCCGCGCGCGCGGGGCCATTCGTCCTCGGTTTCCCCTTGGTTCGGCTGTCTGCTTGTTCGCTCACCCGTTCAGCTGCCTACTCGCTCACTCACCCGTTCAACCGCCCGCCCTCCGTCGCCATCTTACCTGCTCTCCCTCACCCTCTCGCCATCGCCCTCTTGCCCGTTTGCCCGCTTTGCTGCCTGCCCACAAATCCATTTACCTGCCACACGCTCGCACTCTTGCCTACAACCCTTCTAGTATGCGCCCTCTCGCCCGTGTTCCCGTGCACCTGACCACCCACTTGGCATTCATTTACAAGGTACCTCGCTGCAGGTATCGGTATCGGTAGCCTGACATTCCTGTCGTCCGGCGACTGGACTCGACGCAAGTGAATGGTCCTGGCTTCCTCGACGCCGTTGAGATGCGCCGCATCATGCGCAAGCCGGACCTACCGCGCCTCGGAAGCGCGACGCTGCGCTTATCCAAGGAAGACATCACCGTCTAGCACACTTCGTTTTCTGCCAGGACGAGCGACACGCCTCGTTAGTAACCGCGAGCCTGAGGCTTGTCTGGTCCATCTCAGCCTCGCGATGTCCTCTCGCGACATACATTCCGACTCCACGCTATTGAGGCGTGCTCACGGCTGTACCTGTCCTGCTCTACGAAGACCGTTCGCCCTCTGCGTGATATAGCCAAGGTCGCTCGCCTGCAGTCTGGCCCTCAATCTACGCATGCCAGCTCTTCCGTCTCGCGCCTCTTGCCTCTTCGTGCTCGCTGTCCTGGCGCCGTCTCGTGTCCAACCCACGTCCAAATGGATCACGCGTAGGCAGCTGTGTCTGCCGTGCCCCCGGTTCTCTTTCAATGCTGTCACGGCTCGGGGAAAAAGGCGGGAATATTGCTGGTGTGTGGTCCGTCCAGGTTAGTTGATCGTACCCATGTTTCGGCGCGTACCATTGACAGAAGTTCGCATCGCCTATAATCAGTCACACAACGCGACTGCGACTGCGTAGCCAGTGCAACCGTACGGACCGGATTTGCTTTGGGGATGCTCTCCTCCAGGTTGCGCCGGTGGAGACAGGCCGGTGGAGACAGTTGAACTCTGAGCATTAGTATCCGTCGTCGTACGAACAGAGAGGCGGGATCTAGAGCCACCACTAGTCGTGCGTACTGTGTTTTTCATATACTCAGTACCTGTGGGGAACACGCTGACCGGCCGAGCCTGTGCCGAGCGCTCGGGGTGGCCCACTTTTGGTCGACGACGCTTCCGACGTTTAAAATTACTCCTAATAATGACTGGATTGTTTCGTGCCACAATGCAAGTACTGGGCGATCTACATTGTTCAGAGCCAACACCTATATACACGACTGTTCGCCCTCGACACTGGCGTGCCGACGCGGAACTGCCTGTGATCGCCCTCCAACATGCCCGTGCACGCATTCTGGTGAGACCTTCAGACCCACTGTCCTCGGCAATTACTGACTGCCCTAGGGGAGTGACGCTCAATCCTGATCAAACCATCAGGATTTCGCCGGAGATCTATGACGTCCATATCACCCAAGCCGCTTTGAGTGGCGCGAGGGCCGCGGGCGATATCACGGTTATAGAGCTGGCATGGAATGCAAGCTCTAGCACCCAGGCTGTCGAGGAAAGTTCTGTGGTCTTATGCTCTTTGTATCCAGGCATGGTGCGTGCTAAAGACACAAAGATTCACCAACGAAGCTCACCGTGTCCGTGCAGAGCGATCAAGTCGTTCTCAACATCTGGCTAGCTGCGCGACAAGAGTATCGGATTAAGGCCAGTGGCAGGACGTCAGTGGCTCAAAGTGATTCCTACAGGCCTTATATGCTGACTTGTCGCATTCAATCTAGCTCGGTTTCTTTGCTGGGCTACTACTGTGGTACGTGGATGCGAATATGATATGACGAACTGCAACCAACTTGGACCGGTTAGCCCCCGATGCCCCGGGTTCATCGCCTGGATCTGGTTTACATATTGCCCAAGCATTGACGACAGCATCTGGGTAATTGGACAGCTTACTGCTCGATGTGTCCGTTCTGACTGTTCGTTTTTGTAGGGCAGCGCCAGGACCGGTCCAGCAGCATAATAAGAACAAGCGTCCACGACTTGACGACGATGGTTCGGAAACCAGCCGCTCTGCCGGTGCTTCGACGAGCACGGCAATTGCGCCAGCTAATTCCGCTGCGGGGGGCAGGACCAGTGGACTAGCCAAACCTGCTGCAAGTCTCTTGGGTTCCACAACCCGCGCTGTATCAGACAGGGCAAGCGGACCAGCAGGATCGGCGAGACCTAATGCAACACTCCCCAATCGCGACAACGTCGGACCTTCAAGTGCGCGCGAACGTGGCGATGCACCCAAGCGCAGCGATGTCGGCCCTTCGACGAGCGTGGGAGAACAGTCCTCCAACAGTTCGCGCGAGCGTAGCCACCCGTCTCAGATGACCAAGGGACAGAAGTTGAACCCGGCCTCGTCTGCGACACGGATGGAGCCACTCAACGTGACCCCCGGTGCCGGCGATGGATTGGCATTCGGCGATGTTGTTACTCTTTCATTCACTGTCACTGTCCAGGACACAAACGCGGTCGTTATAGACTGTCGGACGAACCCAGTACGTAGTCGCCCTATTGCAACCGTTGTGGAGAATAACCCGACTACCCAGATGACGGTTACAATGGGTCGAGAGCACGTATTGCCGTACATACAACACCAGATGGTCGGCATGAAGGAAGGGCAGCACGCGGTTTTCGTGACGCCGCCGCGTCTAGCATTTGGAAATGCGCCTCGCAAGATGGGTGGTAACGTTGTGCCGCCTAATTCGACTCTCATCTGGGGTCAGTCGTCCGACTTCGGCATGGCGTGTTGTAGCTCACTGATCTGTCTCGCAGACATAGAAATCTGTGCCATCCACCGGACGCCATCTGAGGATGGGCTCGGCGGAGGTATGTAGTGATGTCAGAACTCAGTAATCAATAACTCGACGGGCGCCACCGAGTGCCGCACTTGCTGGGTACCCACGTTGCGATCGTCAGTAGCACAGCACGCCGATCACCGAGGCTACTATGGTTCGCCGCAGGCCGGAAAACGACTTGCTCGCTTGGCTGATGTTCAATTCCTTTCTCGGTATATTTCCTTCCCGATCTATCGCAAGTACGATCGCTCGAATTCCTACCTTTACCCATCGCCTCTCAGCCACTTCTATCTTTTGCATATTTTTTTTTCTTTCTGCGATAGTAGGCCCCTCGCTGCATGTATGTACGTACAGAGTGCCACGTCGCCCATCTCGAATAAACTGCCTTCATCTTCATCATTGCGAGCTCCAAGTTCGACGACACAGAGGTAGCGGCGCGACGGTCGCGCGCAACCTAAGTCGAGCAAGTCAAGTAAGGTAATCTGGTGTAGAACTGGCATGTGTAGTCGAGTCGAGTCGAATGAAAAGCGATGTGAAAACTGCTTCGTACCCTCGTCAATGTGTCCGCTTGTCGCCGTCATTCAGTAGCCTTTTAGGCTTGCCCTTCAGCTCCAGGTCTCCGTACGCGGTCGCGAAGCGGCCGGTGTCGTGGATGTACCTGACCAATGGCTTCAGGGTAGTGGGAGAGTTGAGGAGGCCCATAATCGTGTTGAACGAACGTCGGCGTCGGGCGGGAACGAGCAGGTAGCGTCAAAGAGCGACGGGGTATCTCGATAGAACGTGTGCGGTTTGTCTCGTCCTCGGGACGGGGAGGCAAACGCGCGAGGGTACATACATGCGAAACTCGGACTAATATAGCTAATTCTTATCTAAATAAGGCACGAACCGGGTACAGTCATATCGCGCCGCAGCGCGGCGCGTCGGCGAGCCGGGAATTGGGTATGCGCTCGCCCGGTTGTTCCAACAAATCGAATGCGCAGCTGGTCCTACGTCTGCGCGTGAGGCAGTGTCTCGATTCGTTATGGGCCGGACACTCCATCAGGAAGTATACCGTCTCGCGCGTGGTCTCGCAAGACGGGCATACGGAGTGTCCGCTTTCTGGGTTCTGAACGGATATCGCTGCAGCAGGTCAAGCCATGTTCCGAGTCTCGCTTTGTATTCGTTGGTCTACATACTCTACAGACCACCACCGGCCGACACCCACTGCCTGTGTGAGTATGCTGTGCGTTGATTGTCTCTCCGACCCCGCAGACATTGATGCACCGATTACTGAGCCTCCCAGACACAGATGCCGTTGGCACAACTAGGGCTACTACTCCCGCACGCGACTATGGTTCTATCCATCGTCTTGTCGTCAAAGACCTGAAAGCTGGATGTTCAAGTTGGAAAAGGACATTGAAGATAGATTGTACACACATCAAGTGCCTGAATGACGTCCCAGCCTGATACAGTCAACACCCGTGGTCCATGAGAAGCACACGGACGGAGCATACCTTCGTGATACAGTGTTTGGAAGTGCTCCCCTTGCTCGCCGTCAATGAATCTCACTTTACCGCCATAATCTCCATGGAATAACATTGCACCACCAACAGCGTATTTAATGGGGAGGGAAACAAGCCAATCAGGCTTATCCTCGATATTCACATGGATACCATGAGAATGTGAGGGTAACTCGTACACTTGGAAGCCCTTGACTATGTTCGAGATGGCTAGGTTACTCCCTGTAGGAGAAACAACGCATGTTCCACTGACGCACTATCAGGTAAACGAAGAGATGTGTGATGGGTTTGACAACGCACCACAGCGGAGTATGTATGACCCATAGAACCTGGGACGAGCCTTTCTCGTAATGGTGGCAGCTGGAGGAAGGCCGCAAATCAGCAAGGAGCCAAGGAATCCGCAACGAATCAGCGCACGCACTGTATACCATGATACAGGTAGGCAATGACAAGGTTGTTCTGAGGTTGCATGTCCTTGTGTAGCCATTGAACCGAGGTCACAAGTGGCTCCTCGTCGCCATTGTAAGCGCTTGCGCGAGGCGGTCGGAAAGTTTCGCCGCGTCCCCACCCTTGACAATCTCATTAGTATGTGCAATAATGTGTGGTCGTTCAGCGCTCAGCACCTACCTGCGTCTTCCCAGGGCCAAGCTTTGACTAAGTCGTGCGCTGCCGAAGCTAGGATACATGGCGCAGGACTGATTCCATCCTGCATAGGGGCCTGATTAACGGCCAAACATTCGATGGGTTTTCGGTGCCCTTCGAATCCTGAGACTGTCACAGAAGACTGGCAGCATTGTCTTTAGTCACCGACAGCAGTAGATCCTGGCCGACTTACGACGTCAACGGTAACCGTGAGCAATGTACCGTCCGCCGTGCCAGAGACGAACACGTCCGGGGCCCCCGTCCAAGCCAGCGACAGGACAGCGGACTTCGTGACTATGCGGTGCAGCACTAGTCCAGAATCCAGAGAGCAGATCACAATACGACAGTCCGAGCTACAGCTAACGAGGTACTTGCCATTGGGGCTGATCGCGATGGAGTTAATGGCATCGTTATGTAGGTCAGTCACCTGCCACTTGGGTGTGAATTCGGACGACATTTTCTCCTGGCAACTCGCACAAAGCTCAGACGCAACAAAATGGCGGCGTCGCACAGCAGTATCAGTGGCGTGGACGTACTGGGGTACGAAGGGACTTGGAGTGTAAGAAAAACTAGTTTCGCCGCCGGAAGAGTGAGGAGATGCCGAGAAGCACGAAGGCGCGGGTTCGAGTCGCTGTGGGAGGTCGGACGGAGGGAAAGAATTATTGAGGGGAAGGACTGTAATGATATTGTATATTGCATACCTGCCTGCACCTTGCCTGTACCGCAGCGAAACCAGGTTTGCGAGTGTTTGGATGGGGCTAGCAGACGGAAAGTTAAAAAAGCGACGGTCGGAGGTCGGAGGAGCCGCTTCGATGCTATAATATTTAAGTTACAACTTCAACTTGTGGCTCGACGCAGCGCGGCGCCGGCCTGCAACCTGCGCTGCATGATCTACCAGCTTCATGCGATTCATGAGCTCGACATGCACCAGGCTGCAAGAAGGATCTCTCTCTATAACATACATCTGGCAATTCACTCGTCGCTTTGTATCTGCCCCTCGTCTGCACTCTACTAGCTGTAGCTACGACCTCAAGCCGGTTATGCACTGTCGCGCCCTCGACCGTGAACACCTTTTCGAATACCTGCAGCAGCTACTGATATGACTGCAGGGAGTATGAGCTGCAAAGGTGAGCATTTATCGACCCTAAGCCCCTTTAAAAAGACCTATACGTCCCCTTTCTCCGACAAGCACTTTGTCGACGAACGCCACGCCAACATGCACAGTCTCTTCCAACGGCAGTTCTGCGTTGATGTCCGCGTTGGGATCGGCCCGGGTGATTGCATTCGCAGACTGCTCAAGGCGAATGTGTGCTGCTGTTGAGCTGGTGCCGCCGCTGCCTGATGCCTCCTCCCTACACCGATGCGCAGATCCTAGCTTAACCGAACTCTGAACAGATGCCTGCTGTTCTTGCACATGAGCAGCCTCTCAAGATCTCAAGGCCACCCTGCCGCGCTCGTCAATGCTTCGCCGCGAAGAACACCGGCCTGCGCTTCTCCACCCACCTGCGCTTCTCCACACCCGCTTCGCCCATGCTTGTCCACTCACCTGCGCTCGTACACCCGCCTGCACCTCTCCACACCCACTTCGTCGCAAAGGCCACCCGCCCGCGTCCCACCACTCGCCCTCGCTTGTCCACACCCAGTGAACGTCGCCCGCCTGCGCTCGTCCACCCTTGCGCTCGTCCACCCTTGCACTCGTCCACCCTTGCACTCGTCCACCCTTGCACTCGTCCACCCTTGCACTCGTCAAGCCGCCCGACCGTCCCGCGCTCGTCTATCGTCTGCACCTCTCCACATCCAACGCTTGTCCATCTTCTCACGCTTGTCCATCGGCCAACGCTTGTCCGCCTGCATCTCGCAAAGGCTACCCGCCCGCGCTCGTCAATCCGCCCGCATCCGCCCACTCGCCCGTGCTTGTCTATACCCACTTTGCTGCGAAAGATTCCCGTCCACGTTTCTACGCCCTCGTGCGCCTCTCCGCAGCCACTTCGTTTCGAAGGCCACCCGTGCCCGTCAAACCACCCGAGCTCGTCAACCTGCCCGAGCTCGTCCACTCACCATATACCCGCCGCATCAACCATCCTCTCCCGCCTGGGGCCGTCCTCCTCGCTCCCGTCTACCCGCCCCAACCTGGTGCCGTTGCCGCCGAGGAGCTGGACGCCCACGGGCTCGACGCGTTCGGTGCCTGCGACGACCTCGGTGCGGCGAAGGGAAGTTTCTTTGGTGAAGCCCGGCGCCGAACGGCGGCTGCTTGTTCCGAATGTGAAGATGACGCGGTCGCCATCGACGACGATGGGCATCATGGCAGGCGCGGGGAGTAGCTGCGGCTGCTATGCATACGGCCGCAAGCCTAGCCCTCTCAGCCGATAGAATTGCGATGCCAGTATGGAAACCACGGACAGTCTCGAGACCGAGGCTGATCTGACGATGCGGCCTTCGTCGAGAAGCCCGACAAAGATGGCGACTGGTGGGGGTCTTTTGTTATTCCTTATGCTACGGTCGCTGACGAAAGGCTTGAAGGGGACTCTTGGAGCTATTCTGACGACACTACGATGTTCCCCCATTCTCTGCATCCCGAAGGAGAAGCACGTCGAGCGCAAGATCATCGACGGGAAGGAGCAGGGCGTTGAGGTCGAGGTTCATCCTTTTCCTTGGCAAGGACGTCCGCTAGGGTCGTCGCTCCCCTTCTTGCCTCATCACATCGCATCTCATTCCGACTCTTCTGCATCACGACTCACGCGCGTTCACCATACCCCTGCACGCTGCTACCTCCCCACGACATACCTGACGACGCTCACAGCGCCGCTGACTTATTCCTCAGTATTCACCTGCTGCTCTCCTCGCTGTCAACGCACATGCATCCTCTCGCACACGCATCCTCTCGCACACGCATCCTCTCATCCCGCACCACCGCCGTCTCCGTCGCTGGACTATCGTCCGGGCAGCAAGCACCACACAAAGCGGCACTCCATGTACTGCTCGCCCGGCACCGCGAGCAGCCCGGACCTCGCGATCCTGCAACGTTGAGCGAAGGCCCGGGGCTCTGCACCCAGCAACAGTGAGGGGATGCCGAGAAGCGCGAAGGCGCGGGCTCGGGTCGCTGTGATAGGTACGGAGGGCAAGAAATAATGAGGTGAAGGGCTGTAATTATATTGTATATTGTATACCTGCACCTTGCCTGTACCGCAGCGGAACCAGGTTTGCGAGTGTTTGGATGGGCGCTAGCAGACGGAAAGCGACGGTCGAAGGACGGTCGTGGACGGTCGATCCGACGTTCAACGTTCAACTTTCGACGTCAAGTACAACGCTCAGCGCTGCAAAGCCTCAGCACTCAACGTCTTGAACATCGACTCACAGTGAGTTGACTGTGCGCATCGTCGCCTGGTGAAGTGACTAACTGATTAGGTGCGTAGCTCTACGGTTCCCTGAACATGCTCGGCACCGTCTACCCGTAGATCGACCATCCGTTGGTGGACAGAAGCTGGTGGGCTCCCGCTAACCCCGCCTGTGCACGAACAATTTGCTGACATCGAACGCAGAGAACGTCAGCTTCTCGTACGACGGCCGGAACCAGAGGAAGGCGACCCCGGGTCTTCGACTTCCCCTGTTTTGTCTTCCAGCCTCGCTCCCTTGTCATCCTTCTACTGGTCTCGCGTGTAGCGTACCTCGTCGTCGGCGACTGAGCTTCGCCGAAACCCCGGATTCAGACTTCCGTCGTGCCAGTAAGCGGCAGGGGACCGACAGCCAGAGCTCGCCTGCTTCCATTCACTGGACGCTCTCTCCCTCTGAAGCCACATCCTTAGGCCTTATCCTTCGTCCTCGAACCCACCGCGCGCCATCAGACTCCCAGAGTTCGGCCAATAGTCGGCTGTGTATGTTCAAAGCCTTGTATGATGTTGGCCCCACGACTAACGCGCACTGTCTAGGTACCTCATCAGCCAACAGAAAAACGTAGCTAGAGGCAAGCAAGGTCACCGAGCCCGGCAGCACCCTGTTAAATGTCGCTAAGGGCTCGATCGTCGCGCTCGCCGGTCAACTGTGCGCCCTCTGCCCTACCGTCTCTACGACCTGAAGGAGGGACGCACCCATTTCCGTATGAAGTCCGTGTCGTGGACGTACGCTTCAAAGCCTATCGAGCGTGGTCAGTGCGTATTCCGTACATACGAGTCATTGTTGACCTATGCGCTTCGGGTAGAGTGATCCCTGCCACCACCCCGACGCCAGTGTCCTTTGATGCCCAATCGATCTGGGACCAGTACGTCGGCAAACACGACGAAAGACATCAGCACCAGGACGGTCCACTACCCACTACCCATTCAGGCGAGTACGCCCGTGCATTCATGCGACCCGCTCGCGAGACACGTACCTCTAAGAACGCACGGCCGACAGCGGTTACGGACGCACCTCAATTGACGGCTAGGATGCCCGAGACGTGGCTCAGCCGAGCTTGCGCAAGGCTGTCAAGGTCGTCCCCCAGGATAGTGTCGTTTTCAGCGCGAGCATCGCCTACAACGTCAGGTACGGTCTTCTTGGCTGCTCTCTACTCCAGGTGCCGATGCTGATGATGGCATAGTTATAGCAAGCCCGGTGCGGTCACGAAGGCCGCACGTATGCCCGAGCGGATCACGAGCTTCCTAGACGGTTACAGCAGGATGGGCGAGCGTGGCGTGGGGCTGAGCGGGAGAGAGGCAGCATGTGGCGATCGCCGGGACGCTCCTTCCGTCCCCCGGCTGCTTGACGAACCTACTAGGTAAGGATGGCTGCGCTGCTGCTGTAGACCTTATCTCACGTTTCTGGTGTAGTGCGCTGGAAGCCGCGACGGAGAAGGACATCTAGAAGGCTCTGCAGCGCCTCTAGATCTCGGAGAGACGGTCGTCGGTGGCGATCACAGACAGCTTTCGGTGCGTATCTACCGACGGGTGCCTCGCCTTCACTCATGCCTTCCGACACCGCGAAGCGTAGTGTGGCTGGCCCAGCATCACCTCGGCCTTGGAACAGGCACGCATGGCGTCACTCCGCCGTGGCCCGCCCGCCTTCAAAGTGTTGCCAGATATGCATGCCAGTGCTACGCCCAAGGACCTTCTGTCGTACCTCTGACCTCAGTCCTTCGCTATCGAGCATTTGGCGCATTCGGCACGGTGCCGCACGCTTCATCCTATGCTGTAGTATGCACCCACTGTCAGCGCTTCAGCTATGGTCGCTAGCGGCCCGTCTTTTGCGCCTTCGCTAGTTCGTGGTCTTGCCGGTGTATATGCTCCCATTCGCACGCCCACTCATCCATTGTGCGCCTTCTATGCCACGCCAACGAATGTTTCCGCCCCTACTTCCTCACAGTTCGGTACCGCTGTATTCGTCTAGATCTCGGCGTCGCACATCATGGGGTTGTACATCGTTCCGGGGAAGGGTAGCCAGAAGCCCTAGGTGGATGGGCTCGGTTTGCTTGACAACTCCAGTTCGCTGTTGCTGGACCCGCTGATAGTTCAAAGGCTTGTATCCCTCCCTGCGCATAGGAATCCCTGCCGCCTCCGGAGTCTCAGGCATCCGTGGCCGGGAGGCTAAGTCGTGCACAAGCTGATCTCACCCATTTCCAACTCAATTCGTCAGCGAGTCGCTGGCCCAATTTCTCCCGTGGACTAACCGCCATGAGCGTCCCCAGCAAGGTCTCTACGGCAGGGGATCCTTGCTGACAACTCCCTTCCCCGGCTCTCCTGTTGCAGCCGTAGACAGGTTCAAGATCATACCGGCGCAGCGACGATGCGCGCGGTCAGCTCATATTTACTCTCACCTGCCAGAGACGAGCTCGCTACGTCCCTCCGTCCCACGGTACGTCCAATTGGCCTCGGCATCCTGTTCTACTCCCAGCAGATGCCCCCTTACCATGCAGGGGGCACGAAGGTCTCGAGCAGACCCGTGGTCCTATCCGACTCCCCGACATGCTCCGAGCTTCATCCACGAAGAGGTCCACCGATTTCGCGGTGCTCTAGCGATGAGTGGTGAGCATGCCGTTGCCGTCTTGGACTTTGGCACCCGCAAATTCAGCAGCGCTGGTGTTATCTTACCTGCCATGTACGGTCTTCCCATATACGCAGTATGCCCGATCAGGGAGCCGCCTTCATGACCCATACAGCCTACTTGTTGTCATCTTATCCCCGCAGAGTTGAGTGTAGTGTCTGGCCGAGCGCAGCGAGCGTTTGTCCATATCCAACGCATCTGGGTTGGCTCCTCGTCTTATGCTGATTCGATTTTCGAGCCAGCGTGGTGGGTTGGCCAACAGTGTGTACTTTGTATCCGAATGATTAGTGTGGTTGTCCTCGGTACATCTGCGTGACGAAGAGATCAAATGCAAGGAGCTGAGGGTCCTCCATTTTACGCTCGCGCGGCGCCTAACACGGTAAGACCTAGCCGGTCTGCACGCCTAGCGGCTCTTTCTCTGCGTTCGTCTTGGACAGCACCCCGCACTTATCTTCTCGCACGCTAGGTCGCCGCGAACTCAAAGGCAGTTAAGATCGAAGAAGACTGGCTGTAAAAATATCACACGTATTAGAATGCACGCACCGAAGACCAGATCCGGCATGGCTGCAGGGAGGAGGGGAGGAGGGGGGATCCATTTACCCACCGACCGACAGCCACAGGCGCCGTCGACGTCTTGAGGGAGATCTCGACGATGAGCTTCTTTCGATCAGCGTCGGACTTCTTCCGGTCACCCTTATGTAAGCGCTAAGCTTCTGCCGACCAAGACTGTCCAAGTCAATTTGGTCGTCCCCAGTGTCGATTTATCGATCTCTCCTCCTCCTCAGTGCTACTGGATCCACCCTCCTCCTCCTCTTCCTGGCAAAATTCTGAGATCCGAATGCTGTTATCTCCTTTCCCCGACGTACGTAAGCTTCTCTCGCCGCTGTAATACAATGATCAGCTCTCTCGTTTCTTCTTTAACACCGAGCAATAGAGGACAATGGTAACTATCACACGAGATGGTCATGACGCTTGTCGTTATGCAACACTCTGAACTCCTTGCTCTCGATTATGTCCACCGTTTTGCTCTTGATCCGTGAGCGTCAAAAGACAATGGCTGTCACCACGCGCTGCCTTGTTTTGGTGGTGTCGTATATATACGCAGGTGCGCCCAGCACTCCGTGTCACAGAGAACGTAGGCAAACGATGGATGGGCAGGCACCATCTCTCGATGCGACTGGCTATCAATTCCGACCCGCAATACCCGGTCTCCCTCAAATCGAGTTCGGTCTCGGCACCGATGTGTATGTCGCAGTCGAGCAACCTTCGCAATTGCAACGCGGTCATAAACGCACAGCAATTGACTTGCTTCATTCTGACCGACCGAAGGTTAGGGTCCTCAAAGACGGCCCTGCGTATTTGTTCGGTCGTATTCTCAAACTGGAGGAGAAGGTACACGCCGAGAGGCGACGCAAGGCGGAGTCAAGTCGCGATCAGTTGGTCCCAGTCCCAGGTACGTAGGCGGTACCTTGGTCGCGTAATTCTTTTGACAAATGCATATGTCTAGTGTTCCGTCATCATCATGTCGAGTGGCTGATGTCTCGCACGCTACTTTGGTCCCAACAAAAGCAGTTGAAAAAGACAGATGTCCCCGCTGTAGCGACTTCGTCTCAAAGCGAGAATGAACATGCAGCCATGGACGGGGCCACCGCGGTTTCCTATCCGGAGCCTGGGCATCACATTTCGGAGCGCCGCGACAGCCAGGATGAGATGGCTGAACACCTTGCGAGTCTCGGCGGTATGCTGGAAGATTGGGCCGACACCTACGATGAAGGCGCACTCTTAAGACCGAGTACCGGGCGATCCAATACGACTTCCGTTCATATCGGGGCGAACGATGATACTATGACCGCTACGGTCGCCGAGGATGGCAACGAAAACACGGCGAACCTCCATGATACAAATGCTCATCCTCTAGGTGACGTCGAAACTCTGTTGCATGATGATGCGTGAGTGTCTCGCCTAGGTCATATATATTTACGCTTGCTAAGATTGTGGTTCTCCTTTCATCACGAAAATCGGACGTTGGCGAATGCAGACACGAGCTACAGGGCAGTGCTATGCATGGAAGCGACGCCGATCCCTCCCTCTCTAGGCATGCCGGTGGTAGCAGTCCGCCGTACTGTGTGTCTGAGGATTTTGAATTCTACTCCGCCATCCCAAGTGCGAACAATCACACAGGTGGTGCGTCTGATGATGTCTCGCAACACAATCCCCCTATCCTCGACCGAGAAGACGCCGGGGCTCATGCGGCTCATGAAGGCGTTCATGAAGGCCGGCTTCTACAGGGCTTCGCGATCTCATCCGAGGTGTCGGGCACGCAAGGTGGTCGTGGTGACGACTACAATGCGCCCCGTGGGCCCTCCCCCGCTCTTTCAGGGAGCCCGAGCGATGGCGGACTACTGCATCCTCAAAGTGCGGTCGACGACCTCGGCGGTGTGTCCGATACCCCGTGGCGCGAGTCCTCAGACCAGTCCCTAGCTCTCACCGACCGTGAATACTTCTGGGATAGCACCATGTATGGTGATCTGGGTCTACAAGACTCTGTGTCACCTGACGAGCTGGGCGCGCAAAACCCTAGTTCTACCATCTCCGGTGACATGTCCCATGAGCCTCTCGCCGTTACACCACGGAGTGCGAACGATGAATCGCTGTATGCGAGCCATGACGAACCACCTGATGGCGACGTCGTTGAATCCTCCACTCCTGCTTGGAGAATGCATGGTCACATTGGCAGTGTATCCGACAATGTCTTGCGGCCCGAGCCCTCAAACCTCGATCAAGCCATTGAAGGCTCCTGGGAGAGGTCCATGCGTGGAGACCCAATCCCACAGAACTCTACGTTTGCAGCTAAGGAGTCCGGCGCACAAGACGACCCCCACGTGCCCCATGTACATGAGCTCTCCACGGTATCAAGCAGCTCGAGCGATGGCACACCATCATACTTCCAAAGTGCGGCCGACGATCGTGGTGACGCTCCTGAATCCCCGCGGCTTACGCCTCTAAACCCGATCCTACCTATCGCCGACTATGAAGACGTCTGGGGTAGTGCTGCGCGCAGAGATCCGTTTCTGGAGGGCCCTGCGACGGCATCTGATCAACCTGGCATGCAAGGCTCTAGCTCAAGCGTCTTCGATAGTCCATCCCTCGAGCCTTCTGCCACGACTCCCAGGAGCATAAGAGAAGCCGTACAGCTTTCCTCCGGTCTCAACGCATCCGAATCTTCCGCCGGCGCCTTGGGTGCGGACGAGCGTCCAAGTGGTGTGTCTGACGATACCTCTCGACTTGGGCCTCTCGACTCCGACCCAGTTCTCGGGGGCAATGAAGGGTGCTGGGGGGGTGTCAAGCATGGAGACCCGTATGCACAAAGCTCTGCGCATGCGTTTGTATTCGACGAGCCGCACGCACAAGGTCTCGGTTCCGACCAATTCGATGATCCGGTCAGAGGGACCTTCCATGCTATACAAAGCAGCGCGCGCGATGACGGACCGTTGCACTCTCCAACCGTGACCGGCAATCCATGGCATACGCACCTAAATCCGCCGGCTGGCACGGGCTACGACGACTTCTGGGGGAGCACCATGCAAGGAGACCTGCCTCTGGAGGGCGCTGCACCAGTCTCTCACGATCTGGATGCACAAAGCTCTGTCCAAGCCGTCTTCGGTGACCGGCCCAATGACCCTTTCACTGGTTTCTCAGGAAGCACGAGCATTGGAGAGCCGCTGGACTCCCATGGCAATGTCGCCGAGCCCTCCGCCGCTGCCTGGAGCGCAGATAACCATATGGGAGGTACGTTCGATGGTTCCATGCGACATGCGTCCTTGACCGTCAACTCCGCTGTTACCGGCAATGAATGGGGGAACGCCACGAGTGGAGATTTACGTCCTGAGCACCCTGCAGTCGTCTCCGACATGGCTGGTATGCAGGGCTCGGTGAATGGCTTGCTCGGTGACGGACTGTCTGCTGGGCGCGCGACCGCTGATCCAGTAATCTATCAGAACCTCGACGATGCCGTGATGGAGGATAGCTCAGCCTCGAATGCTTCCCCCCCCCGATCCTACCCGGCTCTCTACGATGGGCAGCACTCCTTTCATGGTGCTTCTGCTACCACACAATCGTCCCAGATGCATGAGGATATGACAGGCGCATTTCATCAACTCGCTGGACACGAGAATGTACAATCTACGGATCATGATGGCTCACTCGGAGAGCTTCAAGCGTCCTCCCATGTTGTCGGTGTCAATTTCGAAGGACTAGCTCTCGGTCAGGGCAACAACAGCGCAATGGACGTAGATGACATCCCTGCCCATATTGATTCAGACCAGCTCACTAGCGATGGGGACGATCATGGAGGCGAGGTACTACCAGATCATGCGCACGCAGATGGGCCTTTGTTTGTCGAGGATACTGGTGATGATGGCAAGAGCTCTGACGGCGACAGCGAGAGCTCTGACGGCGACAGCGAGAGCTCTCAGGATGGCGACAGCGAGAACACTGAGGATCATGAAGGTGGCGACCGTCGTGACGATATCGAAGAAGGACTATTACGTGAGGTCGAACGTGAAACTTCGCGGCGTAAGGGTAAGCAGCGTCAACCGCCGAGCCTACTGCCTCGGGATCTCGAGATGCGTAGCAATTCCGCTTTTGGAGACCCTGACCCTGTGGGAGCACCGTCCGGGAGCGGTGCAGGCGAGCCCTTCTCCGTCCCTCAACATCAACACACGGTGACTGGTGAAGGGTCTGATCCGGCTACATTCGTGAAGTCGGATTCCTTGAAGAGTAGCAGACGCCGGAAACGTCGCGGTCGGAACAGGCGTCAAAGTCTCCGGGATGAAGAACAACTCGTATGTGTACGCGCACGTGTATATTCTCGCTGACCACTGAAACACTGTCCTCGAAAGGACGAGCTTACATCGGATTTGTCCACACACAATCCTGTGAGCGATTTTGTGCTTTAGTTTCTTCCTCCCCTAACCTATCGAACCCAGGACTCCGTCGCGACCAAAGAAGACATTCGGATATTGATTGAGTTACTGCATGCCATACAGAATCAAGGATCTCTTGGGACATCAGCGCTCAAAGTAGATGGTGACCTCCCTCAAGACAAAGGTCGCATACGATGCGTGATAAAGCATCGAGATGCGAAACGGTTGCTTTTACATGTGGGTATAAAACTTCCTATCGCAAATGTCTATTCATACTATTTTCGACAGGGTGAAGTAAGAAGACATACAATGGATTTGATGTCCCGTGAATCGATCACGGATGCTATCCCGGTGGTGTCAGCCGACGATGCGGCAAAATTTGCACGTACAAAGCGTGGCGGTCCCACCGTTGACAATTTCACGCTAGAACTGACCGGAAAACCTCGCTCGCCGTGGAACAAGAAGGCTGGCGAAGTATTCGCTCGGAATTTCGCGCAGAACGATGTCAGCTGCAAAGACATGCGGACCATTCGTGAGGTATTCGCTACTCATGTACTGACGCTTCGCAAACAGTACTTGAAATTGTCGTGCGACCCTGATGAGGAGCCGAGTCAGCGAGATCTTGATATTGCTTCGGCTAACAGCAGCGAGCAGCGTCGGCGTCGAGTAAGCCTACAATCCCATCTTAGTGATACTCATTACTGACATAGTCACATATCCAAAGAGAAGGGAGCGGCGTTACGAGGCAAGCGAGGGTCGCACTAGTCTCCGCCATCTCACAACCATCTGGAAAAGAATACCTTACACTGCCTGCAGCGGTGATGAGTCGGAGCACCCCGAGTCGGGCCTAACTCGATACGTGGTCACAAAATTGCCGTGGCGATCGAAGGAGTTGGAGGAGTTCTTCAAACACCTCGATTCCGTGCACATGTCGACCAGGTGGATGGCGCGGGGCAAGTGGGACCACGGTAAATTACCTAATCCCCGCGAACGAGGATCAGACCGTGTGGATCGGACAAGTGCGCCTCCTCCTGGTCTCCCCGTCAACTGCTATGATGCAGAATGGCTGGAAGACTTGAAGGAGGCCGACGTCGACGCATATCAGGATCTTGATGTACAACCACCGGTCGATCTAACACTTCCGAGGGATGTTGTGACGTATGCTCCTGTGTCGTCCAAGGCGAGCAATTCGTACTGATTAACCTTTGTTGTCAGACTTCACAGACGCTTCGGTCGCTGCAGAACACGAGGGGATAGACCATTGCTATGATTGTGTGTTTGAATGACGTTGTCCGGGTGTCATGTAAAGCTATGTGTAGATGTTCATACGGAGGAGTCACTGCAATAGCAAAGACCCTAATGTCGCCTGCGCCACGCCCTCTGTGATCCACCTCGATTCGAGCTTGCTGTAAGCTGGCGACAACTGTCGGATTTCAAGTTCGGGCGGATATGCCAAGCGCTACCCAGCCGCATGACGCTCTGACGGCGAGCGTTAGACGGGTCTAAATGGGTAGAGACGTGGCTCGCATTGAACACGAACCTACTCACTCGACTGGTCGTGTCTAAACTGCCTGACCGGCCTACTTGACTGTCTCTCAGCACGGAGTTTCCCGATGCAGCTGCACAAGCGCTTAGGCAACGCTTGGGAGGAAGTGACCATGGAGGCACTTTCCTCCGCGAGAGCAGCGTTCAGCAGTAGTGTATCAACGAACTCAAGTTACTGTCCGTCGTGCTTGCCTTTCGTCATTTCTGTCTTTAATCTAGGTATTTGTCTGCCTACTCGCTTGTCCCCGCGCTTCCTCATTGGCTCGCTCATCTGCTGCCCGCAGAGTCTCTCTCGTCCATGCTCTCTCTCGTCCATGCTCTCTCTCGCCCGCGCTCTCTCTCGCCCGCGCTCTCTCTCGCCCGTGCTCTCTCTCGCCCGTGCTCTCGCTCACCAGCTCGCCCGCTTGCCACTTACCCACGCGCACTTCCAGCCGCAGGAATCGCCGACCTGCCTTCACCCACGCAGAATCCGTACCCGATGTGGCGTGTCTGTATCCGCTCAGGAATGGATTACGGTTTGGGCTCGGGATACCCGTCCTCGGCCCTACCGGAGTACGGGACGGTGCGAGAGTCAGGTTCCATGGCGAGGCACCGGGGCGGTCCGATGGTGCGTGAGTTCAGTGCCCCAGTTTGTCTATTAACCAACACGCATAGGCATGACTTCGTCTAACCAGGCAGGTATTAATCACGGCTACGTGTAGTGCAACATCCAGACGAATACCAACGCACTAAGACGAGCGAAGGAGCATGCGACGAGCGCGTGGATTGCTGGACCCCCCCTCCTCCTCATCCTCCTTAGTGGGAAGAGACGCCGCTGACAGGGGGATTCGCGTTCGACACTGATTTTCTGTCGTGTTACAGGGCGCACTGGTCAAAACTTAGGGCCGTGTTTAGACAGTGCCACGAAGCGCAAGGCAGGCACGACTCAGAGACATGGTCAAACGGTGTTAGGTATGTTAGGTACGCACGCATCTATCCCTTACAACATTGAGCTCCTCGCCGCCCATCACATTCGCCTTAGGCGAGGCCTTACAACCTCTGAGCCTTGAGTTCTCCTCTTTGATCACGTTTCTCATTTACTGACTCATCTTCCGATTCATTGTACTCGAAGTGGCGTCGGAGGGCCACTGCCACTGCCATGCAGTCCCTTCGATTGTACACTTACCTTTGTACACTTACTGTACCGGCTTACATGATGCTGCATCGACTTGGAGTGGCTCACACCCAGAGCAATATAAATAGTGCGCAGTTCGAGGGCCCGAAGTTCGCTACAAGAGTGTCTCGCCCATTCACCGCTACCATCCGAACAACGCATTTCATGTTCGCTGTCGCCCCCCGCCGCACGCCGCCGCACGCCGAGACCTCCTGCCTTCGTTACAAACCCGAAGCATATTCGTCGAAGGCTTTAGCACGGTGCGTGCACAGCTGTTTCGTGATTTCTCACTTTTCCCTCATTCAATATCTTACAAGGGCCTGCGGAACGCGGCCACAGTCCCACACCGACACTCAGCAACCCAATGTACGGTGCGTATACAGTCCCACACCGACACTCAACAGTCTGGCACGGTGCGTATACAGCTAGTCTCATTTTCACCTGTTCAACATTCTATATGCCTCAGGGGCCTGCGGAAGGTGGCCACAGTCACACACCGACACCGAACAGTCGGAAGTGAACGTTTGAACCGTCGGCCGACCGTCTGCTACGCATAGCGCTCACGTACTGACAGAGTGGCTCCAATGGTACGTGACATCGGCTCAGTTGCTGCGCCGCCGATACTTACGTTGGCATATTAGCTGGATAGCCGATCGCGGCACATCTCACCGTCGCAGACACCGGCGGTAGCAAAGCCTGCCGGCGTGGGGCTTCCGCCGAGAAGTTCCCGCTACTCATCTACGTCGTGCCGCACCCATCGAAGTCGCGACGGCCACATGTGCAGTTGCTCGCCGTGATCAACAGTCCAGCATGGTGTGTATACAGCTGGCACCTAGTTCACTTATCCCTCATTCAATTTTCTATATGCCTTAGGGGTCTGTGGAAGGCGGCTACAGTTCTACATCGACCTGAATCGACCCCAAACAGTCAGTAGACCGTCGCCTAGTGACCGGGTGTGTCGGTCTGCCGCCGCGCGGTGCGCTCACTCAGAGTAACTCTGGTACGCGACATCGGCACAGCCCTAGTCGAAGCTGGCGATACTGCTGAGCGCGAGCGATGGGCCGCATTGAAGTTCAATCACCGATGTTCCGGCATCTTCAACCCCTATGCACCTGTTGCTGACTCACTGGCATCCGGCTTTCTTTCACTCACTGGCGTCCAGCTTGCATTCCGCTCAGCCTGCCGCATGAATCCTTGCGTGCGCTTCTCCGGTCATGCACGGCTTGTCGAAGACGACTTGTCGAAGACGCTATGCACGACTCATTGAGGACCCCAAGCACGACTCGTTGACGACTCGAAGCCCGGGCAGAGGTCGATCGCATCCACGAGCCGACGACGATCGCATACACAACACGTGCATGCTCTCCGGCGCTGCCTGCAACACGAAGGACAATGTCACCATCGCAACATGGGCTCGTAAAGCCCAGGGTCGACGGTTCAGCCTGACGACCTTACGAAGCAATCCCCCTGCTGTGCAAGTTTCTGAGATCGCCGTGAGCTGCTGCCCGTACGATGCCCATCTTCAGAACGTGCGTTCCGGAGATGGGCCACGCACATGCCGCAGCACGTACGTGACATCAGCTCAGTTGTTGCGCCGCCGATACTTACATTGGCATGTTAGCTGGATAGCCGATCGCGGCATACCGCAGCCTGCCGGCGTGGGGTCTCCGCCGACAAGTTCCCGCTACTCATCTACGTCGCGTCGCACCCGTCTGTCGCGTCGCACCCATCCAAGTCACGCCACCTGCACATGTTAGCTGGATGCCATAGATCAAGCGAACGACGATCGCCGTCCGCGTACGCGGCGTATGGTATGCTCGCCGCCGGAAACAAGGACTTGCAAAGCCTGCCGGCGCGGGGTCACCGCCGACAATTCCCTGCTACCCATCTACGTCGTGTCGTACTCGTCTACGTCGCCTCGGCCACCGGTCAAAGAGGTGCCCCCCTCGTGTGCAGTTTATGCCAGTGAGCTTGCCGTTATCTGCTGTGGCATGCACAGTGCCCATCTCCGGAGTATACAGAATGTATACTCCGGTTCTGTATACTCCGGAGATGGGCACCGTGCATGTCGCAGCACATACTGCGTCATTAACTGCCAGAAGTGCCGAGTATAGCCTTCGCGCACCTCGCCTCGCTCGTCGCCGTCGTTGGTGCACCACTCTTCTCTCTGCTTTGGCCACCCTCGATCTTTTCTGAACCTCCTGTTGTTTGCTTCTACAGGATGTCACACCATCTCTGCTAGTGAATGATGATACGGAGACGCAACTCAACGTAAGTGAGCTGGCTGTAACCATCGACCGAAGCTGATGCCAATAGACCGTTACTCCTTGCGGATTGTTGGGGAGCCGTACTGCGAAGGAGGATGCCTTCAAATATATGGTATGCATCAATCGGCGGACGTCGGAGGTGTATAGCTTCGTATGACGAAGAGTCTTCGATGTTTATGGTGAACGAATATCGCCGGTCTGCGCGTCCGATGCGCGCAGTCTCCCTGGGTAGTTGAACCACTCGACGCCAAATGGTTGCAATTTAGTCTAACATAGTGAGCATCTGATGACTACACAGTATGTCTGCTCGGGCTGGAGAATTATGTACATCATATCTACTGGGGCAATCTCAAGACGGTGAAACCTGCTTTTACGCTAGGCATCCGTGCTTCCGCTCCTGTGCGGATTTGGGCAGCGTTCGTCGGCGTCAGCGGGTGGACTGGCCGGCCAACCTTGATCAACGAATGCGCGTTTTGTCGCCGGGAGTGCCTAGCGGTGGGTAATGGCGGGCGTACGTAGAAGGTCTCTCGTTCTGCAGCTTGAGCCCGGGGACCGTGACGGAAGCGTGAGCGAGCGCTGAGCGTTGAGCGTTGGGGAGTTGCCATATTGGGAACAAAGGAGGCGTTCAGACGAAGCACGGCGCGCTACCGCGCGACAAACACCCATGAATGTGTCAGCTCACCGTCCCTTACCTTCTCCTCCTCCCCCGTCCCTCCCCCTTCATTCCTTGCCGTTGGACTCGCAGCTTTGGGTGCGGCCTTAGACTTCTCGCTTCAAAGGCCTACTGTTCGATGCATCCTCTTCATGAGCCCCCTTCGCCCTAGGCATCTCCACCCCTCGTCCTCAATCGCTCATCGTCGCCTTCCTAGCACTCGCCGCTCCTCTCCTCTCCTTCCAGGCGGCAGCGGTGTCCGTCGATGCGTCTCGCACGAGCATTGCTGATCCCAAGTCCTTGTCAATCCCGGAGGGCGCGTTGTGAACACTCCCCACCTTGACTTCAAAAGCTCCTCTGCTCGACGTCTCTGTCGACGTCGTCGTCCACCCGAGTTTTGACGCCACTCGGCACGGTGAAGGGCGCCGCCGACACGTCTGGTGTCGTCTGGTTCACTGTCAAGTACGGTAACGCAGACCGTTGGCACGGCAAACATGATCAGGGCGCTGCTCGCTGCACCCCAATCTTTTTTGAGTATGCCATCTTGCAATGGGATCCAAGGGTATGTTATCTGTTCATAGCGACGAGTTTGCCCGTGCTCAATGGCCTGTAGGACTGTGGCTTTCTGTATATCACCATGCAGAGCTCGCTTCAGGACTTCAATGGGTGCGCAGCTCACGCGCTTCGGACACGTCGTGCCCGGACCCCTCTCGCTCGACCGTATCTTAAACGCACAAGGCTCCCTCCCGAACAACGCTTGCGGTGTTGTCCCTGCAGCTGGCCAATCCGAGCCTATCCACCCAGTCTGCGACGGCGACTTCATCATCAGCCCTCTCGATCTCACTGCCACTTTCCCGTCGCAGTCTAAGACCGCCTCGTACTACGACGATGGTGTTGACGGCACGTTCGCTCTGTCAGTGGCAGCCGCCTGCTGAAGCACTCGATGTATGTCCCCTCGACGACGTCCGCCGACAGCACGCAGGATGCCCGCCTCGACGTAGACGTTCACGCGCAGCTGGGCGTCGAGCGGCGGTACCGCGTATGTGGGCATGTACACCGTCGGCGCGTCGTACCCCAGTAACTCCGACGTCTCCAAGTGCACCGACTCGGGCTCTATCTGCCACCAGGACGACATCGAGATCGCTGTACGTCCCCTTTCCTGGTGTGTACCGGTGGATGGGTGCTGACGTCCACTTCCGCAGTTTGGAACTGCACCTAGCCCGACCAGCGCGCAGTCCGCGCTCATCGCCGAGATTCACGCACTACTACCAGTTCCTCAGCACGGGCAACGCGACTTCAGGCTGGTACGCGACGTGGGACGCGACGGAAGGGCAGACAGTCAGCCCCTCGACATCTAGAGCGGTATCGCGTGCCTGAAACGATGCTGCAAGTGAACAAGACTTCGCTTTCTCATCGCAGAGTTCGGGACTGGCCGAGCGTGCGAGTGTGGTCCCGGCGTTCGACCGAGCGCAGCCCACAATTCGGTCGTGCGAGCTTCTTGCACGGGTCCACCCTTTCTTCTCGTCCACTACTCCCCTCGCCGCCGTCTCTATGTCGAGACTCCACCCCGCGGAGATGAAGGCGGGAGAGGCTGGAGCTGAAATAAGTGTCCCGCCTCCGCCGAGTACTTGTTGCTCACTGTCAACGACAATGGCACCCATCGCCGGCCATTATACGCCCGTTGGGCAACACTTCTTCTAGTCTCTCGTCGCCGCACTCCCCGCCTACGAGCTCGGCCCCTCGTTCGTCCCAGTGCCCAAGTCCGAAAGCTCCTCAGGCTGGTAGACCGACAGTATCCTCCGCTCCTTCACCGCGATCGCCCGCCGAATATACACGGTCGAGGAGTCCTAGCAGCGATCAAGGCGTCCCGGAGCGGCAGTCCAGAGTCCAAGAAACGCTGCAACGTCGGCGACAACCCTCCCATGAGCAGCGCAAGCTCGTCGAGCACGAAGCTTTGCAACGGTTCCGAGACGCTAGCAGAACGGTGGCACTCACCATTGCATTGGTGACTTCCTTGAGCTGAACCATGACCACGCCCTGCACGGGCACCGTAATCTTCTGCGACAAGCCGCCGCTAGGGCAGTGTTGCAGACTCGCACGACGTCCTGGACCTGAGCCTTGAGCAGCCTCCTCGACAGCGCTCATGCCGTTCTCGGCGGCCGCAGCGAGCGGGCCGATCGGGACGACCAACGAAGAGCTGAGCTGGGGCACGTTGACGTCAAAATTCGTGTACAGGTTCTTGCCGCAGTGAGGGCTGTGTGCGCTCTCCGCAGTCGACGTCGGCGGCGCGGACTGCGGCGCGATCCGCTTGACCCTCGGGTTGCCGACCTCCTTGAGCGAGATGCTCAAGGGCGACGCGTCGGAGGCCGTTGCGCCCGCGTGGCTGCTGCATCTGGGGCGTAGTCTCGCTCTCGGCCTCCGCGTCCGCGTCGGCATTGAACATCTCGACGTCCTTATCAACACGATGGGGGTGATGGTGGTGGCCGTTGTTGTCCATCGTGCTCGGGCTGTTCCCCACGGAGCTGCTGGGCATGCCGATGAAGGGTGGCGACCGTCTGGCTGATGGAGCTGTTGGCCTCGGCGCCATCGCGCCGGGAGCATTCGCAGCCGAGGTAACCCGTGTCAGTCAGGAAGTCGGCGGTCAGAAGTAGTGCTCGACGTCTAGGGTACATGGGTCGACTCTGTGATGACACATTACGGTTACGCGACAGCGTAGGAACACCGTAGGTTATACCGCAATATTTTGATGGAATGCTGACACCATAAAGACAGGGTAGGTCGACCGGTCATACTCTGTGGCTACGCTGTGACATAGGTGTCACGTACGTCACATATTCTACACCGAAAGTATCAAGTTTGAACAATCGTAATACGCTGAAAGCTCGTCAAGATAGTTTCAGGATAGGTTCAGCGTTACGTGACACACATTACGGTAGTTTTATTATAAAATGATGATGATAGTATGTTGGCCAATTTCTCAGAGTACAATCAAAGAACCTGCAGAGTAATCGAACACTGATTATGTTGTCGATAAGTCAAAGTAATATCAGCGTTCTTCGACGTAATTTACGCTGGTATGGTTGTGACTAAGTTTAACGTAAACTCAGCATAATTCGACGCCACATATTCGGTCGTGCTTCCTGTGAACCGGATCCGCCAAGTAGGAGACCATACCTGTGAGTATCACCGGCTTCGACGATGGGTCTCGTCAATCGTTGTACAGCACCCACCTTCATTCCGTGCTCGTGGTGGAACAGATGCAGACAGATGTAACTTAGTTCGGAACAACAGGTTACAAAAATACACCCCCTTGTCGGCAATGCAGTGAATCTAGTCACTGACTAATATGTGAACCAGACATGGGGAATTGCTGTCCAGACCACAACGCGTCGCAGGCCGGCTCAATTCCCGCCAATCCGCAACGCCGCCAAAACAGGACTTGCCTTGCGGAGGCAACGCACATCACCCCGCCGAGTCCGGGACAACGAGAGAAGAGAAGCCTCTAGAGTCGTCCCACGTAAAGGAACCGCACAACGTCGACCGTTGTCCGGCGTCGGTCGTCAAGGCCACCACCACCAGACGCGCGCTCGCCCGAGGCGATGCCGGCGGGATCACCTGGCCCCCGGGGCGCGGATCGACCTTCGCACCTAATCCAGCAGTCGACCTCCCATATACGGTAAGTTCAGCGTTGATCGCTCGTTGATGGTGGCGCGGCGCCGGAAGCGGAGGAGCAATATGTTGGCGATAGTTGGCAATGTCCTGATGAGAGCGGGATTACCAAATGAGCGATGGTGGCGGGTGCATCTAGCGTGGTTCGGTGGTTGGAGCCCGTAATCTAGAGGTGCGAGGCCCTGAGCGCGAGAAGTGCGCTGCGGGGCGGGAGGATGAAACTGCGAAGCAAATATTGATATTAGCACAGTGGGCATAGTGGGCATAGTGCGGTGGCGTACAGGTCAGGGTGCCATGAAAATTGTCGACGGAACCAATGATTCAGTCACTGAGTCAGCTCGCAGACAGAAGTGGGCGGTCAGGCGGTCTCGAAATGTTATGATAGCTGCTCCGAGGCTGTGGGTGACGGATCCGGATGGGACTGCTTTTTGCATTCCGAGTTTGACAAGTAAAATATGACAAGTACTTGCACTTTCGCATGCAGCTCGGTACGCCTGTGAGACAATCTGTGATGTATGCACGATCGGTAGGAGCGAGTGACCGTACCGCGCCACCGGGGATCATGAGCACCCAGACAGCTGCAGGATCGTATGGGCAGCATACAGCGCACGAATGCAGAGAGACATATATGGAGGGACAGCTGCGCGTCACATCGTCATAGACTATGTCGTAGACATACCGAATTCGGCACCACGACCGCGGTCGGCATGTCTTGCTCACGCGGGGAGCACTGCCGATTTGCGAGCACGATGAAGGGAGGTGCGAGCCTCTCGCGATGACGAGCGGGGGCGAGGAACCACTGCGGGGCGGCATCGATGCATCAATAAGTAACTTAGCGCATCCGTGGCGCGCTGGAGGCGCACTCGTTCCTGGACAAACTACTGCTGTGATATCCGGGTGAACGTCTGCATATCCGGATCCTGTCCTAGTACGCACCGGTGCATGATAATGATGAGCCCAGGAGGTTTAGCCAGACGTGCAGGACCTTGGGGCCCACGTTCGGCACACCCACACAATAGACCAAGAGAGGGCCTGCAGGGACGGCGGACGCGGTCTTTTGTCGTCGACTCGGGACGCACCACGCGCCCGATTCGAGGGATTCGCGGTTGGCTCGGCGCCGGCGTCTATGTACCACTTTGACGACGCTGGCCAATGGGAGGGCGCAATTCGGATGATGCACGCGACAGATTTGACAATCGATATTAATGGGCTATCAAATTAGGCCCTGGGCGCCGGCGGCTCAGCCTGAGGGTGGCCATCGCTATCAGGCAGCGCTGGCATGTTGACGTCCCGGTGAGCGTGTATCGCGACGCGAACAAGGCGTTGCTGGCAGCAGAGGACCGTCGCGTCGTGCGCAAAGGGCGAAGGTGAACGTGTTGTCAGCGAGAAGGTGATGTATTACGGGCGGGCGGACAAGGATGAAACAGAGTGGGAGAAGAAGCCACCTGAAGCAGCCTCGTTGAAGGTCGTCTGGCAACGTGCCCGGGGAACACAAGCGGCGAAGGCTCGTGGCTGCCAGTCAACGTCGCCCGATGGGGCTACGCGCCACAGCTCCAGGCGAACGGCTCGGCGCCTGTGGCGACGGCGGGCGCCTCGCGGCCATTCGGTACGACAGACGTGGAAAATAATCTGCGACGCCTTCAGGACCACCGTCATCCTGCAGGTATAATAACCATCGCCCTGGCGGGCCTCGTCCCTCTCCCATCTCCCCTCCCCCCTTCCCACTGTCCCCTCACCGCCGGCGGCCACGACTTGCTCACTCACCATGAACGCCTTCGCTCAATATTCCCCGCTCTTCACCTCTGGTCTCCTCACCAGGACACCCACAGCCTCGCCCTCCACGTCCCGCTCACCCTCCATAAAGCGTCGCCGCGGGAAGGCAGTGGACAGTCTGCCTTGCACGGTCAACACTGTCAGCTTCCACGCCGCTGTCCGCTCGTCGACCGACACCAGTGCCATGTTCCTTACCCTCGTACCACACCGCCAGCTGGAAGACGAGGACCGGTCGTTCCTATCGCTTGACCTCGCTGAGAGCCAGTCTATGCGGTCCATGAGCCTTCGCAGGAAAGATACAGTCACCTCGCGTGGCTCGGTCGCCCTCAGGAGGTCAGAAGCCGGGTCACCCACGGGTCGCACACAGTGAGTTTGTCTTCGTGACGTGCATACTCGTTCTCCGCTCCGGTGAACGTCTATCTCGAGCCACCGTTCCTGGGCGTTGTCTCTTCGCACCATCTTTCGTGTGCCAGTATGATAATTGATACGGCTGGCCTCTCGGGAATCTGTCACCTCGGCGTGTCTCTGTAACGTGCTAACCCGTTCCTCCTCTAGTAACCATACCTTTAGCTTCTCCCGATTTTCGCTCCCGAAACGGCCTGCCGCCAAGATGCGCAAGTCGTCTCGCGAGTCTCTTCTCCCATCGCCCAAGCCTGCACCGTCCACCTCCCTCCCAGAACCTCCGACATCCGTTCCAGCAGCCCCTGAGGGCCCCCGGACGTCCAAACTCTCGCTCACGCTCTCGACCGACATCTCCCCTGAACAGTGTTACTCTTCATATCGCTGGTCGCCCATGCACCGCGCATCGCAGTCCGCTCCATCCCTGCTCTCGCCCACGTCTCCCTCCCGCAAGTCCTCCATGATCCTCCCGCCCGAGTCTTCTGACCACTCCTACCTCCTGTTCTCCCCTACCTCGCCAACGGGGTTGACACGTCGCGCAGCACCCATGCCGGCGTCGGCGCCCGCCGCCGTCCTCGCACGAAGTATGTCGTTCCGCTCGGTCGCGTCGGTTAACACGCGCCTGCGCAATCGCTCCGCGGCGCTCGCGATGCTCGAGGGGCGCACTGGACACGCGATGACGCGCGGGGGCAACTTCATGTGGATGAGCGACGACGAAGAGGATGACGCGGAGGAGCAGGAGCGTGAGCGCGTGCGGTCGCAGGGCTCGGACGTCGGCGACGTGAACAACCGCCTGCTGCAGGTCCTTCACGAAGAGGAGGACGTCGTCATTCCGCACTCGCCTGCCACGTCGGCCGCGCGCATGTCTGTCCCTGCGTCCGCGCCTGCCCGTCAGACTCAGGAGTCGTTCCCTCCGTCGACCCGGGAGCGCTCGGATACGCGCTCCCGCTCGAACTCGACGCCGTCGAGGATGAGTAGGAGGGGGACGCTCGAGTCGCTGTTGTCGCCGCTTGCGAACTTCATCGACTTCAGGGAGGACGACGGCTCGACGCGTGGCTGGCGGAGCTTTGTTGAGTTCTCGTCATAGTCGATTGCGCCTCGCCCCCATCCTTTCGCCTGCACACGATCTCGGCGTATTCTGCTGATCTATGCGCTTGTTTACGCCCTCAGATTATTTAGTTCTGCTCTGCAACGCTCGCCGTCATGCATCGTACGTCTGTGTACACCATCTCTCGGTCCTTTCGTTCTTGTACATCATTAATCCCGCTCGACTCTGCTCGTCTCGTCTCGTGTCTTGGCATCCCCGGACGTTCAGTTATTGCATCCCTGGACCCTGTCTGCTCTGCATTATTATGTCACTTAGCCTACACGTACATTGTTTATATCTCTCGTCTCCTCTTCTCGTCTCTGTCCTGTCGAACACTCGTACCGAACCGAACGCATTGACATTCTCATTTACCGCTTCTCATGCCCACATGCACCGCACCACGTTACGCTATCCTACTCATCGCGCTGCTCGCCGCTCGTCGCGTCGCTCACCGCGCTAATCGTCTCCCCCTCCGTCTTCCCTGGTTTCCGCCGCGTCTTGTCTTCCTTCGCTATTCGCTCCCTGTGTCGCTCTGTCTACTGTGACGACTACTGCATGTATATTTGATGCGGTGAATATGTATCCTGTTTTCTTGATGTTGGCGACTGGGCAGGCATCCTCACGGGGCAAGCTAGTTGGTGAGGCGTGCGTCGTTGACGCTTGTGGTTCTGACAGTGGTGCGTCCCTGAGAACGGTCAGTTGCCAGTGCTAACGTCGTTCCATATCTTGTACAGGTGCAAAAGCTTAGACTGTAAGCATGCTAGTATGAAGTAAGTACTACATTAGTGGGGCTTGTGCAGGACTACTTACGTCGTACAATCCTTACGGTACTTATGTATATGTGTAAGGTTTGACGAAAGCCACGCCAGCGTCTGCGGAGCACGAAATAGCATAAGGAGAAGGCGGCTTGTCCCGAATCTATTTCTGATGTGATCTACAGCATTCAGGTCAAGCCTGCCTCTACCGTCTACGCATCCTACCTCAGACCTGAAACTCTCGGGAGGATGGCGACAGCTGTGTCCAACGTCGGTCTTCCGCTCATAATGTAGAGTAATTTGGCTGATGCGTCTGCATAGGTCCCTTCTCTCGAGCTCGAGAAAGTGGCATACACACAGGATCAGGATCAGGAGCCGGTACCGGGCGATGCCCCACCGCAAACTTCCCTGCAGCCAACTGTCTTTGCTCGCATTCCCCAGGAAATCTTCGATGAGACCATCGACTGGATGGCCCGACCCACGTTCCTCGGCGCGGCACTGGTGTGTACGGCATGGTACCCGCGCGCCATGCACAACCTCTATTTCACAGTCCGGATATCCACTCACGCGCGGTTCGTGCTACTTGCGAAGCTAGCGCACGCGTATCCACGCGTCAGGAGCTGGCTCGCGACCACCCGCACGCTGTTCATGGCAGATATGAAGTTTCCCGACTACAAAATGGGATGGAGGCCGAACACTGGCCCCATCCTCCACGCAGTGCCGCTTGTCTTCGGCCGCATGATGTCGGGCTTGCAATCCCTAGATATTGAGGGGGCTGTACATCCTCACATGCTCCCCAAGTTCGCCCTCGCCCTGTCCCAGTTCAAGACCGTCAAGTCGCTGCGCCTGCGCGTCACGACGCCGAATACCGTCTCGCAAATCCTGTGGATCATCTCTTCGTTCCCGCAGCTCACAGACCTCGACTTGCACAGCGATACCTTCGTCGCCATACCGGAGTCTTCGGGAAATACGAGACTTAGTCACTTCGAGCCTCGTTGCGATATCCGGCTTCGTCGCCTCCGGATTCAGACGGACGGGTTCGAGGTTCAGCCAAGTTTGACTGGCGCATTTGTCGGTTGGCTCGTGAGGTCGGATATTTGCACCTCGCTGGATGACCTGACAGTCTGCTGGGAGAATAGCACCTCGCTGCCGATGATGGTCGGATGCACCAACAGGATCCTCCGAGCAGCCGGACCATCTCTAACTCGATATCTCGAAGAGGCCGTAGATACGGGTCGGTCAAAACCTACTCCTTATTGTTGTATTGCAGCCTAACACCCGTGTCTGCCCTAGATAGCGAGCAGCATGCAAATCTCGTTCATAACACCAGTTTGAGGAGCATAGGATTCGGGCTGGGCCTCATCGAGGATGCCAAACCTACTCACCGCTGGTCTAGGCTGGTAGATAACTTGACTAGCATCCTTTCCACAGTTCGAAGCTGTCAGCTCGAGCACATATCCATGGCGTTTCTGTTCAAGATTACCGACGACGGGCTCCGAGTCGACGGTTTCCGAAAGGTCCTTGAGAACCTTAACCTGATGGGCGTCCACGACATCATGCGCCGATCTTACTTCGAACGACTGAAAGACGTCGAGATGACGATAATGACCGGACACAGATCGAGATTGCATTATGTGAGCGAGGCCGACGTCCGTCAAGAGCTCCTCGCCACGTTCCGGGCTTTACTCAAGCCGTGGTGTGATCGCAATATAGTCCGGATCGACCTCTCCCGCAGGTGGTAACTGAGACATTCCTCGGGCAATGTGACGTGAGCGAGTTCTTGCGCATGTACAGGCGTGTTTCTCACCTCACTTTCCCTCTTCCCATTCAGTGATTCTTGATGGATTCTGCACGGGTACCTGTGGAAATGATGGAGAGAAGTATGAAGTGCTAGCCTCAGTAGGGTAAGTGTCGAGGGCATAAGACCTGCTGAGGCCGTACGATATTGGCGGAATCGTTCCGCGCGATGCCTCCGATATCACACATGTGCTAGCAGCGGGTGAGCTGACCATCCCCAATACACCGTATGCTATCATCATATCACCCCCTTTTTGACGGAAAGATTCTGCGCTATCCTGCGTAGCATAATCATGATAGGAAAAGGTGGACCAGGTAACGCTATACACAGCGTGTGTTGGTGTCAGCGGGCGGCTCTCCTGAACCGCACAGTACACAGCCTTGATGCAACGATACTTCGTCTTCTGACGACTGACAGCGCACACAATCGTTCCGGCAGGTCACCGGCAGATACCACTCGACGATGACGACAACCTTGTCTCACGTTCGTGCTGTCTATTTTTCTGCTGTGTCTGAGCCCCGTTGACATGTGTATAGGTTACAACCCCTGCCGCAGACGCTCTGCACACACAGATCGGCGAAGGGCGGTCACCGATCTAGGCACACTACCTCCGACTCTGTCCGCTCGCATTGCGCTCGAGATCTATGAAGATATCATCGACTACATGGAGCAATGTGCACTGCCCCAGGCCGCGCTGGTCTGCTGGGTATGGTACCCCCGTGCCATGCACATTCTCTACTCCACTGTTGAGGTCAACACTCGCACGAGCTTCGATATGCTTTTGAAGCAGGCTCGTACGTCTCCGCGCGTCAAGCAATGGCTCGCATCCACGCGTACGCTGATCGTCGTTGATGGCTTCCTTCACTACGACTCCAAGGTACTACGGGGAGAAAGGATGGTCGCTTTCTTCATGCACTGCCTCTTGCCTTCGGTCGGACGATGTCCGGCATACAACGCTCGAGATTGGCGGCAGCCTATATCCTGCCATGCTCCCGACGTTCGTGATGGCATGGTCTCAATTCACAAGTCTCCGCACGCTGCGGCTGTCCGATCTCGAGCTGAACAGCGTCACCCAATTGCGGTAGATCGTTGTGCCTTCTCAGAGCTCAAAGAACTCGCTCTATACGGAAGCGCCTTGCACTGCGACAGTCTGCGAGCAATGCCCAACATGTCATGTTCCAACCCGGGTCTCGCGTCCCGAAGCTCCATCGTCTCGAGATCGACACGTACAGCTACGACGTAAGCAGGTGGGAGACCATTATTGACTGGCTCGCATACTCGGGCGTCACTTCCCTCGGCGAACTGACGGTCTACTTGACGAACGAACCCGGAAGAAGTCTCGGCCCCTCGACAGGCTCCTCGCAGCAGCAGAAGCATCGTTGTCTCAGTATTACGAGTTCGTCAATGACGACGCCCTCAGCATTCTGGCTGGGTTCTTTCCAGCTCGCCGTCAGCGCCGAAATCTTACGTCCAACACATCCTTGCGAACTCTGCACTTCATGCTGCACGCCATTGATGAAGCCAGCCTCTCCATAAATGGCCCTTGGCAGTGGACGAGATACGTGGTGTCTTGGCTACTGTCCGGAGCCAGGAGCTCGAAGACGTAACGATCTGGTCCTCCTTCAACCTATACGGAAACGCGTTCGACGAACTTCGCCTCATCCTGGGCAGCTCGACCTACGGGGCCTGCACGGTGTCATGGACCAACCGTACTTTGACCAGTTGACGAGGGTCAAGGTTATGATGATGGTAATCACGATCGCGGAAACGGAGCAAGACTGAGGCCGACGACATCGCCCGAGAGCTCGCTCTGTTCCTCCAAAACGTACTCGGACCATGGAACGCTCGCGGTTTCCTGCACGAGTGGCGGTCACCCCATACATCACGAATGTGAGCACGCATCATTTGGTTAGTACGTATCGTGTTCTGATTTCATCCTCCTTCAGAATGACTGTCCCGATAGCACTGAGCGTAACCGATGATATGGTCAGACGTGCGGTGATAATAGTACTCTATACATTGCATCCTTTACTACAGAGGTCGCGGAACAAGACGAGCTACGGTCGAAGAGAAATCGACTGAACGTCAAAAACGTCTACATCGTAGGGTAGACGAATCCCAGAGCGGGCCCTTCTGATTCTCGTCACGTACTCGTAAACACGCGACCAGTCCCTGCAGACGTGCGTTGACCCTACACCGTCTGTCCCAATGAGGTTGCCCTTTTCGTCCTTGGCGTCCATAGCATCGATGGTGATATCGGAGGAGCAGAGGACGGCTTGGCGGAGGTAGTTCAGGCATTGACCGCTGTGTGCGTTTGGCCCGTAGATCAGAGCTTGACGGAGGGTGTCGATGCACTGCAGCTGCGTGAACATCGACACGTTGAATTCCCGTCCTACATAGAGCAACGGCGAATCAATTGGCCAGTGCCGCGCGAAGATGGTCGGACGCTACCTTCGGGGCCGAGACGAACGCTCGGGTGGCCCTGAGGAAACATGTGCGTGAGGGTCTGCCACTCCGTCCACGTATTGAGATCGCCCGTGATCTTGTAATGGTCCGAGTTCTCAACGTCATGGCAACCAGTCCAGCGACACGGGAAGTTCCCTCGGATAGTCATGATCTCCAGTAGAACCTGTAGAATAAGGCAGTACCGTGGTGTTTCAGTTGCGGTATTGAACGACCAACTGTCCACATACCGTAGTTCTTCCGTTCCTCGACGCGCTGCCTTGGAGGTTTGACAACGTGATAGCGTTGAACGCGACACTTATGGCCAGGACAATCCAAGCATAGGCTGGCGGTCCCGATAGCAGACGCGACAGACGGTGCAGCATTGCGCTCGTTGGCTCAGTTGCACACTTGATATCTTTGATGGAAAACGATCTTCAATGTCTACGGGAATGGGGCAAAACAATCAATCCGTACCGAGGATTGAAGTGTGGCTTGACTGCGGGTGGAACGAGGGAACAACCCGACACGATCCCGCCGTACGTGAAGGTTCAGTCCAACAAAGGTCGCCGGGCTGCCCGTGGGCGGTGTGGGCGCCGATGATGGGGCGCTGGTCTGTCAAATGCATCAGGCAGTGTACTGTTGCGGTCTAGGACTGTCTACGAGCGCTAATATAACACACGTACGTACTTTGCGCATTAAATCTGAGATCACCCCAAGTTGGTCAACAAAACATACCAAGCAGTCAAGTACCAGCTTGCGGAGATCTACTACCTGTAGGTACTGCGGCGCTGAACCTATCTGAAGGACAGTGGCTTCGGACTGATCATATTCCTTGATTATATAGTGTAAATTAACCAACTCATCTACTACGGCGTTCAATATCAATTCAAGTGCCCCATCTGCGGCGAGACGACTCAGTGATCCATTCAAGCAGCCCCCCCTCGGTGATTAAACCACAGCTTCAACGTGCTGCGCCACATCTCGTCTATGACAGGGATAACGACATTCTCTTGCCTCCGATCTCCATTAAGCAGCTGTGGTAAGAGCTGCACGCGCCGCGTGACCTCAATCTCCGCGCCTTCGTTCCAAAATACCTGCCTCCCTCGAAGTGCCAGCAATATATGCCACGCGGGAAGTTCGCGAGATCGCGCAGTGCCTCCCGGAGCTGCTCGTTCGTAGCGGGGCCCCAGCGCGGCTCGAAGGCATGGTAGGCCTTCAAGAACCTCTCTTGAAGAGCGACGTGCTGCCTGAAAAGCATTGCGATAGCCTCTTCAATGCCGAGCTTGTGTTCGAGCATGTGGCCGTGACGAGGTTGTGCCGGGCGTCGCCAGCACTCTGCTCCGTGTTAAACGATATTATGTCCTGGATGCCGGAATGGACATGAACGTTAAGTCCTGTAAACTGCAGGAATATACGGCACTTACATTATCTATGATCAGCATATCCGTGACGCACAAGCTCATTTCTGCCATCGCAGGATGGTAGACAACCTCGTCGGGCAGCTCTTGCAACATGAGGCTACAAGGACGGAAACCGACCGTCTCCCGGCGGATATCAAGTAACTATCGATGGACCGGTACAGGTCTGATCGCGGTCAGCCGCCTCGTGACGACGATTCGACGTAGTCGTGAATAATCCACGAAACGCGCTGAGCGATGCGCCCGACTGCTCCGCTGTCGATCGCGTGCGCCCAGAATCTGTGCAAACAACAGTGAGCTTGACTAACAGAAAGGATTCATCGGACTTACCGGGTGTGATCTCTCCTAGGATACTTCGCCGTCGGGGCGCGGTCGTGTGGATATGCAGCGCATGTACGACCGCATCGACCATCTTGCGACATCCTTCCGCGTTCTCCACGTCGGTATAATGGTCGAATACGAAGAACAGATTGAACAGGTCGCAACCGGTTCTCAGAATCTCTGGCGACATGGCAACACTCAGTCTGTGACTCAATGCGACATGCATAGCCGATACTTTGTTGGAAAACGGGTAGACCAGGGCAGCCGCAAGTGCTACAGAACCCGTAATAAGTTCTGTTCCTTCGTACACCTCGAGCGCTCACCAACGTTACACTTGTCAAAGGCTCGTTGAGATTCTCATTGAACGCTTGGAAGGAGCGGAACCACTCTGCGGACGCAGCTATGACCTCATCAGCATATGGGTTGATGCTGCGAGGCCAAGCCAAGACTTCATGGTATCGGGAAGGGATAGGAAGTTGTAATGGCCATCTCTCGTTCGGGCTGTTCGAATGGTAGTGGATGCTCGCATTGACCCAGACAGACATGCTTTATATGCTGTGATCCACCGGTGGCACTCACCTCCCTTCCCATGAAGTCCGACTGTCGGTGTAGAGCTAAGCCCGCAGACTAGGACGGTCTCTTTATTGAAACCGGCTTCCGTATGTGCTTCACCTAGCCGACTCGGAGTGCAGTAATAATGCATACGCATATGCGCCGAGCGTCCTGTGCGGCGCCGAGTGACAGCAGGCATGCATGATTCCAAGTTCAGGACCAAGCAACACAGTGTTCTCCGTTCCACTGTGAGTGCGGAGCGCACAAAAGAGGATAGGCTGTCTGCATCAATGAGGGAAAGGTCACCTCTCGCGCGTCTTGTCTCGGACTCCGAGGCTCGCGACATCGCATCAAGGTTGGATGGGCCACCAGAACATCCCCGAGACGTGGCCGTCGGTGTCCGATCTGGTAAGAATGGTGACGTCGGGGACGACGCTGAACGGGGAGTTCGTTATGTTAATGTAGTAGAAATTGTGAAGTTGGGCACTCACTGAACGAAACTTGTACGGCAGTCACCGTGCTGGTCTGCGTTATTTTAGATGAAGAGGCGAAGCTGCGCTTCATCCGTCCTTGCCAAGCCCTTGCCGGCGAGCGCAGCCAGACATCCCACGGATAGGTTTGCTATGGAGCGTTATATTCCCTTGCTGAAACAGCGAGATCGCCGAGAGGCGCTTGAAACAAGGCACGTCTAGACGACTGCCTCTAACCTCCTAACAGTACATGCAATTGGGTGAAAGATGCAACGGGTAGAACAGGGATGTGGCAGACCTTCATGACGGCTCGAGGACATGCCACAGACATGGCAATACAACGCATGGGCGGAGGAGAGATACGCAATCAAAACTCGGAGTCGCACGCGCGCTTCTTGCATTTGCCCCTAACAACCCATCGCAATTTCCGAGTCCAGTGTCGCCGTCCGCCTTTCATTAACGCGCTAGGCTGATGACTCGGACAGTCAAACGCAGATCATGCCCTAGACTAGAGCTACTCCCTGTCGCAGGTAGTATCCGACTACATCCCGCTTTCTGAGATTTACGAGGGAATCATCGACAGGATGGACAGCTCCGCCGCGTTATCACGCGCTGCTTTGTCGGTGGTGGGGCGCGCAGCGCGCAAGCTCTACTTTGATCCACATTAATACCCATGCATCCTTCGATTGTCTGGAAAAGCAGCTACTCACTTCTCCCTGTGTTAAGCGATGACTCGCGACAACATGCGAGCTCCTCGCCTCAGACAGCGAGTATGCGAACCTCCGTTCAGACGAACGCAACAGACACGAAGCTGCTTCCATACTACGTACCACCGCCCTACCCTTAGAGGCGAGTTCTATCTGAGATACCGCACTCGCGGGTATCGTCCTGCGTTAGACGCATCGTGGTCGTAACTCGGACGAACTTGAATTTGGTAGCTGGGAGCAGCCTTAGCCTAATTCACGTCAAGCGAGCTATGTAAACATCAACCCACCGGCATACCCATAACACTCAGCCCCCATGGCCGTCGAGACTACCGGATATCCTCTTGCCCGTCCCCTGGCACACGACCCTGCTTGGCCCATCACCTTGTGTAACTGTCGCGCCAGCATATATATAGCGAAATTCCTCGCGTTTTTGACATTATACAGGCGAGCGAAGTCGCGGAACGGAGTTAAAACAGAGCATGCATGATGGCAGACGCAAGAAGGATGCCAGCGAGACGGATGGCCGAGCTCAGTCTACTTACGGCAACGCGCCTTCCCGATCGGCGTACTTACTTCGCCCACGACTTCGATGTGCCCTCCTCGTCGCCCATCTATTTTTTCAAGTTTGCGCGCATCTGTTATAGCTTGAGCCCGGTCGAATCGAGTCGAGTTTCTGCCAGGTTCCTCTCATCTTCGCACGACGCGGCCTCAGCGTGGACGGGCGGCGAGGGGTTGCAGACCCGGGTGCTTGGTGCATTATGGATGAGAAGAGCAGGATCAGCACGGTTGCGTAGTAAGTACTTAAGTACTCACTCAGTGTCAGTCTCGTTGTGCGACATAAAGAGGCTATTCCGTAGCTGCGCACTCCATTATCGCCCTCGTCAGCAGTTTGATTACGGCGTTTCGACGCAATTGTAGTTGACCGCCTATAAATGGCGACATCAATAGCCCCGGAACCAGACAGGTGAGCTCTACAAGGCTCTGCAGTGGTGGCGGTAGTCGAGGCTAGTATGTACTGGTCGATCTTAGTTTCCGTGACCGTGACGATCTGTCCCAATGCGGTTGTTTGGGATGATTCATCCGCCGCCCGATCCCGCCCACTGCACAAGCTGAGTAACTGCTCCTCCGACTCCGGGATCGTCGGTAAACAGAACTTACACTCTGTAGTCATCGAACTTCGTGTTCAAATAAAAGCAAGGATCCGTTCACTCGCAAACTGGGCCATCTCATAGCATACTCACACAACCATGTCCGACACGAAAACTCTCGTTCTCGTCCTGGGAGCCACTGGACGCACCGGCCGAACGGTCATCGATGCTCTCCTGAAGACCGGTCAATATGTACGTCCTTCATCCATTCCTTCGAAGGCGTCCTCGGTAACTCCGCTCCGCCCCTTTTCCTCAGAACGTCGCTGCACTGACGCGCTCGGCGTCCAAACCGGAAGTCGAGGCACTTCGATCGCAAGGTGTTGAGATCCGTATCGGCGATTTTGCCGCGGACCCGCCCGCGAAGCTCTCTGAACATCTCAAGGGCGTCGACGTGCTCCTGAGCACCGTCTCCGCAGAGGCGATCATACAACAGAAGCCGATATTCAAGGCTGCGGCTGATGCGGGTGTCAAGAGGCTTATTCCGTGTGACTTTGGAACGCCCGGTGCAAGGGGCGTCAGAGATTTGCATGACCTGGTGCGTCCTCCACTTATCTCTACAGGATGACGGCGCGATTGATGGACGATCATGTACCTTCAGAAACTCGATATCAGGGAGTACCTCCAGGAGCTCAGCGCGGCCTCTAATGGCGCCTCGACCTACACCTTCATCGATATCGGGTGGTGGATGCAGCTCGCGGTGCCTGCCTCGTCCACGACTCCCTCGATGCTCGGCCCGCTTATCGACGAGTACTATGCGGACGACGACAAACCGATGCTCCTCACAGACATTGACCGCATCGGCCCGTATGTCGCCCGGATCCTCAGCGACTCGCGCACGGCCAACCAGTACATCATCATCTGGGAAGACGAGCTGAGCCTCAAGGAGTCGAGGGAGATCGCAGAGGCTGCCAGCGGGGAAGGCCCGACTATCCGTGCCAGGCGTGTCGCAGTAAGCGATCTCCTCCTATGTTTCTCATCACCATATTTCTGACTCTGTCTTCGGCGCAGATCGACAAGGACGCGTTGACTCAGCGCGCCGCTGAGTATAAGGCAGTGTACGCGGCCTCGGGCGACTCGGGCGCACATGCGGTCACCTCCTTTTCGGAGTACATGATCAGCATCCACTTCCTCGGCGAGGACTCCCTTGCGAACGCGAAGAAGCTCGGCGCGCTCGACGCGCGGGAGCTCTATCCCGACATCGCGCCAAAGCGCTTCGCAGACTTTGTGAAGGCATATTATGGGAACGGCGCGGCGCATTGACTGGGCTGTCGTCTTTGGTCAGTAATGGGTTGTGGTATAGGACGCGGGAGCAATGATGAAAGGACGGTCAGAGGGCAAGGGATAAAGCATCTTCGTACTGATTGTCTTTGCTGAAATCCAATGTGGTTGATCAATACAGCGTTGCACTTACATGGCGGGCGAAGGATATCACGAAGCGGGGTCGCCGGCGGTGATGAGCACCGGCGGCCATAGCAGCAATCATTGCCAAGGAGGTACATACTCACGAACCGCACGGTGACGGTGATGGGAGTCGAGCTTTACATCTCGATCGATCAGCAAATTCCGTACCAAGCCACAGGCGATCCTGAACGTTCCTGAACGTTGAACTTCCGACAGCTGTCATGTTTGCGTACCACCCATCTACTGCATAGTATTCACACAAGCGCTTTGTGTGCTACATACGAGCCATACCAATGTCGTGCACTCGAGTACCGGGCCCAGGTGGAAGTGGCACGCGCTCCTCAGAATTGCCATTGTGCAATAGCAGTTTACAATCGCAGGTGAGCTTGTCGAATGTTGCTTGGCTTCGAATCGCTGAGCCCTCCTGCCTGATGCACTTAGACTGGCATACGCCAAGAGGCGGCCTCCGCGGGACGTCGCAGCTCGTTATCTCCCATGGTGAACACCGTGACCATGCGCCGCAATCCGCCATATCTCTACTCATGACCCAGATCGCCCATAACCCTTAGGCTGCATAAGTACCAGGCGGTCTGCCTGAGCCTCGCTCTCGGAGTAGTCTCTTATCTCTCCGAGTCGAACATCCGCGTACCAGGCAAAGTCCGCCAACAACACTTCGGCCATGGTCGAGCCGGTGTCCCACCTACCTGCGTACGACGACGACGAAAAGCATCTTTCCGACAGCTCTTCCGTCGAGAGACAGCTCAAGGCCGACGTCGTCGTCGACGATGCCGAGCTCACCAAGAAGGTCGAGGCGTTGGAGGACCGCATCGCCAACGACGAGGCCACCGAGGCTGAGTACCGTGTCGAAGAAGCATACGAAGTCGCCGTCAAGGCAGGGTATAACTTCCTTCCTCTCATACGGACATGATTGCTCATTCCCACTCTTCGCTAGGTCTTGTCGGCGAGGGATGATCCTGAGCTCCAGGCGGTCACATTCCGCACTGTCTTCCTGGGCCTTGGCTTTTCGGCATTCGGAGCGTGCGTAGCCTATGTTCGTCGGGTTTGTGTGAGCTTGAAGTCAACGCCATTGCAGCGTATTGGCGCAGATATACTATTTCAAGCCTCAGACACTCAGCGTCTCGACGCTGCTCCTGCTCATCCTGTCGTACTGGTTCGGTAATGGAATGCATATGGTCATGCCCGCTAAGGGCTGGTTGCGCTGGCTGAACCCTAGTCCATTCAACAGTACGTGCGTTGACCCTACCGTCACGCGGGGATCTGACGTGCACTCTGTAGTCAAGGAACACACGGCTATCATTATCATGGCTTCCACAGCCTCTCACTCTGCTGTTGCGATTCAAGTCATCTCTGTGCAGAACTGTAAGTCACGTAACATGACATCGAGAGCCTAATACTCATTCCACCTCTCTAGTGTTCTACAATAATGATATGGTTTGTCCCACGTAAGGCATCAAGCAGACCACTAGACACTTACTCGTGCACAGAACCCCGGGATCGCCATTTTCACATTGATTGGCTCACAATTGATTGGGTATGGGTATGCAGGTCTGCTCGCCGAGGCTCTCGTTCGTCCGACAAAATGCTTCTGGCCAGCCACCAGTATGTCCAAATCAAACGACCATGTCCCGCATGTTTTCTGACTCAGTCTGTGGTACAGTCTACACTTCCAACCTCTTCCATCAGCAAATGTGCACGTTACTTAGCACGTCTTGACGGACCTTACGAGTCTTCATGTCTTAGATTCTTGCTTGATAATCACTTACTCTCCTTGCGTACTTGATCAAACAAGCGCGAAACAGTGAGGATAGACATAAGCAGATATCAAGCACGAGTAAGGAACAACGTACAATTAAGTATGTAAGTACATTCTGGCAAATGCAATCCTTGAAGTCTGCATACCGTGATAATGATTATTGACGCAGCTGAGACAGACCACCGAAGTTCCGCGGATAGTATATAGAATCATCAAGGAGGGTACATTACATCTGGCCACTCCCTATGCTATGTAGTATGCTACCATTGTCTCTCGTCGACGTCATATAATATGAGAAGCCCATCTTGTGAGCGCGCACGCATTCTCTGCCAGTACTGATTGTTGTAGAGTCATCTTCACCCGAGGAGAGCGAGCGAGTTGATGGGCGAGCCACTGAACGTGCGATTCGCGAACGTATGGGACAAGTACACGGGCGATCTTGCGTGAATGAGCGAGCAGGTGGGCGGGCGAGTGTGAGCGAACGGCGAGCAAGCAGGTACTGATCTAATTCAGTTCATGGCGCGCGCTGTATATTTCGTCACGCAGGGTAGCAGTCGCAGGTAGAAAAGGTGTGCCGCGACCTAGGCGCGATGCCCCGCTATAACTGTTCGAAGAGCGCATGACGAGCACAATGACTCGGCTCGTTGTGCTGCCTTGTGCCCCGTAGACCGCATCGCGGTCTCATCATCCGCAAGTTGTGACGATGTTAGACGCACCAGGGACACTCGTCGGCAACATGCTCACCTGGAAACCAGCTTAGCGTATCCGCTGCGTGACATGCGGCTGTAGATGAGTGTCGTACGCGCAGCTACACGGCTGTATCGCACGTATCGTCTTGGCCGTAGAATGGATGCCCCATGTTCACTGCCAGCAGCGTGCACAGCATTTTTCTCATTCGTTACGTCGCTGGCAGCTCGGGTACTGGAATCTGGGGTCTGGAAGCAGACTCGGAGACGAGATGAGCATTTCAATACATACCTGCAAATCTCCAGCCTTCTGCTCGCTCTCTGTGCTCGCTACACCCTTACTTGTCAGTCCTCTCCTTTGTTCCCCGTCGTGCGAGTCGGCGCGGCCAGAGTGCGGGTCGCCACAGCCGCGAGATGTGAGAAGAGGTGAGAAGTCGCGAGTGGGTGTGCGGCGTAACGGGTGAGAGCGCCAAGAGTCTGGGCAGGAGCGAGGTCTAGTACTTGGTGGCCTCGTAGTTATGTTTCCGAGCAGTTCATGGACAAAGCTGAACGACGCTTGATGATGAAATTTAAAAAATGGCGCAGTTGTTTCCGTCCCAAGTGCCACAGCTGCTTGCCCTAAACGGAAATCCAATCGGACTCCGACATGACACGTCGCCCGCAATGCTCAAGCGCTCAACGTTCTCCAACCCAACGTTTGACCGTCCAACGCGCAAGTCCAATCGCAACGTCCAACATTCTGGTGCACGGCATATGCATACCACGTCATGATTTCTCCTTGCAAGAAGGGTGAAATGCACAGATACGGAGCGGCATGGCGTGCAGCGGCGCCGCAGGCTCGAGTCATTGCACGGATGCAAAGGTGAGTATGGCCCTTCAAAGCTTCAAGCTTCAAGCTTCAAGTCTCCTGCCGAGCCTGTCACTAGAGAACACCGAACACTAGATGATACAGCGCGCACGCACAACGCCTGACTCGGAGGAGCCTGTGCTTGCCTACCCGTTCGCCCTCTTGTACATCTGCCCATTCTTGCCTATTCGCGCGCTCACGCTCGCCTTCTCACTAGCTCGCCGCGCTCGCCTTCTCGATAGCTCTCTGCCCTCGCCTTCTCGTCAGCTCGCTCTCTCACTAGCTCGCACCCGCCCGCCTGCCTTGCCTGCCCACCTTCGCTCAATTGCTAGAGCACGTTCGAGAGGTTCGCGTCCACCGCGAGCTCGAACCCGAACGTCGTCAAGTACGCGAGGCTCGGGAGCCACGTCAGCGGGCTGAGCGTCGTCTCCTTCACGACCGCCATCGTCACCGGCTGGTTCACCGCGACGTCCACGCTGCTCGTCACGACGCCCACCGCATCCGGGTTCGCAGCGTCGACGGGGGAGACGTCGACATCCGCGCTCGCCTGCTTCTCTTTGTCCGTCCGCTTGTCCACTTTCTCGGCGTCCTGCAGGGTCGACAGCTCACTCGCTTGCCCTCCACTCGCCCTCGCCCTCCTTGCTATGTCGCCCGCGCCGCAACTCACCCTTGCTTTCTCGTTTGCTTAGCTCGCTCGCCCACGCACTCAATGGCCCACTGCCGTCGCCTTCTCGCCCGCTCTCCCTCATGCTCTCGTCATCGCCCTCTTACCCGCCTGCCCGCTTTCCGCCTGCCTACCCGCCCGTTTGCCTGTCCACATACTTGCACTCACTCTCGCCCACAACCCCTTTAGCATGCACCGCCTCTCGCCCGCGCTCCCGTGCACCCGTTCGGCCAGCCAGCCGCCCACTCGCGCACGCGACTGCCCACGTGATTGCCCATGGACCTACCTACTTGCTCGCGGATCGGCTCTGTGTATGGTGCCCATGCCCAGCTCGTGTACGCCAGCGAATACAGTAGTATATTGTAATTCCATACGTACACTGTAGAATGAATTGGCATATTTCCGGAATATATTTGTGTCCCATGGAACGATTTGAATGAATAGATCGATGTTCTTGAAGGCCACTTGATCCACGATTACAAGTCTTAATGTCAGCTTAGCACACAACTTAGTCGAGCTTGATTAAGACGGTTCAAGTAGCACGCCCCTTAATAAGAAATGGTACCTCGTTAATTAAGCACGATCACTTATTCACTGAATGCCCTTGATCGACTTATTAAGGTGTTTAAGCCCAGAATAAGCAACGTGCACATTTGCTGATGTCCAGGCCCTCCACTACGACAGACAGATGACCTCGAAGCGCGTTCGTCTTTTCTGGACCATCTTCGCCGTCATGTTCTGCTGGGAGATCATCCCTGCATGTGCGTCTACGCCGCCTATCTTCATTATGCGTCTCCCTATACTGATGCATCTCAGGGATCTTCCCCCTCCTCACCGGCTTCTCGATCTTCTGTTTGGCGGACAACCATTCGGCCGTCATGCGGAACATTTTCGGTGGCGCGTCCAACAACGAGGGTTTGGGGCTGCTCGCGGTCTGTTTCGACTGGAACCTTATCGGGTCCAGCTGCCTCTGGGCGCCGCTCTGGTTGCAGATCAACCAGGACATCGGTATCTGCCTGACGTACATCCTCATGTCCGCCGTGTACTACGGTAACATCTGGAAGGCGAAGAGCTTCCCGTGGATGAGCCAGGACATCTTCTCTGAGGACGGGTCCGTGTACAACCAGACCGCGCTGCTGAGCGACGGCAGGTTCAACGCGACCAAGTACGAGGAGCTCGGGCCCGCATACTTCTCCGCGACGAATGCGCTCTACCTGATCACGTCGAACCTCGCGCTCGGTGCGATCGTGACGCACATCGCGCTCTACCACCGGGACGAGCTCAAGCCGTTCTTCCTCTCGCTGAACCCGTGGAGCAAGGAGGAGCACCAGGTGCACGACGCGCACTGGGAGAAGATGAAGGCGTACAAGCAGATTCCGCGCTGGTGGTACCTCGCCATCCTTCTCGCCGCGTATGCTATCGCGCAGGCGACCAACTACACTGGCGAGTCGGGTCTGCCGTGGTGGGCGCTGACGGTCCTCCTCCTCATCGGCTTCGTCTTCTGTGCTCTGTACTCCACCCTTGCCGCCACCATCGGATTCACCGAGTTTTCCAACTCGGGGAACGGCTTCTTCCAGATGATCACAGGTGCGCTTTCGTCTCTCGTGTACCTCTTATTGCTCCCGCTCACGAACGGGTTCACTAGCGTACATGGTTCCCGGACGCCCCGTCGCAAACATGTACGGCGCGATGTACGGCGCGCACCCTCTACAGCAGGGTATCGCGTTCCTGCAGGACCTCAAGCTGGGCCAGTACTGCAAGCTTGCACCGCGCGTCACGTTCTGCATGCAGATGGCAGGCACTGTGGTTGGCGCGGTCCTCAACTACGTGACGATGCTGTCCGTCATTGACTCGCAACGCGACGCGCTCCTGTCGATCGCCGGCACGCGCCTATGGTCCGGCCAGAATGCGCAGAGCTACAACTCGAACGCGATCGCGTGGGGGGCACTTGGCCCACAGATGTTTGGTGCGCACTCGACGTACAAGATGGTCCCGATCGCGCTCGCCATCGGGCTGTTCCTACCCCTGCCGTTCTACATCTGCGTGCGTACCTGTGCTCAGATCGCTGCCACTCTGACTGACGTCTTCTTCGCAGTATCGTATCTGGCCGAAGGCTGGTTTCCAGAACCTGAACACGTCGATTATCCTGCAGTACTCGTGCTACCTCTCCGTCGGTGTCAACACGCAGGTGAACACGGCAATGGCGCTCGGCATCTTCTCCCAGTGGTGGGTGCGCACGCGCTACCCGCGCTGGTTCACGAAGTATAACTACATCGTCGCCGCGGCGCTCGACGGTGGAACCCAAGTCATCGTATTCATCCTCAACTTTGCCATCTTCGGCGCGGCGGGCCGTACAGTGCTCTTCCCGGAGTGGTGGGGGAACGATTTCAGTTTGTCGGCGGATCGCTGTCTCTCGCCCCCGTCGTAGATCCCCGTCTGGGTGGAATGTGAGGCGAGACGTTGGGGATGACCCTGTTATCATGTTTTCGCCTGGGTTCTTGTCAAGCTGTGTAATGCGATCCGGCAGTACGGTCACATCGACAAGTAGGCGGCTTGTCCGAGTCCTTCAACCCCTCATGTTGTGATGAAGCGGTGATCTACGACGATACTGCACTATAGATTGCGTAGTGTAGTACCAACCTGGCACCTGGTCCCAGCCCCGGTATGCAGCTGTATCTCACATCGAGTCTTCTGTACTATGGGACAATAATATTGTCGCTTGAGTGCGCCGGTTCACGGCGGGCGCCTGCCAGAACCGCACTTGCCTTGTTGGAGGTTAACTGGAAGCAGCGTCTTGCCGCCACCGTGCCGCCATCTCCTCCGACCGGCGACCGCTAGCCTTAGGTCGATGCTGTCGACCAGTCTACTCACTCGTGTTTCAATCTCTTTCGTCTGACTCTGGTTCTGTGCACGGACCCCATCGTTGCCCGGCGCAACCTACGCGTTCCTTTCGCTTTCGTGCTCTGCTGCTCAGGCCATTGCACCACTGGCAGTGCACGAAGCCGCACGCTGCCATGTACAGACCTATGTCTCGTCTAGTTCCCTATACCCTCGGAGCGGTATTTCTATGGGGTTCCTATACTTTGCATGGCCCGTCTTGACCGTCTCCCGCCGCTCCCACCACCGCCTCATGCGCCACTACGGCAGCACGGACACTTCCCGCCACATGGTTCCTCTCGCAAGTGGGGCGCACGCGCCGATGCAGTCAGGCATGCATTCTTGCACGCTTACGCAGGCTATCAGGAGTATGCGGGGCAAAACGACGAGCTCAAACCTCTCTCGGAGGGCGCTGTGAACAAGTGAGTCGTCAGACAATACTTTCTGACTTCGTCCTCACGCGCAAGTAGCTTCAATGGTTGGAAGCTCACGCTCGTAGACGGGCTGGATACCATGTGGATTATGGGCCTCCACGACGAGTTCTATGATGCAGTGACGAAGATAGCAGAGCTGGATTTCAATCTAGAAGAGGTGCGTTTCCCAGTCATGCACCAATATATCATACCTACACTTTGCGCTCTACGCAATCACTCAGTAGCCTCTGACTGACTGGATCCCAGGGTTCGTTTGCTCCCTTTTTCGAAACGGTGATCCGTTACCTCGGCGGAATGCTCTCCGCATATGCTCTCTCCGGCGAGCCCGTACTCCTTGGGCGCGCAGACGAACTTGGCTCGATGCTACTGCCCGCGATGAAGACGGATTCAGGCCTTCCAATGTACGCCGTGAACACTAAGACGTAGGTCGATGGTCCTCATTCTGTAGAATCGTCAACAGCTAAGATGCGTCGTAGTGGCGAAACGAGACAGGGATGGACACGGGGCACCGTGCTCTGGGCAGAGGCGCTCAGTTGCCAGCTTGAGTACAAGTACCTCGCACATCTCACTGGCAGGCAGAATACTTCCAGCGCGTATGCTCGCATGCTTTATTGCCACTATGTCATCACTCAACGAGAGCAGGTCGAGCACATCATGGACCTGATGAACAGTGCAAATGTGACGGATGGGATGTTCCCGACGAAATGGGACCTTATCAATGGCATTCCTACAAACAGTGAGGATTGACATCATGACGCTCTGACTTGCGTTTTGCTTACTTTTGCAGCCCAGTTCTCCGTCGGCGCATTCGCAGACAGCGCGCATGAATACTTGCTGAAGCAATGGTTGCTCACTTCGAAGTCTGAGCCCAAAGCGCGCGACCTCTGTCAGTGGTCCATCTCTGTTCCACCATGGGTCCCACCCACATACTCACATCCACGACTTCAGATGTTCGCGCCTCCACCAGCATCATCGAGAACCTGCTTTCCTCACGCCCAATCGTCGACTGCTCTACGTCACTGACGTGACCAACTCAAACCCGTCGCACACCTTCGAGCATCTCTCCTGCTTCCTCCCGGCCTGCTCGCCCTCGGCGCGCACACGCTCGGGCCGAGCTCACGCCGCGCGTGCGCGACATCCACGCATGGGCAGCGCAGGGGCTCGCGTATACATGCTGGATGACGTACGCAGACCAGGACGCCGGGCTGGGCCCCGATGAGATGCGCATGGACCACCTGCCGAAGAGCGAGGAGGACCCGTATGGCGGGCTGTGGTTGTACCAGGTGGACAAGTGGGAGGAGGCGGGTCGGCCGGGGGGCGTGCCGCCGGGTTTGAAGGAGGGCCCGCGGATGCCAGCGGGGAAGCGTGATTATCGTGCGCAGAAGGCGGGGTACTTTTTGCGGCCAGAGGTGCGTCCAGCTCTTGTGTACGTGTGTGGAGAGCTGACGGGTTGGCTCTAGACGGTGGAGAGCTTTTATCTGCTCTGGAGGACGACGGGCGACGAGGTGTGGCGGGAGCGCGGCTGGGCGGTGTTCCAGGCGATCGAGCGGGAGACGAAGACGAAGAGCGGGTACGCAAGTCTGCAGAGTGTCGAGAAGTCCCCGCGCCCCAGAAGGATGAGATGCCCAGGTGCGTGAACTGGTTTCCGCTGCTGTCTACATAATTGACGAGAGCGGTATCGGCGCAGTTTTTCTTGGCAGAGACGTGCGTCTACCTGTTCGCTATGGAACGTGCTTTAGGAGCTGACGAATATTTACTCTCAGATTGAAGTACCTATACCTGCTGTTCACGGACGAGGAGCTTATACCACTGGACCAGTGGGTCTTCAATACGGAGGCACACCCTCTGCCTGTTTTCCAATGGACAGATTGGGAGAAGAAGGCATACGGACTCAACTAATACCTATGTATCGTTATTGTGCAATGGAAGAATGGTGCTTGCATACCAATAGCCAGGTACACTTTGCGTCGACGATACATGTCCTTGACACTGACTGCCGACTTGCGTTCTGGACCCTGTATGCTCCCAAAGTTTCGAGAGTGTATACAAAGTCAGACAGGCCAATCTCACACCTCGATGTCATGAGTTATGTCGTCTTGGTGACTAGGACTCGCAAATACCTCTGTACTTACAACAGGCTCTGTACTGGCCATGGTGCTGTGCACGCCGTGAGCAAATAAGGCGCACTGTCCAGGCATTAGTCAGTCCCTGGATCCATCACCGGCTCGCCAGCCTGGGCTTCTCCGGTGATGCCCGCGCACGAGCTTCCCGTTGGACCTCAATAAATATGTGCAGGTGGCTCGCATGCGAGTCTGCTGAAGATCCACCAGACGAAGCCCAACCGTGCTTTGGTCATGACTCATCCATTGCATCATCTGCCGGTCCAGCAACAGCACTACCAAGCGTCTCGCCAGACGACTTCACTCGCTTGCGCTCCCTCTCCGCCTCCGCCTCCGCCTCAATCTCAGTTTGCCGCTCTATGGCATCCGCCGTCAGGCCATTCCCCTTCTCCTTAGCCAGCTTGGCCGCTAACGCGCGCTTCTTCTTCAGTCTAGCCTGCTCGCGCTGCGTCAGCTCCTTCTGTCCCGCTGAGCCCTCCGCGCCGGGCTCCGGCGTTGCCTCCGCGAGAAGGTCCCGCCGAAGTGGGTCGTGCTCTGGGTCGACGTTCTTGGGCATGGAGGAGAGTGCGGAATAGAGATCGAGAGTCTTCAAGTCTGCGGATGTGGCTAGTGAAGAGAGGCGATGGTCAGAGGGGGGGAACAGATCAGAGGGGCGTATGGACGTACCTGGCAGAACGCATGTCGTCCGAAGTGATTCGAGGAGGGCAGGTGCATCATCGTCGTCCACCACAACCGGCTGTGGGTGTCTTGAGTGAAAGAAAAGACGGCGGAGAAACTAGAAGAAACTTACTGAACCGTACGCCCACGAGACCAATGAAACTGTAGACTGCTTTTTGGCGGTTCCTGTTTCGCTCGCTCCTATAGAAGCGTCCAGCAGTACCCAAGTGCATTGGTAAGCGCCCGGCGTGAAGTCAATGATTGGGTGACCGAAGTCAACTGCGTGGACTTTTGGTGGCGACTCCTCGCCTGGTTCTGGTAGTGGCAGTAGAAGAGCGCTGTTGCACTGGTCGAGCGAGAGTAGTGCCGTCAACACTTAGAGGTTGTACAGTGCAGTAGAGCGAAGACTGACCCAACTGCGCTGAACTGCACAACTTTGCCGCGCTTGCTCAAATCGACGGTCCGGATTTTTTGTATGACGAGGACTGTTTTGTCGGCCTCGTCGGGGTGCGCATCAGCCTGGACAGCGCCTTCCGAGGGCCCTGGAGTGTTCTCCGCGTCCCCTTCGGCCACGCCTTGTACACCGTCTCTCGCGACTGCAGATCCTTCTTCCTCCCCAATTCCGGTGTCCCCTCTAGACTACCCTCCCCATCTTGATCCACCCTCTTCCCCTTTCCCCTACCCTTCCTGCCCCTCTTCTTCCTCGCTGTGTTGTTCTCCACCGCACCACCATCTTCACCATCGCCATCGTCCCACCCGCGCTTCCTCTTCGGCGCCTTCACCTTGATGTACGGCTCCACAACATCTAGCACAGGCACTTCGGTGATCAGCTCACCGGACATCCATCCCACACTTTGAGCATCGGGTCACCGCCACCGGAGATGAGCACTCCGGGAGCGAACGCGGGGATGTGTATGGCCGAGACGAATCTACGACGACGCATGGTCACCAGGCCGTCTGCGGGAGCGCACAAGGGTATACGCACTTTGCATGTCCGAGGCAGTACCGCTCAATCACGTATCCCTTGGGGTACCAGCTTACACGGATGTGCTCGTCCCGGTCAGCGGTGATGATGTGCTTCTCGTCAGGGGTAAGGAGGAAGGACGTGAGCAGCGAGACATGGCCAAGGATAAGCTCGCCGTTGGAAGGGTTCTCGTGTGATGTGAGTGCACCGCGCTTCGAGCTGCCGGCAACGGGCTGCGTAACGTCTGGTGATTTCGGCTTGAGGTACACGGGATAGCTTCGAGGATAAGGTATCACATGAGGTTGGTGTAGGTGAACCGGGGACATTCTGCGCACACAACTCACCTGAAGACGTCTCCAAACTTGTCCGACACGATATGGTCAAGCCGTCACGGGTGAATGCAACCTCCGTCGGCTTTTTGGGTAATTCCCTGCGGAGCGAAAGGTTTAGATCAACACGCGAAGAGGCAAACGCCACGCACCGAGTGCTCAACAACTTCAAGCCGACAAGTTGCCAGACCTTCAGCTTCTTGTCATCACCAGTAGTGGCGAGGTGCGCGAAGCTATCGTCGATGGCGACACAGCGGATTGGCCCCGACTTCAGCACGTCTTCCTTCTCTTCATCGACCATGTTAGTGGTGAGTAAACGAGCTCGCCATATCTGCAAAATGTAAGGAAAATGATATAGAAATTGTCAGGGCACGAACTTTGTACCGACTATCTGAATGTGAGGACCAGAGATGAGGACGGACCACAGAGGCCCAAGCAGAAGTCGAGTATGAGGAAAGCTCGCCATCAGAGTCTCATAAATTGTTGTGTCTACAGTTAAGGAGGTAGAGAATGAGAGAGCATTGCACGGGGAGGAGGAGGAGGACGAATGAGGATGAGATTATCCTCGGCGTTGTGTGTGGTATTCCCACGCCTCGATCCCGATCGCCTGACCCGATCTGCTGAATGTGGCCTGGCAGAGTACGAGGCCGGAGTACTTACTTACGTAGTACCAGACTGGGCGACGTTGCTACCGCCTCATTCAACAATATAGAAAAATGTATTAACATGGTGAGGTACGACTGTACGCCGCAGTCGTCCTATTCTAACGGCGGCGCGGTACTACTCGTGGTGCAAGCCCGAACACGATCACATGACCGCGATATAGGAAGCGCCAGACCGCCAACGGGCGAGCGCTGGCGCGATGCTTCCGTTCGGATGACAAGCCTCTGCCTGTCTTCTCCCTGTCGTACGACAATCGAGCAGTACAAAACCAACCTCGAAACTGCGAGCTCCCTTCTGCTCCCTCTTGCTATCCCCGTCTCATCGTTGTCAGTTCCGTGGAAGTGTGTACGTGCCCCTACCGTGACCTCGTCGCTTCACATTGATCTCATAGCGGGATGCAAAAGCGAGGAATCCAATAGCGAACACCGACCCAACATGGCGAGAAGACCACTCACGTCTCGGCCCTTGGACTTGGCATATTTCTCATTCTTCCTCGTGAGTACCATACCCTCGCTTTGTCGTGATCCCGCGAGCACACCCACTTTCAATTCCGCTCATCCTCGACAACTGAATCATATGTCAGATGCACACGTTTGCGACGGTCGTTGTTGACCTCCAAGCGATCTACCCTCCACACCTCATCCCGAGTGCCATGAAGGGCGTTGTCGACTATTATCTAACGACGTACAACGACCCGCTCATCGGCGGCGTCATGGGTTTCTTCGGGCCTGCGAAGGCGGACTCGTTTAACTGGTTCGAGACATTCGTCATCATGGAAGCGTTCTTTCAGCTCCCGTCTTCCTCCTGGGCATGCGAGGGCTTTACAAAGGTACGTTCGCTTGCTTCGTGTATGGTCTACACGCTCATTACCTCCTACGACTACTAGACAGCCGAACGATCTATGTTCTCCTTCTCGTATACGCCGCCTCCGCAACAACGACCACGCTCCCCTGTCTCACCACCATACTCGCTACGCCTGTTACTCCTGTTCCTTCCGCCGACCCGAGCAGCATCAGCGTAACTCCCGCGCAGCGTCTCAGCCTTCTGACGAGTTACGTTCCCTTCCTCGTTGTCCCATTGCTCATGACAATCGACATGGGCTTCCGCGTACTCAGCATGGTACGGGTCGCCAGCTCAACGGCTGAAAGGGAGAAGAGGAAGTAGAGGGTGGTGATGTGAAAATGGCGGTGGATTGGATTGGAAGCGCAGTTGAAGCGCAGTGTCTCGTGCTCTCTTGCTGTTATCTAACGATGTTGGATTGCCTCTGTGGCCTAACAAATCTGATAGTGGAGTGCCACATCGCATGCCTCTTCGGGTGATATCGTGGAGGTGGGTACGCCTCTGCTACTACCGTGGCTCTAGGGCACCGTCTTTCACCGGACCTACGCTTCAGTTCACCAAGGCATGATCGCATAGAGGTTACAACCAATGCCGTACCTGAACAGCGAGCGTGTTGAGATCCTGAGTAGATAGTAGTATTATAGGATAAGTTAAGTAGTAGTGTTATTAAGAAAGCACAGATCACACAATAATCCGCACTCAGAAGAGGCGACATTGACCAGGAGAGATGCCGTTTGCCATCCGGAACATCGTCACTGCTCCCGACAAGCTCGAGAACTAGCCGTTACATATCAGCGATGAAGGTACACGCATGCATACAAAGGAATGTCTCACCCCATTGCCCAAAAACACCTGCGCCCGTTGGCCGATCAGCATATCCACAGCCTGCTTGACATACTGTTGCTCCCGATTAACAATTAAGTCGCGGCTGCTCGATATGGACCTCCATGCGGGACCCCGCATCGCATTCAATGCTACCTTCACCTCCGCTATCCACTCTTGTGGCGCGTTCGTCATGAGGAACACGTCCCGTAGTTCGTCCCGCCCTGCCGCACGCTCTGCCTCACGGATCTCCTGCACGCGACGGACGATATCGAGCACCTCGACATAACAGTGAGGGCGGTAGAGCTGTATGCGTTCTTGCTCCGAAGTGTTAGGCAAGTACTCGAATCGGTCCGGCAGCTCGGGAAAGGAGTTGAACCCGACATAAGTCGAGCGCCACTTCGCAAGGTGAATACAGTGCTCCGCAAAGTCACCGCGGCGGACGTGCAGCGCGAGCAACCCGGGCAAAGGCGTGTACCGCTGTGCGCTCGGCGACACGTCTGAAGAGTAGGGGTAGAGGGGAGTGGAACCGAGGGTTGTGGCTGAGGGCGAGGTGGGCGAGAACGTCTCGCGGTTCGTGTCAAATGCCAGCTCGACAAGCGATGACCAGAAGAACTCCTGCAGTATGGGTGACTTCGAATAAGCCGGCCAGACATCCAACAGACGCCGCCCGTCGCCGAAAATGCTGTCAAGTGCTCAGCTATCCATCCAGGGAACAGTCAAACGTGATGACATACTTACAAGACGTCGAAAAGGTTCCTACTAGGCTTCGGCACTTCAACGCATTTATCGGGCATGGCGCCCACAACATCAATCATCTTGTCAACGACTGAGGCAGCCGTCGGTTCATGTCCGATGAGCGCGAAGATTTGGTCAGCCGCGACCTTTCGACGTGAATGGGACGGGCAAATAACATTGAAGTAGTCTTCTGAAATGCCAAACGGGCGGGTCGCAGAGGGGTTTGACCTAGGTTGTGCACCTACGAGCGGCCCTGGCGATGCGCAGCCGTCAGACACATCGAAATCAAGATGTGGGAGACAAACCTTGTAAGAGGGCTGATAGTGTATCCTTGAGGGTATCCGTTTACCGTCGTAGAACGTGTATTTCGTGCCGTCCGTGTTCCATCCGTTGTCATACCATACAAACCTGGGGGATATGTCGCCTTCACTCGCCTTCAGCAGCTCAGGTCTAAATGAAGAGCAACTGACGTTCGGTTCGACCTGTATGCTGTGTACGCGTGTAGAAGCAACTCCTGCATGATGTTTCCCCATCCCGCGCCTTAAACAGGGATAAGTCAAGTCAGTCACATAAATCGGGAATAAACGTGCTGCGGAGTCAACATGGTCCGGATTGTATGCATGTCGAGCCCCGACCTAAGGGGAAATGCCGCAGCATTGCTACGTACACCTCGACGACTGCGCTGACGGCCGCGCAGCACAGGCGGACCCGATCACACTGCGCCTGACGATGTCAGGTGCAAATGGGAGTTAGGTGAGCATAGCGCGGTATCTGGGAGGACTGGGATGCGAGCCATACAGAAATATATACCTACTCACCGTGCACATGATTTGCAAAGAACAAGTACTTCGCTTCTGGCGGGTCCCCTGTAAGCTCTGAGAGCTCCATTTCGTATTCGCGAAAACGGTCATACAATGGTGCCCTTGATCCTGGTTCAGGGATCAAGATATCCATGACCTTCTCCACCAAGGGACCCGTCTTGCGTGAGTCCTGCTTGTAGTGCCTCACACGGGAGAGAAATCCTAAGATCACGAGAAACGTGAGTGCCAACCGGCTCAGAGGGTTCATGCAGACTCGAATTGCGCTCCGCCGATATCGTGCCACCTTGGTCTTCGCATATGGGAGGTCGTACTCCAGTTCTGTAGGGCCATGGTACGTCCACCATCGTCGTTGCAAGAGGCGGGGCATGCCAACGATGAGCCAGCTCAGAAAACGAAGAGAGACAATTGTTGGAGCGCTATCACGCGTCCGCACACTGCGCATATATGAACAGAGAAGCGCGCGCAGTAAACGTCCGATCCGGAGCTGAGGCTGATGCGTTCTGGGCGCGACCGGATATGCCGTTATAGGCTGCAATGAATGAAGGGATGTGCGGCCAGAAGTAAGCGCATGTGTCCACAGCGATGTATGTACTGACCGACACCGAATACGCCTCAACCGGCGAACATACCAGTTCGCCCGGTCCTCCTTGATACTTGCATCTCTAAGTACAAGACTAATTGGACGGAGTCACTCAAAGTCGGTGCTCAGCGAGAGGTTATGAGAACTATCGGACACTCATGCGAGTGCGCCCGGATGATCAAGCGCCTCCGGAGCACAGGATCACGAATGGATCAAAACTCGCGGGTCATCTCAACGCCAATTAATTGGGACTGCGAACGGGCAGTGTAAGCGGAACTGTGCGCAGATGCGGTATAAGCAGAGGGGCAGCAGTCCACGCACATGCACGAAACATTCCGATCATCGCTCGGGTGTGTGATGAAGGCGCGGTCACGTCTTCGACACAGCACGTTCAGTGTTCAAGCGTTCAAGTCCTGACTCGGTATAGGTGAATGGCGCTCGGAGCTGTTCATTCCTGATATGCGCACCGCCCATTACATGAAGCCGAGTCCAAGTCATGCGACATAAACTGCGGAAGTTGCCAAAGCAGAATTTTCGCTGGACGTCGACTGCGCATTGTTACGGCCAAAGGCGATCACGTACGTGTGGTTAATTCTTGCGATGTCTACTGACTAGCTGACAAGTGCCATATCGCAGCAACGACACTCATAGTCTGCGTGCGCAGTAGAACCGTCTCTTGTGCACTGAACATATGAAGTTGCTTGATAAGTCTCGTCTTAGTGAATTACGATGATGCTCACCAAAACTGAGTGCATGGCCCCCTTCGGTGTATTTATATGCACTTGCAGAAGAACGCCAACTATGCTGTGTATCAACAAGTCAATGAGAGTCAATGTCAATGGTGTGGAAGTCGGACGGGAAGAGCTACCGCCATGCGCGAGATGGGATCTGGCTTAGCCGGGATTTCCCGGACTCCGCTCTGCGTTTCCTTTCCGAACCAATTTCCAGCCTTCCGGATACATCTGATCACGGTTTACTCGTACTTACTCTCATTCAAGTCTCACAGCAAGTACAGCTTGCAACGGGTCTCCGCAGTCCTTATGTCTGGTGATTCTGCTTCATAAGCTGATATCCTGTTGCGTGCTTAGCAGATGCCACTCGTATTCTTAGTCTCATACCAAGACTTCCACGGCGCTAGTGTGGTTGTGTCGACCTACTCGTATTCTTGCCATCTCATTACTTCTCATCTAAGCTAAGTACGAGGCGCGATATTTACTGCAGCACTCTACAGATATCCGCAGTCATACCAGGCGTGTAGCTGCTGTGAGCCTATGTTGGGCTGAGACTGTGCTGTGGTATGGTCTTGTGTTCGGACGGTGCCTAGCAGGAGCGCGGACCTTTCATGCAATCGGGATTATGCATCTCAGCTACGAGGTCGACAATGATGTATACAGCGTCACTCAAGAGTTCCCTGCAGAGCTCTGATTCCATTCAGGATTATAGAGCGGGGGCAGCAAGTCGGGTACTGGTCCTGCGTCTTCTTCATGCGCCGGAGACGTTGCCCGTCCGGCAACCGATGTCGAAGGCCCTTCCATGTTGGAAGAATCAAGTCCCGATAGTACATCTTCGGATTTGCGATGTTGCGAATCCGCAACATTGGAAGGTTGACCATCAGTCGCGACCGGCAGGGAGCCTGCGGACTCGACGTATGACTTTGTGTCTTAAGTTACCATTCAGATAATCGTGTTCAACATAGCTGATTGGTTTACTCACAAGGGCTATAATGATATTGAAGGCGCCGGGATGCGGGTACGCTTCTTGCATGTCATCGCTGGTCCGCCCTGTCTTGCTTCTGGTTCGATCTCAAAGGAGCAATGCCCGACTTACGCCTTCTGCGGAAGCGTGCGAAGACGAGAATACTATGACCAGGGCTGCTAACACACTGCCTATCTGGGAACGATCATTAGATCAGAGTAGGTACGCATTTCCTGGTAGCTGTCGGAATGACACGTACAATGGTTCCAGCCATCGCTCCGCTGCCCAGACCTTCCTTTCTCGACTCTGAAGCCAATGGGGCCCCGGGACGAGGAGACAGTTGTAGTTGCCAATGCTGAAGTAGTCCTGACAATGCCTGTACAGAGAATGTACGCGTCAGTACACTGGGTAGTAGTCTGGTACCCAGGCGGACGGCACTTACGGAGGACGGCGTCGAAAAGGACGACCTCGCCCATGTTAAACGCACTTCCATTTGCACGTTCGTGAGTGTAACCGAGTAGTTTTGGGTCCTGTTTAATCCAGTGACCAGATATCTGATCTCTTCTATTGCTATGAAGGATGTCCCGGCGTCGATTGGTAGTGCGCACTGGTATTCGGGGCGTTTGGCACAGGAGGGTCAATGTGCACAGAGTATGTGCCCTCGAGTGGGTCGTTCGCCCATATATGGCGAAGCCGACGCTAGAGGTGACATTGAAGGAGACCGTGTTGTTTGGTGACGTGGTCATGATAATTGGTCAACAGCGCCATTCTTCCAAAGGATAGAGACGTCTGCCAAGTGTTACTCGGAGTGACGGTGAAAAAGGGACTGATGGCGGGTATGTCTTCGATAACAGTTGAGACACTTGTTTTTTGATCATAGACCTGACTTGAATGCGTAAGACGACCATCTGGGTGGAATACGAATACGACTCGCCCGGGTTCGCCCATACCGACTGTAACTGTCGCGCCGTGATCGTAACAGGTCCCGCTTGGACGACAAGGGTGAGCATATTGAGTCCGTAAGGCAACCCGTCTCGCCGTAAAGTACGCCCCGCCTGCAGGGGTGCCTGAGCCTGTTGTGTTGCTCGCATTCCAGCTTCTCGTATGGCATACGTCGCGTTTGCTTCTCCGTAGAGCCAAATCGCGTTACCGCCCATTGGAGCGACACTGTGCGTCGTCAAGATAGGTGGTATAAGATGACTCCTACAACCAGGGCCAAGGAGGTTGAAACGAGAGGTCAGAAAACAGCATGAATTAAAGAGTCCGCGTACCCTCCACTGTTGTTGGTGCATACCAGCATCGGTCTCTTACCCACCGAGGGGCAGAGCTGTTGCCATACCCACCCGGTAGGGTAGGTAATAGAGAGCGGTGCTTTGTCATCGAACGAGAATTGTACGGCTGATACGACATGTCAGAATCGCTTTCGCGAAGAGGGCGGAGGCAAGTTGAAGGACGGCTGGAAGGGCTTTAGGATGGCACCCTCGTTCGTGCAGGTGATATCAAATACGCAGGATTGGGCTGCGTTGCATCCTTGCCACTGCTGTGCTGCAATACAGAAATCATGCGAACTATCTCTGGACTATCACGAAGACAAGGGACGTACCGCCTCAGTGCGAAGCCATACACAATTCGGCGCGAAGTCAGCGGCCGAACCTTTCAGCATGCGTCTGCAGATAAGAGCAGCTCACCGGACGACTAGTTATTGTGCCGTGCATTCTCTGTCAGTGTCATGGGAGATCGAGGCGTAGAGCCGAACGATTATGGCAACCCTTCTTAGAGCAGGGACTGAGACTTGGCATGGGTATGACGCCAAGCGATGTATCGGGGGTTCTGAACCACTGAATGAGCACGGCGCACATGGACAAACACAGCATCTGATGATACTCCAGGGGCGAACACAAGGTTTAGCAGACATGCTGGAGTACAAGCGACTAAAAGCTGCTATGATCATGAAGCACCGTGCATTGGCATGGATTCTCAGGCGTTGGCATCCGATGAGACTTCCGGAATACACCTCCATCGTGGCGTGCATCTATCGCAATCTGTGTACAAAACACTGCACGCTATATCGGTGTAGAGGCGCGACGAGAAGTAGATGTAATGCAATCGTTAGCGCAACAGCCTGAGAGAGAAACATCCGGCCACTCACATCTATGACTGTGGGCAAAAGGCAGAGCTTATCACGCCGTGTGCATGATCTTGATTGCAGTGACGCTGGCTGGAATGGTGGTGATCAACGTGTCCTTCTACTACGGCCTGTCCAACCAAGGCTCCTCAAGAATCCACGTGACATCAATACGCCTCTCATCGACGGAGAGTTAGTCGTAGAGCTTCGTGTCCAAAAACGATGCATATACTATTCATTTGCAAGTGTGCAGCTCGTGAGTACATTTGCGCCCTAGATGTAAATATCAATGGACAATAGTATGTACGTCGACGGCGGAGGAAGTGGGCGTGAACGTGCAGAACGTGGCAGAGTCGTGATCATAATTAAAAGTATTACAGTGTCCGGCACCATGCTGGTGTGTTATTCACGCCTCCCTCGCAGAGCCACTGTTCCACGCAGGATTGTATACCGGAGGCGGAGAGACGGGCACTGGGCCTGCATCTTCGTATACAGTGGGTCCACTGACGGCCTGTGCCAGTGGCGCCGGCGGCTCGCCAACAGGGCGAGGATCCGGTGCCGAAGAACCCGCCTCAGATTTGAGGTGCAGAACGCCCGCGAGAGAAGACCGGTCTGTCGCTTCGGCTGGCGGCGATGATGGAAGGTCTGCGTAGGAATGCATGTCTACGCCATCGGTTAGAACGAGAACACTCAAAGATGTGTATGATATTCGACTTACAAGGGTTCGGAAGTATGGCAGCGATTTCCCCAGGGCTAGAGAACGTCATGAGCACGTCCTCACTGGTGCGATAGACAGTTCGTTCGCCTGAGGCCTTCGATCGACGCCGACGCAAAAGTACAAAGATCATAAAAGCCACGAAAAGCGCTGCTGCTGCACTTCCTATCTATGAGCCAAAACCAGTCAGGAGTGTATACGCAGGTTTCCTGAGTGATACATACGATAATTGCAGTAATAACTCCGACACTCACTCCATTCTGCGATGAATGAGACGAGCTCGTGGAACTGCTCGAGGATGCACTGGCCGTGCAGAAGATGAGGATGCCCTATACGCAATCATGCGTCAGCACACGCAAGCACAAGCAAGGTCAGCGAGACATACGGGGGGATAGCAGCAAACAAGACGACATGATCCAGAGTCAGCAAACTTCCGTTATTGGTCATGGTGACCGTATAGGTCTTCGTCCGGTCTAGCCCAGTGGCGAAATAACTAAGTTCCTCGTAGACGTCCCAGGGAGTCGTCGCGTTAAACTGGTACACCCCGCTCGTGTTCGGGCTATGCGACACCGGGGGATCAACGTCCACGCGGTACACGCCGTTTCCAGGGGAATTTCCTCCGTAGACCGCGAAGCCCACGCTCGAAGCGACGTCGAAAGAGACGGAGGCACCCCCGAGGGACGTCCTAAGCACCGGGTCCGCAATGTTGCCTCCCACGGCCGTACTCCCCCACCACCCCTCGATCGGGTTCACAACGAAGAACGGGTTCACCGTCGTCAGCCCCTGAGAAATCGTCGAAATCGTCGTCAAATTAATGGCGGATCTGGGACGCGGTGTCAGATGACCATCCTAGTAGGTGTAGTACACAGTGTGGCCGACTTACCCAGGCTCGCCCATACCCGCTGTGACAGTCGCGCCAGTGATCGTGACGGGCCCCTCCCGCACCGTCAGCGTAATGGTGTTGAGCGCGTACGGCGATAAGCCGCTCTCGGTGTAGAGCACCCCCTCGCGAGACGCAGAGCCCACTCCCGTGACGTCGCTGCCGTTCCAGCTCCTCGTGACCACGTACGTCCCCTCGTCCGCCTCCCCGAATAGCCAAATCGCCGTGCCTTGCCATTCGAGCGTCACAGTCGCACCGACCAGATACGTGGTATAAGACGACTCCTACAGTTCATTGAGGCGTTTGAGCGGTAGAAGTATGCGTGGAAAGCACTCGCGGGAACGGCGACGCACCCTGCTTGTGGTTTCGATCGCGTACCAACAGTCGTGATCCGTGCCCTCGTGAACGGTATCGTTGTCCGAGCCGCCTCGGTACGGCAGGTAGTAGAAGAGCGGCGCCTTGTCGTTGAAGGAGATGTTGTAAGGCTCGTACGACACCGACATGTCCACGACGCCGTGTCAGGCTGTCAGCGATTCGAGTTGCCGCGGGGGGTGGACTGAGGGCCTTGGAGGGCCACTCGGCGGGGCACCCTATACATGTCACTGGTATTGGGCCACCGCCTTACCTCGAGGTCGCCACTGGAAGTCGTGCAGCTTATCAGGTCCATCTAGACCATATCATGCATTCGAGGGTCGTACAGCCTCGGGAGTGCGAGTGGCGTAAGTAACCCACCTGGACGAGGGCCCAGGCCTCCAACGACATACCGACGGCCGCCTTCCACTAGAGACGACAGAACGGAATGTATAGCTGGGCTTCATTGAGCAAGCTCACGGATGAACGCAGGCTGCATAGCTGCTACCAAGCTGCTACTGCACCGAGTCCAAACACCTCGCATACATGGACCCACAAACCGATGGTATCCGATAATGATCACCGAAGACTCATTCCCAGGCTGGCAATGCCAGTGGCTAATGACATGCGCATCACATATGAATTTTGGCTAGACGTACCTTGTCGAGAATGGGCTTCGTGTCAATTGAGATTGAGGCGATGCCGTGAAGACATACGACCTGAGCAATTTTTGAGCGCAAGACAGTCGAGATACCTAAGCCAACGGACTATACCTTTGCCACCATCCTGCAGAGCTGGAGGCGAAGATCTTGTAACATATGGTCTTGGCGTGTGGTCGTGTACATCCGAGGTCCGAGATCAAGTCCGGGATGACTGCGATTCGGGGGGCGCCACAGAACATGTGTTGCATGCGAGGGCTTAGGAAGCCTTGCAGGCCATGACTCGATGAGACCATGCGACCAGCTGGCCAGGATGCGTACTGACAGTTTCGGAAGCATGCCCACGAATGGGCGCGAACGCGCCACTAGATATCCTCAGTGATTCGAAGCACGCGATCGCAGCCGTGGACGGCCTCAAACAGTCACACGAGGACCGAGGATATGTAGATGTGGAGAACACACCAATAATCCGAGCCATGATGGCGAATCTACGAAATAGACGAGCCCCGACCCGCCTCAAGGCCACAACGGCCACCTACTAAATGAGGGAGCGGATAAACTTGCAGGCGAAGCAGCACTGAAAATTACTCACGACGATGTACCGCTCACCGTAACGCCGGCATTGCGGGTTACAGGAGCCAAACTGAATGTGGTGATACAGAAGCTAGCATACAGGGTATTCGTGAGTAAAAGATGAAGCAGTACGTTACTTAGGGAATGAGGGCGCACCGGAGACTTGATGGAGCGATGATGGTGCGCCAGAGTGATCGGAATTCCGGTATGTATCGGGTCCCACTCATAGTGCGTAACTGCGTTTCCTCATAGGTGAACAACGGCAACGGTACATACACGATCTAGGAGGTTTCAACCCTCGAACCGCCAGCAGGTAACTGGGAGGCAACCTTGTCGACTGCCAGGCCCAGTATTGCGACCAACAATATGCTTCACCAAAAACAGGGGAAAAAAGAAAAAAAAGGATGCGTCTATGAGGGGGGTGGCAAGCGATGCATGCAATTCAGTTTATCCGTAGATTATGCAAGAACGAATACCAGCGCTACAGCTGGTATTACTGGGGGCGCCATGATCAGGGCTCAGCGACAGGCAAAGTATACTCTACTCACCTTTTATGGGCCCGTCAATCACAACTACCATCGCTGGGCCCATCCTTCCACCGCTCGTCCGTCTTCTCTATCGAGCAATTGAACTTCACCTTCCCCAGCCTCACATTCACGTCGTTGTGCCTCTCGCAAAGCCACCTGCTCAACGCGACCCTCCCACTGACGTCTGGCGGGTTCTCCTTCAGGTTCGTGTCCAGATGCGACGCGCAGTGCGAGCACGGGTACAGCACGGGCAGCGAGCGGAGCAGCGTGAGCATGTTTGCGCGCTGGTTGGGCGTAGGCTTCTCGGGATAGTACGCCGCGGTGGTGTGGAGGAACGTCCAGGTCGCGCGCCCCAGTTGTTCCACGTCCGGCGGGCAGTTGTCCGGGCGGGTGTCTGGGTCGGGCTGGGGGGCGGCGCTGGTGCCCGCCGCCATCGCCGCCATGGTCGCGGCGATGCCGGGAGCTGGCTGTTTTCCGTCCTGCACTCGCTTTGGTTTGTCGTTGGACGGCTTCCAGTAGCGGAATGCAGTACAGATCTTGCATGGCTTGCCGTCGGGCCCGAGGACCATGCCTGGCGGCAACGGCTTGTTGTCGCTGGCGTTTGAGTTCGGTTCTGGCATGGCTGTTGATGACCTGCTTGTCGAGATCAAGTACGAATTTATATAAGCAGCAAGACGAGAAAGCAATCAGTGAGTAAGCCGTTAGAAATCTCAAGCCCGTCGCAGTCAAGCGCCAGCCCAATGTTTGTTACGCGCGTCTGCCAGACGAGCCGGCGCTTCACCGACAGTGTACTGACACGCCCACCTACACCAATTTCCTGAGGCCACAAAGTGCTCTGCGGCGTTCAATATTGGCTCAGAGTCATACGGATGAGGAGGTGTGGCGAGATGCAAACTCTACACAGGGTCATTGTGGACGCAGAGTCTGACGGCCTTGAATTCGGAGCGCCTGCTTACTCCTCTCCGGTCTCGTGAATACTGCCCTGACTAATTTGCTACTACGAAGGGGATAGCATATATTCAGCCGTCTACGATGTCTTCTGCGCACAAGCTCGAGCATCGACCCGCCAGAGCCTTTGTCTTCCGACCCATCATCCGTGGAAATGGCGCCAGTTGCGACCTCGCCTGAGTCATCTTCCGCATCGCTCAGGACGCTCAAGCAATCTCCTCCTATCCTCAACGACCCAGCTTCCATGGAGGGCAACTCGCATCCTGCACCGAAACCACCGAAGAGCTCTGCGAGACCACAGGCGGTCGACGCACCCGCCCGGACGGAGTTCGCGTTCGATGATATTAAGGGGGCGTTGGAGGCGTTTGGGCGGGGCGAGTTCGTGGTGGTCATGGACGACGAGGGAAGGGAGAACGAGGGCGACCTGATCATCGCTGCGAGCGAGGTCTCGACGGAGAAGATGGCGTGGATGATCAAGCATACTAGGTGCGTTCGGCCTGTTCGTCGGATATGAAGCATGCAAGCTCATTTGGCTACGCAGCGGGTACATATGTATCGCGCTCCCGGGAGAGCGCCTGGACGAGCTCGGAATCCCGATGATGGTGTCTGAGAACGAGGACCCGCACCGGACGGCGTACACGGTGACAGTAGACTATAGACATGGTACGCAGTCTCCCACTACTCCCAAGTCCACACACCGAATACGATTTGCGAACAAACCACCAGGTACCACAACTGGCATCTCTGCGCACGACCGCGCCCTCACCGCCCGCGCACTCGCCTCGCCCTCCTCGCAGCCCTCCACTTCTCCCGCCCGGGACACATGGTCCCCCTGCGCGCGCGCCCGGGCGGTGTCCTCACGCGGCGCGGACACACCGAGACGGGGGTGGACCTCTGCGCGATCACGGGCCTCCCGCAGGCGGGTGTGCTCTGCGAACTCGTGGAAGACGACGAGTTGGGGAGCATGATGCGGCGAGATGGGTGTAGGCGGTTTGCGGACCGGTGGGGGCTGAAGATGATCAGTGTGGATATGCTGGCGGAGTGGAGGCGGGCGACGTGACGGGAAATGGAAACGGGAATGCATGAAGTCAAGTGTCCAGTAGGTGTACGGTATTGGTAACTTATCGATCTGTAGCTCTAGGGCGCGTGGTTGGTTGGAAAATGTTAGAACTCCCCTTACGTGATGCTGACCAGACAGCAAGCTGCAGTTTGACTCGCAGATCTCTCAAACGGGGTCGACGGACGATGGGTTGAACTTGTGCGACCAAAGTCGCTTTGGCCACTAGATCCATTTCTCGGCCACACGCAGCAGATGATCAAAGAGCATGTTTCGTTCGCGGTGATGGGCCCATGTGAGTTGCCGTTTGGATATTGAAATATGTTAACTCATCACGTACATGATAGCGACCCGTATAAGATCGGAGGTCGACGTAAAGTCGCGAGAATCGCTGGCTGTCCACTGAAAGGTGAATAGATGGGGAGGAGGAGGGGTCCATTTAGCCACCGACTGCCAACACGCACAGGCGCGTCCGTACCCGGTACCGCCTACTACTAGCACTAGGTAACCGCCACAGAAACGCAATGAATCGTGAGGATCCCGCTTCTCTGACCTCTCTCTGACCACTGCTTCCAACTTCGGTTTCACAGCTCATCGAAGAACTGTCTACAGACTTGGCGCGCCGGCCGGCATGTGAGTGTCTATCATGACCGCGATGTGATGGACCGAGGTTGACGCAGGCGATAGACGTTCTTTTACTGGGAAACGCCATGCATCTTGTACAGGCTACAGTTGATGCGATTTCTGTCGGACAGTCGCACATCTATTTCCCGCCGACGCTTGCGATTCTAGGCTTACCCTTATAACTAGCTGCGCGCCGCGGCTCAAGACGACATATGTACTAATAGCACTGGGGACGAGCGGCGGATGGCCCACGTGCAATCGAGCCCGACCCATGTGTGTCACCTTCTTTTGGGATTCCAGGCTTCCCCGACAAGCTTGTGCGCCATTGAGAACTTTGATATACTAGTAGCTTCGCGCATCATGAATCTTATTCTAACGTATTGTCTTCATGGCACCAAGGCGCGGGGACGACGGGTTTACAGATGGCCCCACTGTACACGGTGGCGGGACTGCGAGGTGGCGGGAACGCGAGTCAAACCCAGGACGAGAGTGAGAGCCAAGGGCACGAATCTGGCACTGGTGTTGGCAAGAGAAAGAGAGAACACACGAGTGTAACTGCAGTACTATGGGCGCCGGAGAAGACAGGTAAAGTAATATATCTCAGATTCAAGTCTCACCGACCGCCACTTGTAGCGCTCAGCCACAGCGGTTCAGCGGTTCTACCACATCGCGCTCGGCGCCGTCGTGGTTGAAACATTCGATGTTGAACGACTGACTGCCACAATGTCAATCAAGGTATGCCAACTTCAGAGCTGGTTGAGCTATAGACAACTTCATTGACGCGATCATGATCGAACAACCTTTCATAGTTATCTGCCACGCATAGATGCGCCGCCACTGCCAGCGAGCCAATCCTACATGGCGCCTCTGAGGGGTTGTCTACAAGTCCACAACTTGAAGACTCATAACGAGTCCGCGTGCTAGTACATCAAGCGCATTCTTTTCCATGCTCGACCCTGTCAGTATCGTCTGCCAGTATCCTCAGGCTCACCCGCTGCTCGGACTAATCCTTGCCGCTCCCAAACAGTGTGTCGTTGGTCCGATGCGCATCGGGTCACACCAGAAGCCCCATCACTAGTTCACAGTGACTCGAAATATGGAACAATCCCTGTCTCTGAGAGCGCTCGAGGTAAAGTAGGAATGGACGCCAACGCCTGTCATGAGTCGTTCCGGGCCTAGACTCTGACTCTGAGCAGACGAGCATAGTCCACCTCAGAGTGCTGAGCTCAGCTGCTATCAGTTGTCACTTACCCGTGGTCGGCCTTCATGACAGTTGCAATGGTCATAAGGAGAATACATCGGTCGAGTAAGTAATGTTGGACTCAGTTGATCATACATGTTGAATAAAGTCGACTGTCAGTATCATTCCGAAAATGGCCACGCACCTTCGCACTAGGGTGCATATGCATAGCGGGCTCAGAGCCCAGCCTTGACATCCACGCTGTGGTTCGATATGGCTTTGCAGCCAGGTGGGTACCTACTACCTTGCCCACGCTATGCCGTTTCAGGAACTGTGCAGAGACGAAAGCAGACGCTGTCTGGTCGTGTTTCTCCGTCTTCTACTCGGGAGCGAAGACCCAAGGCCGCCGAGAATGAATGGGCATCGGGACACAAACGCGGGACAGCGCACTGTGCTAATTGCATGACAGATGCCATTGTCGCTCGTATGCAGCGTTCGTCTCAACGCGGTTCGCTACGTTCAGTCTTCTCGGCGGCGGCGCCGAGTCGTACAGGGTATAAAGGCTACTGAGGAATGCTCGGTATCAGCAGCAAGTTCACCCACCGGAGCTTCAGAACCCAGTCACTCAGACTCAATCGCAAACCAACATGGTCTTCAACTTGAAGCTCGCTGCCGGCATCGTCGCTACGACCCTCGCGGTCCTGCAGGCCACGCCGAGACGCACACCGTCACCTTCGTCAACAAGTACGTGCTCTATCGTGTCCTCCTAGGTTTCACGTCCGCTGACGCGATCGTCAGGTGTGGCCGCGGTACTGTGTGTAGACAATGATGTTCACGCGAATAATGGTGCTGATCGCACGCTTTAGCCCTACTTGTGGTCGCAGACTGGCGAGCTGCTCTCGAATGGCGCGCCGTGGACCAGCAACGGCCCCGCCCCCGGTCTATTGCGTGAGTTCTCGCATGTTTCTGTTGCACGAGCGTGTTCTGATTGCTCTCCAGCTACCTGCAGACCGGTTTGTCTCCTTGACATGTCCTGTACGTATCTCTACTGACAAGAACCATTGGTAGGTGGCTGCGGCCAGAACGGCGAACAGTGCACCCTCGTCGAAGTGACGCTGGAGAATGGACAAAGTGCCGCCGACATCTCTCTCATTCCCCCGTAAGCGTCGTCGGTCTCTGTGGCCCCTCCGCGTAGAGCTGACGCCCTTCTGCTTGCAGCCACGCGTTCAATGTGGCCAGCGGGTTCGGCTTCTACGACGGCTGCGATGGCGCGGGCACTGACTGCACCGACGCGAACTGCCCGAAGGCGTACCGCCACCCTGATGATAACTTTGCTGTCGTTGGGTGCGGCGCTGACAACGTGAGTAGAGCGCGGGACGTTCGATTTAATTTCCGTGTGCTCAATAGGTTTCGCTGCAGGAAAACATCGCTATCACCTTCTGCGATTAGTCACGCGTAGACTCCTCCTGATCGCTACGGCTTCTCGTCAGGTTCGACGCGCTGACTGGTCGACATGTACAGGGCCGTTTAACCGTCACGGTCCATGTCCATGTAATACTTTGCTGCGGGAATCAAAGCAGCATTTTTACCTATATCGCATTGGCTTGTGGGCTAGGATTACGACGTCGGCTGCATGAATGTGGTACGGACGGCAGATGAACTGTACTGTGTGTGGCGCGAGTATCTCGCGGTGCACAGACGCTTTTCTGCTCCTATGTTACTGACCACTACGTATTGGTCTAGATATACAAATGTCCAAACTCACTTCCTATTACAGATCCAGTGCACTCTTCTCTTGACAGTCATCGCACACAGCCGGCCGTCAATAACAACCGAGTTGCCGAACGGTGTTCCGCTTCCACCCTACAGTACAGCTTCAGACTCACACCCACCGGGCCGCGCGTCCACATCGATGTCGGCTTGTAAGTAGTACTATTACAACGGTACGGTCTTGAGACCTACCCCGGTTTGGGGTTCTTCTTGCCAGTGCTGTGTTCTCGACGAATATCCAGCAGACCCGGACAGTCGGCGTCGGGGCATCCACCGCGTAGTCTCTATTAAACGGCAGATATCTTGCAGTGACAGAGCAATAGTACATTCTGTAGGTACGGGTGCTCGATAGTACTTGTTGGTCGCTTCAGTATAGTACTGGCCAGGTACTGGCATGAGAGCGACCCACGGACGACCCGAAAGTAAGCGCTTGTCGGCGTCATTTCGGTGAGGCAGGACCCGGGCGCTTGAGGGATCGGTAAGGTTCGGAGCGAGCCGAGAGAAAACCGCGACGTGCGTCGGCCAGCACATCTCTCTCCTCCACCACCTCCTCGACGGGGCTCGAGCACCTAGACTTCTACCCTACCCACACGCCGCTAGATAATTAGCCATGGCCCACCTCGCACCCTCCGGAAAGTGGGACGCACGGTGAGCACCCTTTGCACAACGCCCGCGAGAGGTGTCGTTGACACCTGTCTTCAGACACCTCGGCCCCGTCCCTCATGACAGCAAGTACTACACAAATTGCATGATTGGTGGTATACTCGCGTGCGGTACCACCCATGCAGGTATCACTCCTCTCGATGTCACAAAGTGTAACATGCAGGTATGTGTTGCCTTGTCGCGTTGGCAGGCATGGCCGCTCACGCGTCGCGCAGGTCAACCCCGGCAAGTACAAGGGCCTCGTCACCGGTATCCGCACGATCGTGGCGGAGGAAACCTCCGCGGGTCTCTGGAAAGGCGTTGGGCCCACGTTCGTTGGATACTCTCTCCAGGGCATGTTCAAGTACGGTCTCTATGAGGTCTTCAAGGACGCCTACATGAACCTGGCCGGCGAGGAGGCGTCGAGCAAGTACAAGGGTGCGATCTGGCTGGCGGGCTCCGCGTCCGCCGAGTTCTTCGCCGACATCGCGCTCTGCCCGCTGGAGATGACAAAGGTCAAGATCCAGACGAGCCCTTCGGGCACGTTCCCCGTCCCGATGGCGGCCGCGCTGAGGGAGATGAGCAAAACAAAGGCGGACACGCGGTACCCGTTCGGGTCGCTCGTCCCGCTCTGGTCGCGCCAGATCCCGTACACGATGGCCAAGTTCTTCTTCTTCGAGTATATCGTGCAGATGTTCTACAGCCACGTCTTCACCGCGCCCAAGGAGTCGTACGGCAAGCCGACCCAGCTCGGTGTCACGTTCGCGTCCGGTTACCTCGCCGGTGTCGTCTGCGCGGTTGTCTCCCACCCCGCCGACTCGCTCGTCTCGCAGATGGGTAAGGCGGCTAACAAGGGCAAGTCGCTCGGCCAGATCGCCTCGGAGGTCGGTATCGCCAACCTCGCGACCCAGGGTCTTGGTACCCGTGTCCTCATGATCGGTACCCTCACTGGTATGTCTTAGCGCCTGTGTGCCATTGACAATCGACTGACAAATCACGTCTAGGCTTCCAGTGGTGGATCTACGACTCATTCAAGTCTGCCATGGGTATGGGTACGACTGGTGGGAAGTGAGCGTGAGTCTGGTGTCTATCCAAAGTCAGTCGTTTTTCGTCGTGGTGATTGCTTAGAGGCTCTTGACTGATCTTCTGCCCCAGCAGAATCGGCGTTTGATTACGTTCGGAGTGTGAGCCGGTGTGGTTGTCTGCGAGCATATATGACAATTACTTGTTGTTATTGCGTTACCTGCTGTCCCATACTTTATCCTACCGTCCATAGAAATTCGCAGCATACCCATCAGCCATCAGTCCTTACTCGCCGAGTCGCATCGCAAACAAAGTATCCCGCCGCAACGATACGAACCGTGGAACTCAGCAAATGCCTGATTGGGGTACTAAGGTCTCTCATGGTCAAACGTCCTTCGTGTGCGTCCATAACATCCATAGCGGTGTTCAGGCTCCTTCCCATCCGCCGCGGGTGGAGGGGCTGAATCTGAGTATGTCAGCACAACGCTTTCTCTATCATTGTACCTCGGAAGGTACGGTTAGAACTTAGATGGATGGGATGTGGCTGAAGAGGTTGGTGGCGTGGTGGAGGGTGATGAGCTTGTGTTCGCGTTCTCAGAACAAGTCCCCTTTGTTTGACGTTGACATGACAGAAGGTTACTGCCTCGCGGAGGGGTCTCGGTAGGAGGACGGTATAAATAATCTGTCGTGAATGCTTCCCAGTTCAATGCGATCGGGAGCTTTTAATACACCAATTGAAAACACACTTGCGGTCTGTTGCTCTACGACCTTATAAGATAACTTAGGACCTCATTGTAACGGTGTATGCCACAGGGATGTCAATTGCGGCCCGCCTGTTGTACAAGGATGTTCTGACCCATGTGTATGAGGGCTCAAGGGCCGCTTGTCACATCCGCCTGAGGCGATTAGCTGCCAAATATACCATACACAGAACAGGAAGTTGGTGGCATATGAACAGCGTGCCCCGGTGAGACACTGTATGGCCACTTCAATATAGATAATATTGATGCCAGGAGATCGCGCAGTACACGAATGCTATGTTAAACCATTAAGCGGGCAACAGAAACATGACCGCGGTTCGCCTTCTCCAGCAGTGCCACGAAGCTAGCGGATTAGTCGCAGAAGGTGATAGCGATGTTTTCCTGCAGCGAAACCTATTGAGCACACGGAAATCAAATCGAACGTCCCGCGCTCTACTCACGTTGTCAGCGCCGCACCCAACGACAGCAAAGTTATCATTAGGGTGGCGGTACGCCTTCGGGCAGTTCGCGTCGGTGCAGTCAGTGCCCGCGCCATCGCAGCCGTCGTAGAAGCCGAACCCGCTGGCCACATTGAACGCGTGGCTGCAAGCAGAAGGGCGTCAGCTCTACGCGGAGGGGCCACAGAGACCGACGACGCTTACGGGGGAATGAGAGAGATGTCGGCGGCACTTTGTCCATTCTCCAGCGTCACTTCGACGAGGGTGCACTGTTCGCCGTTCTGGCCGCAGCCACCTACCAATGGTTCTTGTCAGTAGAGATACGTACAGGACATGTCAAGGAGACAAACCGGTCTGCAGGTAGCTGGAGAGCAATCAGAAACACGCTCGTGCAACAGAAAACATGCGAGAAACTCACGCAATAAGACCGGGGGCGGGGCCGTTGCTGGTCCACGGCGCGCCATTCGAGAGCAGCTCGCCAGTCTGCGACCACAAGTAGGGCTAAAGCGTGCGATCAGCACCATTATTCGCGTGAACATCATTGTCTACACACAGTACCGCGGCCACACCTGAACGATCGCGTCAGCGGACGTGAAACCTAGGAGGACACGATAGAGCACGTACTTGTTGACGAAGGTGACGGTGTGCGTCTCGGCGTTGGCCTGCAGGACCGCGAGGGTCGTAGCGACGATGCCGGCAGCGAGCTTCAAGTTGAAGACCATGTTGGTTTGCGATTGAGTCTGAGTGACTGGGTTCTGAAGCTCCGGTGGGTGAACTTGCTGCTGATACCGAGCATTCCTCAGTAGCCTTTATACCCTGTACGACTCGGCGCCGCCGCCGAGAAGACTGAACGTAGCGAACCGCGTTGAGACGAACGCTGCATACGAGCGACAATGGCATCTGTCATGCAAATTAGCACAGTGCGCTGTCCCGCGTTTGTGTCCCGATGCCCATTCATTCTCGGCGGCCTTGGGTCTTCGCTCCCGAGTAGAAGGACGGAGAAACACGACCAGACAGCGTCTGCTTTCGTCTCTGCACAGTTCCTGAAACGGCATAGCGTGGGCAAGGTAGTAGGTACCCACCTGGCTGCAAAGCCATATCGAACCACAGCGTGGATGTCAAGGCTGGGCTCTGAGCCCGCTATGCATATGCACCCCTAGTGCGAAGGTGCGTGGCCATTTTCGGAATGATACTGACAGTCGACTTTATTCAACATGTATGATCAACTGAGTCCAACATTACTTACTCGACCGATGTATTCTCCTTATGACCATTGCAACTGTCATGAAGGCCGACCACGGGTAAGTGACAACTGATAGCAGCTGAGCTCAGCACTCTGAGGTGGACTATGCTCGTCTGCTCAGAGTCAGAGTCTAGGCCCGGAACGACTCATGACAGGCGTTGGCGTCCATTCCTACTTTACCTCGAGCGCTCTCAGAGACAGGGATTGTTCCATATTTCGAGTCACTGTGAACTAGTGATGGGGCTTCTGGTGTGACCCGATGCGCATCGGACCAACGACACACTGTTTGGGAGCGGCAAGGATTAGTCCGAGCAGCGGGTGAGCCTGAGGATACTGGCAGACGATACTGACAGGGTCGAGCATGGAAAAGAATGCGCTTGATGTACTAGCACGCGGACTCGTTATGAGTCTTCAAGTTGTGGACTTGTAGACACCCCTCAGAGGCGCCATGTAGGATTGGCTCGCTGGCAGTGGCGGCGCATCTATGCGTGGCAGATAACTATGAAAGGTTGTTCGATCATGATCGCGTCAATGAAGTTGTCTATAGCTCAACCAGCTCTGAAGTTGGCATACCTTGATTGACATTGTGGCAGTCAGTCGTTCAACATCGAATGTTTCAACCACGACGGCGCCGAGCGCGATGTGGTAGAACCGCTGAACCGCTGTGGCTGAGCGCTACAAGTGGCGGTCGGTGAGACTTGAATCTGAGATATATTACTTTACCTGTCTTCTCCGGCGCCCATAGTACTGCAGTTACACTCGTGTGTTCTCTCTTTCTCTTGCCAACACCAGTGCCAGATTCGTGCCCTTGGCTCTCACTCTCGTCCTGGGTTTGACTCGCGTTCCCGCCACCTCGCAGTCCCGCCACCGTGTACAGTGGGGCCATCTGTAAACCCGTCGTCCCCGCGCCTTGGTGCCATGAAGACAATACGTTAGAATAAGATTCATGATGCGCGAAGCTACTAGTATATCAAAGTTCTCAATGGCGCACAAGCTTGTCGGGGAAGCCTGGAATCCCAAAAGAAGGTGACACACATGGGTCGGGCTCGATTGCACGTGGGCCATCCGCCGCTCGTCCCCAGTGCTATTAGTACATATGTCGTCTTGAGCCGCGGCGCGCAGCTAGTTATAAGGTAAGCCTAGAATCGCAAGCGTCGGCGGGAAATAGATGTGCGACTGTCCGACAGAAATCGCATCAACTATAGCCTGTACAAGATGCATGGCGTTTCCCAGTAAAAGAACGTCTATCGCCTGCGTCAACCTCGGTCCATCACATCGCGGTCATGATAGAACCTCACATTCCGGTCGGCGCGCCAAGTCCGTAGACAGTTCTTCGATGAGCTGTGAAGCCGAAGTTGGAAGCAGTGGTCGGAGAGAGAAGCACTGGGAACGAACGGAGAAGAACCCAAACCGGGGAAGGTTTCAAGACCGTACCGTTGTCGTCGGACTGGACGCGCGGCCCAGTGAGTGTAAGTCTGAAGCTGTAATACTATCGGGTGGATGCGGAACACCGTTCAGTAACTCGGCCGTTATTTACGGCCGACTGTGTGCGGTGAGCGTCGACGGGAGAGTGCGGAATTGTAAGTAATTGAATCGGAAGATACTGTATCGGGCCGGGATCTCGGCCAGACAGGTACTCGGTCAGTCGACCACATGGCTCATTCCAAGTTATTACAGAAAACATATCAGGAGTAGAGAGGATTGTGAGAACGACTGTATGCGTAATCTGTCGTAAGACTGGAATGAGCCTACGGCACTCGATGACCGAGTACCATGTCCGGCCGAGATCCCGGCCCGATACAGTAGTTCGGACTTCTGTATGTCTAGACCCATCTCCCGTTCGTCGCACATTTGTGCCGAGGGGATGCTAGTCTGCAAGTCAATGCGATATAAATAAACGTTGCTTTTATTCCCGTGGTAATGTATACAGCAACATGAAGGTCGAACGACCTCATACACGTCGACCCATCAGTGTGTCGATGTAAATGCCCTGATATGAAGACGAGAAAACATAGCCAATAAGTTAGAACATCGCGACTAATCGCAGAAAGTGATAGCAAGGTTAACCTGTGGCGAAATTTGGTCAGCGCACGAACATCAAATCGGACATGACGCGCTTTACTCACGTTGTCAGCGCCGCACCCGACAATGGCAAAGTTATCATTAGGCTGGCGGTACGCCTTCGGGCAGTTCGCGTCAGTGCAGTCGGTACCGGCGCCATCGCAGCCGTCGTAGAAGCCGAACCCGCTGGCCACAGAGAACTCGTGGCTGCGAGCAGGAGGGCGTCAGCTTCTATGCAGAGGGACGGCAGAGACTGGTGTCGCTTACGGTGAAATGAGAGAGATATCGGCGGCACTACCGCCATTCTTGAGCGTCGCCTCGACGAGGGTGCACCCTACGCCGTTCGCGCCGCAACCACCTACATATGCCTGTCGTCAGCGAATCCCACTAAGGGGGGTAAGTCAAGGATGACAAACCGGTCTGCAGGTAGCTGGAGGGCAATCAGCTACACGATCGTGCAACATGGAACATGCGAGGGACTCACGCAATGAGACCAAGGGCTTCGCCGTTGCTTGTCCACGCACCACCAGTCGAGAGCAGCTGGCCAGTCTGCGAGTACAGTTGGGGCTAAAGCATGCGATCAGTACTATACTATGCATAGATATGTATGTCTACTGACAGTACCGCGACCACACCTGACCGATCGCGTCAGTGGGCGTGAAATCGGGGGACGCGATAGGGCACGTACTTGTTGTTGAATGTGACGGTGTGCGTCTCAGCGTTGACCTGCAGGACAGCGAGGGTCCAGCGAATAAAGCGGCAGCAAGCTTGAAGGACATGTTGATTTGCGGTAAGTCTGAGTGACTGAGATCTGAAGCTCCGGTGGTGCTGGGTGAAGCTGCTGCCACCGAACATTCCTGAGTAGCTTTTATACCCTGTACGACACGGCGGCCCTACTGACAGGGCTGGACGTGGCATACCGCTTTGTGTCTAAAGTGACATACGAGCGACAGTGGCATCTGTCATACAAGTCAACACAGGTGAGCTGTTCTGCAATCGTGTCCCGATGCCCATTCATTCTCGGCGGCCTTGGGTCTTCGCTCCCGAGAAGGAGAACGGAGTAGCGTGGCTAGGCAGCGTCTGCTCTCGTCTCTGTATAGTTCCTGAAGTGGAATGACATCGGCAATGCGAGTCACCGCCACGACCAGAAAGCCATGATGGATCGACGACGTGTATGTCGAGGCTGGAGTTTGAACCTGTCATGCATATGACATCCCATGGCCGCCCGGGGGCGCATGGTCACTTCCGACATGATTCTAACCATCAAGACTTATCAGCAGGTAGATGATCATCTGAGTTGGGTATGACTTACGAGACCGACGCATGCTTCTTTTGCGCATTGCCACTGTCGTAAATGCGGACTGAGGGAGCTGCAATCAATGGCCTTTGAGTCTCATGGAGACGATATGAGTTGGCCGTGCTAGTATGCTCAGACCACTGGCCATCCCGAAGAGCAACCCAAAACGCGCGACGGCGTCCATTACAACACAACCCGAGCACTCTCAAAAGGCATTACTCCGATTTTAGAGACACTGAGCACTGGCGATCACGATTTTGTTGACCCGCTGCACAACCGGATCAGCGACACGATCTGGAGCGGCAAGAAATAGCCACGTCTGGAGGGGAGACTGGGAAACGAGACAGGATCGAACATCAGAGTGATTCCCTGAGAATGCACTCCATGACATAGCACACAGGACTGCTGGTCCTGTAGACCTGCCGATAAACCCCGCCGTCGCGGTGCACTACGTAACCGTGGCATTGGCTCGCCCGCCACTGCTTCCGGACAGATGGGCTCGACACGACCATCGGATTCATCCTGTCAGTTTTTCAATGTATCATTAAAGTGTCAAGACTCAACAATGGGATGAAGCACCTCGTTCAAAAAGTTGATTGCCAGTAAGTTCGCCAGTAAGGGGAATCGGGCCGGCCACGACATTGATTCGCTCGACTTCTGAGTGTCTTCCAGTCCTAAACAGCATCGAAGTATGCACCGAGTTGTCCTGGACTCACTAAATTGATGATTGAAGCGTAACAATCAGACCATGTCAGCTTGAAGTGGGAGGACTGGTCACGGCGCGCGGACAAGGGCTGTCCGAGCGTCGCATCACTGAAGCTGTCTCGGTAAGCTGTGGGGAATTTCGCGGAGTGTCATAACTTACCTCAGTATCTAATGAGCAAGTGGGCAGTTAGCCAGGGAACAGTCAACCACGACGACATGTCGGACACAGCATGTCGAGTCCGAACATCTGAGGTTGTGGCTGAGCACGGTTACATGTGGCGGTCGGTGAGATTGGGATCTGAGATTTGATATTCACACGGCCCTGTGCTGGCCGTTACTGCAAGACAACTGCAAGATGTTTGACAGACTCATCCGAGTAAGTAACTACACGTATACGTACATACACAGCTGATAGATCTTCATACGACAGATGCTACTTGCACGGCGCAAGTGGTGCAGCCTGTCTGTACAGCTCCTCCTGTCCAGCAGTGTCGATGAGTATAGCCACTATGCAGTTGTGATGCTACGGCGTCCGCTCAGATATGCCTTGACACGCTATGCAGATTCCAGGCCTGTCACGTCGGCCAAAAGATCAATATGCCCATGTCCGATCATATGGCTCTGACCTTTGCCTTTTAGTCATCTCACCCTAGTAGGAATTGGACGGCACTGCGTAAGGCAATGGCGTTTTAATCACCCGTGGACCCCAGGTGGACTAGGTACATGACACTGTCCTGACGTCGGTAGAGCCTGAGTTCTCAGAGATGCATTCGATTACACAGGACAGCCTGAGATAATTCTGCAAGGTGCCGTATGTAGATTCTTATACACTGCTCGGCCCGACGCTCTACGCTCACGCCGGGATCAAACCAGAGCCCTCACCATCATTTCTGATCCTCTTCGCCTTTGATTGGATCATGCTCTCGCCCGTAGTACGTGTTCAGTTCAAGGTGTCATGCTGCACCTGTTACCCATATCGTGAACTTGTTCCTGCCGAGGATTCATAAGGTGCGAGGGCCGGTCAAAATGAATCTCGGTCTAGGTCTGTCTCGTCAATCATCTGACAGTTGAAACAGCTGAGCTTCGCTAAATATTCTTCTTTTCCTGATCCGTCCAAGTGCAGTCAGTGATAGTCTGCGAACACAAAACGCTAACAGTACGCGACGACATGTACGTTGATGTCACTGCTGCACAAAGACACGATTGACTTTCGCATTTTGAATACTTAGTTTCACGATGCCGAAGGAATGAACGCTCTTATGCCTGTTGTAGGCGGAACATGCCTTCGTGGTTATGGTGCAAGACATGAAATTCTGAACAATGCCCAGCCATAGATCGTACGTCGTGGTCTGAACCAGATAGTTCGTCGCAGAGCCATTCAGGTACGAGCAGGGTTCGAGCATATCCATATACCAAATGCCAGCCTGTCCCGGCACCGAATGACGCCGCGACACTCAGCATATATCTTTGAGAGACTCCGTTACGTACTAGTCCCTTACACAGTTCACCCGCTCACCCGCACCATGTGATGTTGATGTTCACCTGCAACACGATGTCAGTTTAGACAGGACCACGTGGAGTGAACTCACATTGTCAGCGCTGCAGCTTCGGGCGAGGGGTGGTCGGGCCTGCGTATGATAGGTGAGGCAGCAACTGGTTGGAATATGTAATATCACTCACAGTCCTCACCGACGCCATCGCAGCCGTCATAGAAGTTGAAGCGCGCACGGTCGATGGACTACGCAGGCAGACGAAGTCAGCAGTCGGAAAACGAACCCGGACGCTACCTAGACGTAATACACCTCGGCGGTACTGTCCGTTTGCGAGCGTCACATCGACATTGGTACATTAGTCTGGGCATTTATCTTCATAGAAGCTAATTCAGTAAATTGGTCGAGACAGATTTTGCAATGACATACCGCCTGCAGATAACTTCGACTTGTCAGCATTGCGCAACCTATCATGTCTCAAGCGCACTCACGCAACCAGTCCATACGCGGGACCGTTTGCGGTATACGCGCTGCCGGTAGACAGAACCTGTCCACTCTGCGACAAAAGGGTGGTCTGTACAGCAAATGATTAGCATAGGACACCGTGCAGACCTGACTTGCGGCCTACAGTGCCAAAACCGCAGCTGGACATTCGCGTCAGTCAGTGGCGTTGCTGAGATCACGATGAAGATGAAGCTCTACTTGTTACTGAGAGTGACGGTGTGCGTCTCAGCATTGACCTTCAGGACTACGAAGGTCGTAGCGATGATACCGGCGGCGAGCTTCAAGAACATGGTGAATGTCTGGATTGGTTCGGTAGTTGGTCAGTGGGAGTTGATTGACTCTGCTGAACCCAGGCGATTCTGAGTGGCTTATATACCTGGCAGTCGTCGTCGTTCCTGCCGCTTGAGCTATCCGCTGCAAAGGGCCACTGTGAAATTATTCGAGCGTTGATGTAATGGGACGCGTCATATGCTCTAGTCCGCCGAGTACCAGGACAGCAGTCCCGACCCTGTTTGGACGCTCCAACGCTCCTGACAGTATTAGAATGTACCTCAGCGGGTAGAGGAATGATGCAGCATACTTTGACAGCGTCTCGTACATGTCAGACTTCCTTGAATGGCATCGGCAAGGCTATCAAGTCAAACTTGAAAATACAGCGCCGTCACCATGAGCGACGGTGTAGGTTGAAATCCCGTCAGAGCGTGCTGCGCCAGAATACCCCGACTCGTCCTGACTTTACGGACGAACGTGAACCCATGACACATGTCAGCCAGTCACGAGCAGGACAAACTCATAGGACAATATACCGCACCCACAGCATACGGTCACTGTACGTAAGATGTTGGCACAAATTGTACGACCTGCGCAGTGAGCTATTCCGTGATCGGCGTCTCGCGCATCCTGCGAAGACTAAGTTATGAGCGCTCCGTCGCAATAATGTGCCGTTCATCATAAGCTCTGGCCCACGTCGAAGTCAGCGCGTGATATGTTTGGCGTTCAGTCGTCGGTTCCGCTCACCTGAGAGTGCTTCATATAAGCTCTCAAGCAAGGAGTCATTGACCTCTGAGGCGCAGGAATGTTAAGGTTCAATGCCTCCGGCATCCATCGGACGTTCGCTGGCGCAATTGCGGGCGGCCCTCGGGTGGCCTAGTACGGTCTAGCGAAAATATACAATTGCATTGCCCTGTGGTGATATTGAGGATATAGTGAGCTGTCGAAATACGCAAGAGACGACCGGGCGCGGGCCTACCTGTTGTTTTCACCGGTCGATAGACCAGCGGCTAAGCAGGTCTAGTGTTGACGTAGCGTCAACGTAGTACGAACATTGGGATGCGACCACATGTATTTTTTGGCAATGGAGCGCCACAGGAATGCCCACGTTCGTCCCGCAGACTGCCAGCGTTCGTCGGCCGACGGCGTCGCACTGGCACTGCCCGAAGACCAGAGACTTGAAGAGGAGTTTGAGGTATTGTGGTTGGAGTTCTTCTGCCGTCGAACTGATGATCTACGTGCGAGGTCCCTTCAATCATGCGAGAACGTAGATAGTCAACAGACACCGGCAGAAGCCGCTGACTCGGAGGAGAGTAAAGTGGCTCCCCGAGATTGGTATCGGGTCAGATCTCATCGTACTCCCGATAAACTCTAGTCCCTTTGCGCCACACGCATTTGCCACATCCAGTCGTGTCACTGTCTCGCTTGTCTCCTCCTCATTCTCCATCTAACTTAGCTCTCTCTATGTTCACTGTATAGGATCGTAAAGCCTATATTTGCACTTTACGCATTCAAATCAGCACCTTGAAGCTGTCAGCAAGGCCAGGGACGCGAAGATCACGCCGGATCCATTAACGGTTTTACAAACATACCATCATACAATCCCCGATGGCCCATTCCTTCTCGCTCACCGCACGTCTACCACGGGTGCTGAGTGCCGTTGTAACTTAAAACTTTCCCGAGTCCGCGGATGAGGCGGGCAATTACACTGAGGACGCCGGCAACGCTCTCTGTAGTCTCGAGGACGGCGTCCTCGCCGCCGAGGGAGGTCTGACCCAGCCGGGGCACAAGGATACAAGTGAGGCCGGGGAGGTCTTTGCCTGCTTGTACGTCTGTGCGGTGCAAGTCAGCTGCTGGAACGGGACGGAAGAGACGGAGGATGCACGAGTCAGTCACACATGTTGAGGGCGGACTTGCTGATACAGTAGCCCGTGCACTTTGGACCACAGTCGAGCCCAGCGATGCGAGCGCGGTGCTGAGGTCACGATCGTCTTCTTGGAGCCGCGCAGGAGAAGGGGTAGTAGAGCTCGCCAGGAGGGCGGGTGCGCCGACGTTGGTCTGGAGGACCTCGAGGAGCTGGCATAGTCGAATTCGAAGGGGTGAGTCGAAGCCGGGGTTCTGACGTGCGACTGTATGAGCTAGGGAAGGAGAGAAGTGACAGGTAGAGACATACGATGGCCGCGTTGTGTAGAGGTAGTCGAGCCCGCGGTCGCCGGAGTATGTCGCTGACGTATTGACGGAGTCGCGCATCGACTGTTCGCTGCTAACGTCGAGCGGGACGACATGTACGCGACCCTTTTCGGACGCCTGAAGCTTGTGCAAGTCTGTGGCGGGTGCGAGACTGCGGCAGGTGGCTATGATCTCGTTTGAGGGGGAGGCAGCGAGGAGCTGGGTGGTGAGTTCGAGGCCGAGGCTGCGTTTGCGCCCGTGATGAGCCGAACGGTGAGCATGCTGAAGGGAGTACGTAGGTGTAGGAAGACATGGCAGAGATGGGCTTACAAATGTCGCAGAGGGAGCACGACGTCGACAGGAGGATGATGGCGGAGAAAGTCAACAAATATTGACTTCAAGCAGTGGGAACACTCCTCAGCCCAACCAGAACTGCCAGGCGCGATCGACGCGCGTACAGAGGAGGAGCGATCGGCTGGGCGTTCCGCGCGACGCTCTCGCGCCACCGTATCGTGTCACGCACCTTCTGCCACCTCACTAGCTCACGCGACACTCCTCATATGTAGTAAGTGAGTAGAAGGTTGTAGGAGGAATATCGGAATGTATGTACGCAGCTCACCCAATATGACGGGTCTGCGTGTTCATTTGTAATCTAATGAAGGGGAGGAGGAGGAGGGAGCTCGGGAGACGGCCCGCGCCTGGATGACAAGTCTGACTCGGAGCGGGTGTGGGTGCAACACGCGGGACTATTTGCGTTGAAAACCTGCCGCCCTCAGGTACAGTCCTGTGCTATGTGTGTACTACGTGAAGCTGTTTTAGGGCAGATCGTCGTACGCGCGCAAAGACACAACAACTGAATAGCATAATCATGTACACAAATTGTTCATCTTCTCTCTCGTACAGGTGCACAAACGAACCACATCCGACAATGGCTACACAATTTCCTCGAATCATTGCGGATTACCATGACAGGAGACTAGTCGCAGAAGGTGATGGCAAGGTTCACCTGATAGGGATGTCGTTAGATCAGATCGCAAGACATCTCTGTTCTTGCTCACATTGTCAGCGCCGCAGCAACAATGGCGAAAGTATCAGTGGACTTGCGGAACGCCAAGTAGCAGCTAGAACTGGTGCCTGTATGCCCAATGAATGCACAGTCAATACCGTTTGTGCAAAAATACACAGCGGTGCTTACAATCGGTGCCGACGCCATCGCAGCCACCGTAGAAACCAAAGCCACTGGTCACGGAGAACTCGTGGCTGTGTAAGCCGTGTGATTAGTGACAAAGCGGGAGAGTATAGATAGAATACGCACGGCGGAATGAGAGAAATGTCGGCAGCACTACCGGCATTCTCGAGAGTTGCCTCGACAAGGGTGCATTCTTCGCCGTTCTGACCGCAGTTACCTGCGTACAAGATGTTTTCAACGGCAAAGTATATGAGAGCTATATCCATGAAGCCATACCGGTCTGAAGGTAACTAATTACAGTTAAGCGCTAAGCACGTTCTCAATTAGTAGATGGTTACTCAAAGAAACTCACGCAATGAGACCAGGAGCAGGGCCGTTGCTTGTGTACGCTCCACCAGTCGAGAGCAATGTACCAGTCTGCGACCACAAGTAGGGCTAGTAGGCGCGTGATAAGTACGGCGATTATGGTGTTTGGTCTGCTCTCTTGCTCACAGTGCCATAACCACAACTATCAATCGCATGAGTGAATGTGCGGTCGCGGAAATGTGTCATCACACGTACTTGTTCGTGAAGGTGACGGTATGAGTCTCAGCGTTGGCTTGCAATGCAACGACGGCCGCGGCGAGTAAAGCAATAGCGAGCTTGAAGAACATACTGATCCAAGATCGTCGAGGAGTCAAGAGGCTTCAAGAATGCTGGTCGAAGCTACTGGTAAGGGTAGCTCCTGGGTAGCTTTTATACCTCGCAGTCCTCGGCAGCCAGCCTGCCGTCCACAGGACATAAAACACCAATCTGAGCCTAGCCTAGATTTTCACTGCGCATGAGCAGCCATGGCTGAAGTCCGGAATACTTGTAGGCAGCCCGGGCAGGCCGATTGATGGTCTATCATTCTGGGTAATACTAGAAACGCTGTTACCGGTCTTGTGGGTGCGGTGGTACGGCGGAGCCGAGCAGCGTCTAGTACTAACCGTTCAGTTCGAGTTCCTGAGATGAGATGTCTTCATCAACTCACCACCTCAACCGCCAGCGCTGTTACGGGCGACGACGTCGATATTGAACTACTGGAGGCTCCGCGTCGGCAAGAACTAGCCTATAGTTCTAGGCCACACAGTTATCTGTGAATTTAGTTCGCACAGCGAGAACCCAACAGCCACAGAAACTGGTTCACTGATTCAGCAAACCCTTATGAAGCTTGTAGCATGGGCGCGTTCGGGTACAAACCATCAACAACTGCAGATACTGTGATCAGGAAGCACATAAACAATACTTCGTGCACCTGGTTGAAATAAGAGCGCACTACTGCAATACTAGCTCAGTACATCGCTTTCCCAGAAAGCATACTGGCCCGGTACGTCAGAGTAGGTGACAAACGTTGCTGTCCGGCCTTGTTCTGCCCCGAGTACTCAAGACGAATAAGGTTCGAGGTCTGATGTTGCAGAGAATCAGGGGGAATTGCGACGCCTCATAGAGCGGTAGAGTAGTCAGTGTGGAAGCCAAGTGGAAGCAATTGGAGTCCAGATGCTGAACGCTGCTCACCTCCACTCCGTGCGTCACGGCAAAGGGTCTGCCATGTTAACTTCGCGCTGTAGGAGCCGCTACAATGCGGACGCTTCCGCTTCTTGTTCGATTCATTGCCTGTGCCGTGTGATGGCTAGATACACATCGATCCGAGTCCGACACAGCATTGTTACTTCTGGCCATTGAGGCTATATCTCCCGGGAACGAGATGTGCAATATACGACTCGGAGACTTTCAAGAATAGCGTGGAGGGCGTACCAGCATAAGAAATATGAAGTTTCTATGCTCGCAAGCCTAAAATTGTAGGCGCGTTCGTGAGGACTGTCAGGAAACCGTCAGTGCGGCGAAAAGTGACTGCCAGTGTCGGACATGATCGCGGCACTCATTATGCCGGACCATCAGTCTGTCTGCCACTAGCAGCAACCTCAGGACGTCCATTACATCACACTGTCATACTACGATATTCACTCGCCTTGGAATGATACTGCGCCGGTCAGCGCGCCACGTCTAAGTGTCATGATGAACGACGACGAATGCCAAAGATGGAAATGGTATGCGGTCGGAGAGATCGGGATGTTCCCACGGTTGTTTTGACTGCGGCAGACGCCGGCAGTACATGAGGCAATTACCATTCAGTGAGTAGAGCTAGTCGCTACGCGCCGCCAGCAGTATTATACTGTCGGCTCCGATATCAGGCGGGAACCACTACTTTGTCATGGCACTACCGCCGTTAGCGATCGAACTTGAAGTGTAATCGACTGCACCGCCGTGTCACGGCGGTTCTGGTGCTGCTGGTGCCGTCGTTTGTTGACACTCGGGTTCTATTGATCGCATACTACCTCCTCATGTGCCTTGAGCCTCTGGTATTCGCATTTGCTTCAAGAAAAAGGGCCAGTATGGCCTAGAGTCAGTCGTTGGTGGTCATTGACCCTGGTGAACATCTCCGGAGACGTTCTGTTATCGACTCTGATCGCTCAGATGATTTGCAATGCATAGTACATCAAAATCGTGACGCTACATAGGGAACGTACATGTTGAGCTCATGCGAACTTGGTCGAGGAAGATGATGCCATGTCTAACAGCGCATAGGCTACGAATTGTTCAGTCGCAGAATGTTATAGCGAGATCCACCTGCAATATGGTTGAGTTAATCAGGAATTGGCATTCTGTAGTGTCCTTACATTATCCGCATCGCAACAGGCCGACAAGCTCTTCTGGCCCGGTACAGGCTGGCACTCCGCGGAGGTGCCTAGGTTCTCATAAATACCGTACGGCTGCTAGCGGATAATTGAATTGCTTACAGTCGACACCTACACCATCGCAGCCGTTGTAGAAACCAAACCCAGTCGGGCGCTAAACTTGGCGCTGCGAAACATCTTGCTATCAGAGTGCCGGAGTGATGTCAGACAGTTCACGAGACTTACGGAGGAAGGATGTCTATGTTCGCGCAGCTATCGCCATTGGCGAGAGATGCATTGACTATAGTGCAACCTTCACCATTGGATCCGCAATTGCCAGTTTGAAGTAGCTGTATAAATCCAGAGGCTCAGATGTCGAGATGCTCATAAGCGTGTGACGAGTTCCTACGCGTATAACCCTTCTGCTGGACCATCAAATGTAACAGGTTGACCGGTGGAAAGTAGAGTGCCATTAGGGCCCATAGATTGGGCTGCGTGTGTAACGCTTCGTCAACCAGATATATCACTCTTGCAGAGTATTAACGTACAGTTCCGTAGCCGCAACTGTTCATGCAATCAACAAACATAGGCGAAGGACGTTGCAAACGCATACTCACTCGTTCGTGAATGTAACGGTGTGAGTCTCAGCCGGACACCCGTGAAGGTGACGGCAGGACAAAGAGAGCCATGGCTGCGACCTTGACATGCTTTGGATTCGAAGAGATGGTTCACCTGGTGGGTGTTAAGCGCAGTGCTGTACCAAAAGGCTATTTGGACTTGCAAGAGAGCGAGACAACTATGATAAATATGCCCCCAGCCATGTATCCCAGCTAGTTGCATTGGTCACGACAGCGCTCTCGTCTGGCGCTGTTGTCTACGTGTATGACAAGACTAAACCGCATGACACTTGACAGAATAGGCTTTATGAAAGCCGGTACCGGGATTTGATGCGGACGCCTTGCACACAAGGCCCGGGGCTCTCTGTGAGGAACCTTAGGTAGTGCGTCACAGTGATGAAACGTGCAGCGGAAAGATACTGCTTGACGTACACCCGGTACCGTCGGCGAATTGATGGAAAGGCTCGAGTCGACACGCGGCCCACGCGGTACCGGAACTGAATGGAATGTACAGCCGGTCCAGGCAATGTCACGGCTCATTGAGAGATTCTGAGTGTGCAGATGGTGCTCGAGCTTGTTGCTGCCGTGACAGCAGAAGAAGACTTAATGCGATCAGATTTCACTCGGAACATGACTGATATGTTTTGACAGTCTCTTGAGCAGCCTAATCCCAGTGTTCGGAAAGCATAGCTCACCTCTATGTAGTAATTAAAGGTCGACCGCGCGACAGTAGAGATAGAGCGTTATGCTCGAAATTTTTGTTTTCCGACAGCGGACTACGGCATTGCTAACGCGCTGGTTGTGAGGCGTCTTGTTATTAGCGCGGCGCACGTACCTAAAATCGAACAGCCCGAGCATCGCAGTGGCAGTACTAGTGACAGTTGACAGCTTGAATGTGGTCAGTTGGTACGGTTCTGTCGCGCCCGAGATGGGACCAGCACCCAAGAGCTCACATGGCATGTCAAGCGTCGCGACGCAGCGCTAAGTACCCACTAACGCTACTATAGCACGTCGCCGGCTCGCGTTTGGCTGAGGGCTCGCAGCAGAAGCAAAGCAGAAGTCCAGACAAGGACTGCAGTGGCTGCGTGAGCGCCCGACGGCCAGCCGGAAGGTCAATGAGATCGTGCACGATCTGAGATCCCATCGTCCAAGCTGGTGGCGGTGGCTGTCCTGCTACTAGGAGCTCGAGCCTGACCAAAGCCTGACGTCCAGCCTCATCCTCGATTGAATGACCCTGCCACGTTCGAACCTAGCGACCCATGTACAAGAATACTATCCGATGCTACCCTAGAACACCAAACAACCTGAGCACGACAAGGCTCCGAGGTTTCCTACCGCCGGCATGGCAGCCTGAGGTCCACTGTCAAGCACGGATCACACTGCACTCGTTTACTCAGGCTGCCGGACTCCGTCTCCATGTGACAATCATTTCCACAGGCACATAGCTGACTTGTGTGCGCTCTCGCATCCTTGTAATGATGCTGTCATGACATACTACCCTGCGTAAGTACGGCGGCCGTCACCTACTAAGCCATGATGCGAATGCATAGGCGGGATAAATAATTCACTACGGACCCAATATCTCGGTATGTGCGTCTCTGACAGCCTGGGATGATGCGACGTACGGCTTGAAGGTCTCGAGTTACCGGTGCACAGACAGTACGAGTGCTCACAGCCACAGTTGACACAGCAGAGCTTTCGACATGTCGGGCGCTGATCGCAACTATTCCGATAGTACAAAAAAACACTGCATATTCTTACAACAACTAATACACATCACGATATTGCACTCAGGTGCGCCGGGTTATTGGACTCCATCTGTCAAGCTGTCGGCCCACAGCTAGCTTGCAGCGAACGTGGGCTCAGTCGCAGAACGTGATAGCGAGGTTCACCTGGGAAACGGGGCTTCAGTCCGGAACACGTACTGTACCCTAGCGTCAGCACTCACATTGTCAGCAGAGCAGCCGACCTGGACCCAAGTCTGGTCCGGTTGGTAGAATGCGTCAGGGCAACCATTGTACGTGCCTGGACATCGTGATGAACTTTTGACGAAGACGTAGCGGGTGTAATTCACTTACAATCGGCACCGGTATTATCGCAGCCATCGTAGTACCCGAAACCGCTAGTCACACTGAATTCATGGCTGGCAGAGTCCTGTGTCAACGACGCCTAGACACTTCGGCGGCGGCGTGACGTACGGAGGGATAAGACTGATATCTGCGCTGCTGGCTCCGTTTATGAGAGTCGCCTCGACCAAGGTACAGCCTTCGCCGTCGTTCCCGCAGCCGCCGGTCTGGAGGTAACTAAGCCATGTCGATAGTTCACTACGTCAATATTTACGATGCATGAAAGGCGCTTTTCCTTACGCTATAAGCCCTTGAGCTTCACCGTCAAATTCGACGGTCTCTCCGGTTGAGTAGAGAGCGCCATCTGGACCCCACAAGTAGGGCTGTATCGTAGAATGAGAGACGGATCAAGTATGCGCTATGACGATGGACATACAGTTCCATAACCGCAGCTGGATTGAGAGATTAGACAGCGCGGCTACAACGAACTTGTTCATGCTGCTCACTTGTTCGTGAAAGAGACTATGTGAGTCTCGGCCTGCACGCGCACGGATGCAATGACGACGGCCATGAGGGCGACAGTCGGAACCTTGCTGAACATCGTTGTGGTAGCCAAGACAAATGTCACGAAGAGCGGAGGGACGAAAAGGTAAACTCAGAGAACCTAAGGCTTTGAGTACGGCGCAGAGAGCTTTTATCCTGAAGGCTTCAGGCACACAAAGAGATCCCGTTGTACATGTAGAGACAACTCCGTTCACAGGTATGGTAGCAGTAGGGGAACAGAGTTAAGGTACGTGTACAATCGTTCTCACCTTGACACATACTCCATCCAGGTGGATGTCAACGCTGAGAGCGGATAGAAGCCAGCGTGTGCCTCTGGAAAGTCAGGGGCAAGAATCCTCTACAGTCACCGTCGATGGCTGCATCCTTCCGTCGAGTGCGGAGGCTTGGGTATATAGTCCTGTACCTGATTTTTTACAGCCTTCCTCTGGCTGCCTATACTGGTAGAACTTTGGCAATGAAAGAGAGCGCACCATGACTCGATTTGGTGAGTTGCGAACCCACAAAGCCAGGTACAGATTAGAGGTTGCTTGACCAATATGCCGTATGCCTGAGCATTAGCTCGTTGTGGCGCATACCGCTATGGAAAACCTGGACTGTATCTGTCGTCACTTATTGACACCGCTTAAGAGACGGCAGCGTGGTACTTAACACCGGTAGGGGACCCTCCCGGCCAGAGCCTGAGGACTAGAGACGGGCCTGAGCTCAATTCATTGCTCAGTTCCTGAACGAGCGGGTAGACGTGCGTGAGATGAGGTTCACTTCCCATATAGATCGCACTCACCCCCGTCCGTTATCTTTAGGCTTGGAAGTGCACATGCCCGTTACTTACATAGTGAGCGTGCAAAATGCAACATAAATCGACTATGGCGCGACTAACCCTCGTCTAGGGACATAGCCCCCTGAAAGCTCGGGAATTTGTTTGATTTGAAAATCTGACTCGGCCAGCTTCGGAAACGCATGAGCCATGATAGTTAGCTAAGAGACATCCGTGCTTGGAAGCCGGGAGTACGTTGCATTGGGTGGTACGGCCCCGTAGAGCATGTGTGTCTTCCATCCAGCTGTCGGCCGTTTAGCGCTTTGCCAGTTACTCCAATGTCAATACCGCGTCCCCAACCCACCGAGGGGACTTACCTGACCTCAAGGACAATATGCCTTTCTTGCATGTCAATCTGTCAGAGCAAACACTGTACATAGACGGGGGATGAGTAACACAGGCACCGCGCCAATGTTCCACTCTCCTTGCTGTTGAATATGACAGAGTCGAGTATATGTCCATCTCAAAGCGGATTAGTACGTGCCAGTGACATGGAGCTATCCTATTAGTAAGCGCTCACGCGTCTGAGCTTGCTACTGCCACTGGGACAACATGTGCAGCTCACAGATGTTCATGTTCACCTCAAGTTGAGGCATCGCACCTAACGTATAATCGGCCTCCAGACAACCTTGTACAAATCAGATCAGACTGCAGCACAAGGCGCTAATTCCGCCAGAACGCGCCCGTAGAACGAATATTCCCTGCGCCGTCTGACGCTTTGATCTGTTCCATAAGCTCAATCGGATCAGTGGTCACTGATTTCTTCAAAAATGACACTTACTTACGATCCGATGTGTGCGGCGGCCAGAGCTATGATGCAGATGGCAATCGATTGAGGGCCGGGTACCGGGTGAGGCAAACCTAGGACGTCAATCTTACATCCCGGGGAGCGCAAAGACAACCGCCGCGCTATTGACACGGATATTGACAGCTTTCCTAAGTTACCTGTCTCACCAAGTCTCCGATCTGAAGGGAGGTTTACATAACGCGGGAAAAAGACGCAGATAGTCATATGCTCAGAGTATTCTTCCATTGTGCGCCGCCGACCTCTCCTAGAACCCTCTCCACCTCAGCGTATTCGAGGTTCAGCGCGACTCGTCGATCGTGCTCGGGCCGGCGCGCCACCGTGGCTCCCTCTTCGCTGAGCAGAGCGTGAGATCCTACAAGCGAGTCGAGAACCACACGTAGTTCCCCTGGCGCCGGTCTGCGCACGGGATCATCCTCGCCAGCCAGCAAGCTGATATACACGCAGTGTTGGTGCTGAAGCTATGTCAAAATTGGATCAGCTGCTAGGCCCCTTGGTAGTTAGTGAACCACACTTACGTCACCCCACTTAATCTCCTCGACGCCCTCTCTCTTGATACACCTAAGCAGGGCGGCAAGCATGAGCCGTTCGTGGAAGCTGAGCTCGCGCAGATACGCCGCGGTCGGGCTGTTTTGCATGCTCTTGATGACCTCCTTCACGTCGTCTGTCCGCGCCGTCCTTGATCGTGGCTGCACGAGCTCCACGGCTCGCCTGCAGATGTCAAGCACCCGGCGCGCGTCGCCGCTGATGGAGGACACCTTCATCGCGGCGAACTTGACTCCATCGTTGGCAATGACATCGGGTGTGTCAGCTGGCAAGCCCTCTTTCGCACTCTGCAAACGTGCGCGAACGATCTTTTCCAGCTGCGGGGTCGTATACGGTTGGAAGTTGATGCGTGTCATGCCTGCGATGTACCGCATGAGCGCGCGGCCTGCCTCTTCGAATGCCAGACTTACCAAGGCGACTTCGCACCCTGCCTGTCATGACCCGTTCAGGCAGATCCATTGTGTTCGCTACAGCCAGAACGACGAGCTTCGATCCAACGAGCGTCGGCCAATTGAAGAAGTTGTACACCACATCTTGCTTGCTCGTCATAAGCTGGTCGAGCTCATCCATGAGCACGACGCTAGGAGCTCATCAGAACGAATCTCCACAAAGGGAAGGGTACTCACCAAGCGTGTCCACCTGGCCCTGCACGTTCGCCGGCGCTGAAGTGCTTCTGGAGAGACTTGATTGCCTGGGGCGAACTAATCTTCATATGGCCCTCCCTAGAGACATCGTGACCGCAAACAGCCTCCCAAGAAGACCATACGCTGCGGCAGGCTCAGGTATTCTTAGTCCGTTAATCTCCACGTACGTGAAGGGGTTCGCTTCCTACGCAGAGTAAGGACACAATTGCACAGACATTCGAGAAGACGTACATTTTGCTCTGCCATGCGTTTCAATTCTCGCACTACTGCATGGACAGTCGCCGTCTTGCCTGTACCAGGCACTCCAGAGATATCTACACAGTCTTAGAATGGCAGATTGCAGTTGTGGAACTGCTTACAGATACATCCTCCGCTGCCTTCCTCCAGCAGCTCCTCTACTGAACGTAGAATTCGACCATATTCTTCTTCCCGACAGGGTAGTGCCTCCGGTCGCGCAGCAACGTGGAGGACATGCATGGCGCGCAGCCACGGGTCCTTGCCCGCCGTCGGCCCTAGTTGCGCTTCCAGCTGCAGGCTAGTGCCCGAGTCCATTGGCGGAGGCGGACGCACCGCGAGCGCGGTGCGCTTGCGTTTCCGAAGCGCAGCCTTTGAATGTGGAGTTGGTTGCGCGAGCAACTCCTTTGCCACGCGAGACTTGCGGGGTGTGCGAGGTGTACCGGGTGTGCGAGGTGTCGCTACGCCGCGCCTGCGCTTTCGAGGTGTGGTCGGGGCGATGTCATCGTCTGCTTCGTCCTCCACGATCTCATCGTCTTCACTTGCATCCACATCGTTGAGGGGGACTTCGAAGGAGCTATCTCCAGTATCAGATTCCTCATCATTGTCTCGATGTCGTTTCGTCAGTAGACGGCCCACAACCCCGTCATCCGCGCGTTCGTTCCCGGAATCAACATCGACACCTTTTGCCCGCCGGTCGGTCTTCCTGCGTGCGTGCTTGTCGGTCTTCTCCCTCTTTCCAGCGGCGGGATCTTCCTCAGCGACGACTACGTTCCAAATCTCAACGCTGCCACTCCGCAAAGTATCCCGGTTTAGTGCATCCTGCCGGAAGGTATCCCAGTCGAACGCATAGAATATGCCTCGCGAGGATCGACTGCTGACGCGCAATAGAACGCGGACTCCCGGGTCTCGCTCTCAAGTACGTAGCCAGGCTTCCGCTTGGACGAGGACGACTCCGCCCGGCTGGAGGAGATTGGGCAGGTGGAAATGATGCTGGACGGGGAGTATGACGGTGGACGATAACGAGTATATATTTCGTTCTGCGGATGATGTTAGCACTTCACGAGCGCATGCACGACATACAGAAACCAGCTCGAGGGTAGATCATGACGCACCTCCTCACAATCTCTGCGTGCACGAATGGCAGGAAGTTCAGATGGCCTGTTGAACCAATGCACCATGACCCTGCAGCCCTTCTCATCCGTCCCATCCTCCGTGGCCACCGCTATGACGGCCACAATCACGGCGACGCTGGCTTGTCTGGACACGGTCCGTACAAAGACTGCGTCTCCACTCGGAATATTTCGTGCGTGTCATCGCCGAGGACGCGTTCCTTCGCCCTGCCTTTGTTCGCGCGTCCGTAAACCCTGGCTGCCCGTCGCACCGTCATGGTATTTCTCCTCGTAAATTGCGTATAATAGCGTGTCTTCAACGACGCCATGTCGTGGTTCTCCGCATCTCGTTCTTCTTCGTACAAGTCTGAGACCGTCGTTTCGCGTTCGAAGACGTGTTCTCCGGCAGGTGCATTCGCGACGTCGGATGATTGTAGGGGTACTTGGGTAGGTAAGGTTGGCCGCGCGTAGATCGTCGTAGCGGGGTTCCAGAAGCCATGCTTCACAAAGAGAATGAGCAACGAAAGGCAGAGGGACAGCAGCCACGGCACTGAGCGCGAGCGGTGTGTAGGCGAAAGTGACAAGTCGAGTCTGTTCGATCGGGATTCGGCGCGAGCGCGTCGCGAAACGTAGGCGCCCGCGGCCAGACACGGTCACGTGACATGATTCACGGTGGACACTGGAGATGCAGCCAACGAATTCCTGACCGGTACTCAGCGCGACCACGACTTGGAGAAACACCGCTTGTTTGAAGTAACTTCACACTGCTGCTTTTTCTTTAAGTGCAACACGGTAATTCGATGAATACTGTCGGAGGTCTTCGCGCTCAAAGGTAGTAATTGCCATGGCGGTTCATTCGATTGAGATTATCATGAATCTGCACCAGGGAATTTGCACAGGCGTTATTCTTCGATAGAGGTGTGCACTTATTCCATACAACTGTGTTGTGGTATGTAATCTGTATCATTGGTTTAGAAAGAATATAGAGTCCTGTATCGAGTCGTTACCAACAGAAGTACTAGGCACTTGAATGAGACAGGGAGACTAACGTAAATCAAATAGCTGGCCAGCTCACAGCGCAGAGTGGTTCAATCAACGATGTGGTATGTGAAGACAAGTGCTCGTGCTGAGGTCGGGGAGAACGTTTATTTACCGTTGTTGTCCAAGAGCTTCGTTCCTGGCTGGTTATGGCAAGTCCTCGCCATATCCTCCGGGCTCGGACCCTGCCGGCGGGAGAGGAGGCTTTGGAGGCACTTCCGACAAATACGTTTATGTCGCGGTGAATGCCAAGGATAATCAAGGGCGTAAATGAAAAGCTTGTGCCTCATAGAGTCCGAACTTGCACGGTCGCGTTAATCTCCGGCAGACCCGCGAAACTGATAGGTACCGTTGACACTGATTAGAAGGCTGCACCTGTGCATAGACTCGGAGTTAGAGCTCCAGACTCTGCCAGTCTGACAGTCGAGGACGTAAAATTTTGCCCTGGAAAAGCACCTTTGAACACCGAAGAGAGCACGGCATGCCTCATGCAAGAATAGGCGCCATACGCCGCCGGTACATTTGCGAGCACTGCGAGATGACTTGGGTCATTCCATCTCAAAAATGATACGATGGCAATACTACGAACGCTTTCACACGTAATGTTGTTGCCTCGCGCATACCCAAACCTGAAGGAAGGCAGCCATAAATCCAGACATGTTGTCAATGCCGTACAAAGATGGCGCACGGCTCCTCATCCCAGCTCTCCAATCGAGCATTGCCGTAAATTTTACCTGCAGAAGCTTGACCGATATTCACCACTGGTGTTTATAAGTTGACTCACATGGCGGAATGCTTCGCTTCAGCGGGGTGCACGTATTCATGACGACCCCCTTGCAGGACTGACATTGGAGGCTCCTTCCATCATTCCAATGCCCTCAACCTCAGAGGCTAGGTGAAGACGTAAAGCGGAAGGAGGAGAGCGTAAGCTGCAGTGCGCCCGTCTCGGAAGCGCGTCCGACGAGTGGAAGGCGTTGTCGGGCGCGTGGTCGACCATTGATCGATCGCACGTGGTGGCAGCTAAGAAATCCAAACTCAGCCAAAATTTTGGTACGCTGCCCTTTGGCTTTTGCCACCTTCTTCCCCAGTCCTTGCCCATTCTACACCCATGGATGTGCGTCGTTTCTCTGGCTTGTGTTGACGGAAGCTAAGGCTCTTTACAGCCCAACTTCGTGCAAGGACTTCACACTCTCCTCGTTCAGTCTACCGCGAACGATACGGTGCAGCTCAAAGCTGTAAGTCGATCGCGTCTGTCTCAGCCGAATTCGCGCTCACTCAACGATCGGACGCGTCCAGGCCACCGCCCAGCTCAACCGAGAGTATTACAAAAAACCAGCATGCATACCCGCTCTTGCTAACATCATCGCGAGCTCGCCTGACCAGGGCGTGAGTCGTGCGAGGCGATGTAATCACTGGATAGTTTTAACGGCTGTACAAACTTAGGTCCGTCAACTCGCCGCTGTAGAACTACGCAAGCGGGTTGCTCTTGCTAGTGGCGAACTATGGCTTGCAATCTCACAAAGTGACCGGGAACAAATCAAGGCTAAGCTGCCTGAGCTCGTCCTCTCGGATCCCAGGTTCGTCATCTAGCCCATCCGTCGCAGGCAGGGTATCAATCTGCAAGTCTGCAGCAATCTCGTCCGGCATTCGACCGCGCGTGTCATCGCAGCTATTGCAGGCATCGAGATCCCTGTAGGGCAATGGCAATCCCTCCTTCCTTTCCTCCAGCAGACATGCACGTCCGCTACCGCTTCGCACCGCGAAGTCGGCATCTATATCCTTTATACGGTGCTCGAGAACATCGTTGAAGGCTTCGAGAACCACCTCAAGGAGCTCTTTACGCTGTTTGGTGCGCTGTTGAACGACCCTGAAAGCCTTGAGGTCAGGATCACTACTGTCCGGTGAGTCTTGCCCGTGTCCTGCCCACGAACAGTCGTTCACACTTGCGCAGCGCTCTCGGTGTCATAGCGCAATACATTGATCAAGATGATAAGGAAGACATCGTATGCGTTTCACATTCGTCGTCTCTACACTTGCTCAACATCCTTGTTACATAGAAAGCGTTCCAGAGCATGCTTCCTGCGATGATCACAACGATTGGCCAGTGCGTCGAGGGTGGAAACGAGCCGGGCGCGCGGCAGTTATTCGATGTGCTCGAAACGCTGTTGATCCTCGAGACACCTTTGCTCGGTCAACATATCCCGCAGCTTGTCCAATTCCTCTTGACATGTGGCGCTAACAGGACCTTCGAGAATGAGCTGCGCGTGCTTGCTCTGAACGCCCTCAACTGGACCGTGCAGTAGTATGTCTGCTCACTTCACGCTCTGATTACGGGATGTTAACGCCCACCTGCAGCAAAAAGTCGAAGGTGCAGGCGAATAACATCGCGCCTGTCATCCTCGAGGGCCTCATGCCCATTGCGACGGAGCCTGAGCCCGAGGATGCTGATGAGGATGCTCCCTCCCGCGTACGTCTCCTTTGTCGCTGACGAACGCCTAGGCACTGACATCCTCGTAGTCCGCTCTCCGCATCGTCGACTGCCTGGCGACTAACCTTCCGCCCACGCAGGTGTTCCCTCCTCTCCGGAACCTCATCCAGCAGTACTTCTCGTCGCCTGATCCGACCTTCCGTCGGGGCGCGATGCTCGCGCTCGGCGTGTCTGTGGAGGGCTGCAGCGAATTCATGACCCCGCTCATGCCGCAGGTATGGCCGATGATCGAGGTCGGCCTGCACGACTCCGATGGGCAGGTGCGCAAGGCGAGCTGCATCGCGGTCAGTTGCTTGTGCGAGTGGCTCGAGGAGGAGTGCGCGTCGAAGCACGCGGTGCTCGTGCCGACTATTATGCAGCTCGTGAACGACCCCGCTACGCAACGCAACGCGTGCACCGCGCTCGACGCGCTGCTCGAGGTCATGCACGAGACGATTGGGACGTACCTCGAGATGATCATGCAGCAGATGGTCGGCCTGCTCGACACTGCGCCGATCCCCGTCAAGTCGGTCGTGATCGGCGCCATCGGCAGCGCCGCGCACGCGTCTGGCGACAAGTTCCTCCCGTACTTCCCCAGCATCATGGAGCGCTTCAAGCACTTCCTGGTCCTCCGCGGCGAGGGCGAGGAACAGGAGCTTCGGGGAATCACCATGGACGCCGTCGGCACGTTCGCGGAGGCGGTCGGCAAGGAGCACTTCAGCCCATACGTGACTGACATGATGAACTGCGCGTTCGACGGCATCGATATGGGCAGTGCTCGCCTGCGCGAGTGCAGCTTCCTGTTCTTCGGCATCCTCTCACGTGTCTTCGGAGATGACTTCGCCGTGTACCTGCCCAAGATCGTTCCGGCCCTGGTGGCGAGCTGCCAGCAAGCGGAGCACGGTGATGATTCTGGAGCCGTCGCGAGTACGTTTCTCAGTCGCTGTTTCCGTGTGCTAGTGAACTGATCGGTCGGTGTTCGTTTCGCAGCATCGAACTCTGAGAACCTCGCCAACTTCGCGACGGGCACCTCGCCTGCGAACGCAATCACTGTCACTGACGGCGAGAACGGCAGCGTCGATATTGAGGAGGATGTCGACCTGGACAAGCTGCTCGACGTCAACAGCACCATTTGCATCGAGAAGGAGATCGCCGCCGACACCGTGGGCACGTTGTTCGCCGCCACCCGAAGCCACTTCCTGCCTTACGTTGAGCAATGCACGATCGAGCTCATCAGTCTGCTCCCGCACTACTACGATGGTATCAGGAAGTCCGCGGTGGACTCGCTGCTGGAGATCGTCAGGACGTTCTATGAGCTGAGCAGCCCCCAGGAGTGGACACCTGGTCTGACGGTGAGTCAACTGAGCTAGCATATAGGATGTGTCACCTGAGCTATGTATAGGCTGCGCCCCTCAGTGCTCAGGTCGTGCAGCTCATCAACCACATATGGCCTCCTCTCTTCGAGATGTACGAGTCTGAGGACAACAAGTACGTAACACACCGTCATGGATCGTTCTTTCACTGAGCAGACCTGCTATTGTAGAAAGGTAGTGTCGTCCTTGTGCGTCGGTTTGGCAGAGACCATCAACAAAGTCGGCCCCGGCTTCCTGGACGGACGTGGGTGAACTTCTGCCCACATATCCTTGATCTAGCTCATATCCTTTACAGGTCTGGAGCAGGTCGGGACAATTGCAAACCAGGTCCTTGATCAGAAGGCTATCTGCCAGCAGGACCCTGATCAGGATGAGGAGGAAGAAGCACCGGAGGATCAGGCGGAATACGATTCTATGCTTATCTCTTCGGCAGGCGACCTTGTTGCTGCACTGGCAAACGCCCTCGGCCAGAACTTCTCACCAGCATTCCAGACCTTCCTCCCTCTTATCTCCAAGTACTATGTACGTACCTCAGATTTTGCTCAGGGTGTAGTGACTGATTGTCTTTGCCGTGTAGAAAAAGAACCGGTCGTTGAGCGACCGTTCATCCGCCATTGGGTGTCTATCGGAGATCATCGCTGGGATGAAGGGCGCTGTCACGCCCTTCACGGAACCGCTTCTTGACCTCTTCTTCCGCGCACTATCCGACGACGAGGCCGAAGTGCAGTGCAACGCTGCATTTGCTGTTGGCCTCTTGATCGAGCACTCTCAGCTGGACCTCTCGCAACACTACCTGAAGGTGCTCGCGTCGATTCGTCCGTTGTTCGTCGTCGCCCCCGATGCACCCGGTGCACGCCTCAATGCCGCGACAACGCCGTCGGCGCGGTCGGCCGCATGATTGTCCGGAACACCGCCGCTGTCCCCTTGATCAAGTCCTCCCTGTCTTCTTCGACGCCCTTCCGCTCAAGAACGACTACCTTGAGAACCGCCCCGTGTTCGCCGCCATCTTCCACCTGTTCAAGACGAATACGGCGGTGCTCCACCCGTACTTGGACCGCCTGCTCAGCGTCTTCGCCTTGTCCTCGACCCCAGCGGCCCCGAGCAGGTCGGCGACGAGATCCGGGCAGAGCTCATCAACCTGATCGGTGCGTTGAGCCGTGAGACCCATCGAAAATTCAGGCGGCCGGCCTCGGCCCCTTCGTGCCGGGAGCATAGAGATTGTGGGATAGACTGAAGAGAAGTGGGTTATGGCGGGCATGAATTGGAATATCGTTTTGCTCATCGTACAGTGTTGTCTCGGATTACCATGATATCACTCCATTACTGTGTTTTTAATGCATACCTTTTATCATGACAGTACATGAAACACGCATCGAAGCGTGTGTGATATATAAGGGGTCACCAGAGTTGAAGACCAGTCATCAAGCTTGCATCAAGCCGTGTCTCAACAAACCTCTTCATGGTTGCGTCTTCTGGAGCATGTTGTTGTGATCATGACATGTACGAGCATGTACGTCGTCCACGTAGGGCTGTTGATTGGCTATTGAAAGGCTAATGTGTATCGGACTAGCGTTGATCTTGACGTGGAGACGACGCGAGATCAGAGACGTGTAGAAGACGACATGCGACAGGGCTGGGAATGGTCGTACGGAGACAGCGAGTTGAACCGTACTATTTCATATATGAGTGTGGAAGGTGATGCAGACCGATGGTGATCGAAACACTCGATTTGCCACCCGTGTCCGATGAACCTCATCTAAACAACTTGAAATTATCTAGGCGACATCAATAGCTGTACAGCGCGCCAGCAGTACGACAGTGACATACCCTGTGAGCAGTATTTCCACCGACATTCTGGGGGTACTTCGTCGAAATGGTCTTCATTAACGATCGTACACGGACGAGTAACTCGGTCCGTCGATAACTAGAACATGAGTACAAAGGATGATCGAGTTTGAGTTACGACTGGACTCGATAGGATGAGAAGATGTTGTGAATGCGAGGCATTCATCAGTCACTTTAAGCGGTCGAGCTTGTAAGATGGAGTCAGCAACACGGTGCATACGAATCATCAAGTCAATGAATCCGAACCTCGTGCTCGCGGACGACAGTGATGGGCTGTTCGAAAGTCAAGCCACGTATAGCACCGAACTTGACTTTGACACAGAGACGATACTTCAAAGAGCACGACACGTCAGCCGATGTCGCCATAACACATTTGAGCAAGATGTCGTACCGAGACAGCAAGCCGGACTTGGCGGGGAGATGAGTCTCATAGCAATGGTGCAGACGCGGGCTACTCCGAATGATTCGGTTGCGCATCGGCGTTTCTCAACACTGACACTGCGCGGACAATGACGGCAGCTCCCGCGAGACCTGCTCAGTACTGAAATCAACAGTATCCCATAGAAACTAGTTAGATTGACAAAGGTCAGATGGCTCAGCTTGGACTCAGCTGCAGCAACTCGACCGAGATTGTTAGCCCTGTACGAATTTACTTCGCTGGGACGGCTGTACATATGTTTAGCTATAGGTAGTCAGTCTCTACCGTACTCGTGTCGTATGATATAGGTAGAACTCCGCTCACCTCAGTCCCGGTACGAGTTAACAACTCGATTGAGTTGTAATTCAGGCTGAGGATGAACATTACATCACTTGTCCTGCGGCAGATATCGAGACCGCGACCGTTGACCTCAGGGTACACCTCGAACCTCACCAGTGACCATTGCTTGGACTCGTACGTGTCTTCAAGCTATGGCTGTCTTATTTATTGGACTGCACCGATGTTGGTGTAGTAGGTTTCGCGCAACAAAGTTGCCCCCGCAACGAGGCAGCCGATCAACTTCCCGTGTCCACACGTCGCTCTCAACAGTGCTGGGCAACATGAACAGCTGGCATCGAGACGGATACTACATTCCACCTCATACATCTGTAAAAGCCCTCAGGAGATAGGAGGATACCACCATGATGATATACAGCCGCAGAGATGATGTACGTACCCTAACTCCAGGCATATGATGGATTTGAGGACAACGTTCGAATGCATCTGTCCCATGAGTCAGTGTCATGCACGGCCTCTGCATTATTCCAATTCACTGAACCGCTGAGTCTACAGCAACGCAGGGGATCACGAGTGTTGGCCGTAATTTGCTCGAAGACGCGAAACTTTGAAGTGTCCGCTCCGCCGTCAGAAGAATCAAGGAACAGCAAGACCAGCACTGTGATGTTCTACTAGAGTAGCAGAGAACACCGAGTGTGTGCTGACGATACAACTGTGAATCTCATATTTCTGCGACTACTGCGCCATCACTCACCCTCTTTGCGATGTCTAGGAATGTGACTACTCGTTTGAGGCGGTTCAGTACCGGTGGTAGATCAAGAACACAGGCACGTACCCTGTCACCATACGCGGAGCAAACGAAACGCCTTGTTCATCGGAACGACGCCAGCCGACAGCACAGGAACGCAGTGACCACGTTTTGTGGTCTGGACATCGGATCTTGTCTGCCTTGCTCTAATCGCGGTGTCTGCGTATCAGATGCACTGCTTGAAATTCATAGATGGTCGGTAGGGACAATGTTCAATGCATAAAGCAGAGGTCTGTGAAATTGCGCCTCAGCATCTTTTCTGGCATTCGTCGCGAGCCACATACTACAGTCCATTACCGAGGTTCCCGCTATGGCTTCCTCGATACTCATGCTTATTACAGCAGCTCTCCTCATGAAGCTCGTACATGCACAGGAAACCCACTATGTCTCTCTCGTGAACAAGTTAAGTCACCAGGTTAAGGTTGTTCTTCTTGACGTTGACACACCGGGTAGTTGTGGCCAAGGTTATGTGAGTGCGCAGGACATCGAAAGAAATGCGATGCGCTGATGACGATGAATAGCCTGTCCTGGGAGGATTGTATGGCGAGTTCTACAACGCGAGCGAGACCTCGCTCTTCAAAGGCCCTGCATGGGGTCTGATTGCGTAAGGAATCATATAATGGTGAACAGGTCTTGCAATGTTGACCTTGGAAGTGGCACAGTTACCTTCAATACAGTGAGCATGCACGTTCAGGATCACGAACAATGAGCTCACCTTTGTCGGCTCGATCTAGCCGACAATAATGGCATGCATCTCGCGGCTTTCTATGCGCGGCCGATGGTATTAAGCCTTTTGGACAGGAAACAACGTATGTGGAAAGAACGGCGAAGGCTGCACAATGGTCGAAGCTTCACTCAGCGACACCGGCAGTAGCGTGGACATTACTCTCGTCCCTCCGTACGTCCCGCGTCTTGTTGGCCACTTCCAGATTGACCTATATGTCTTAGGCACGAGTTCTCGGTGACCACGGGCTTCGGATACTACGGCGGCTGCGATGGTTCCGGGCTGGACTGTGAGTGATCATCTGCGGTGAAGGCATGTATCAGACCGCAACGGATGAGATCGCAGGCACCAGCGCAGATTGCATCGAAGCCAAACATGACTCGAGCCAAGGTGACCGACAGATAGCCTGCACGGCTCCCAATGTCAGTCCATGCACATGTCTAGAGAAGTCTAGAATGGCTCTGATGTCCACGCAGGTCAATCTCGCGATCACGTTTTGTGACTGAGCTACTATTAGCAGTGGCCCGACATCGAATGATGGAGAAAGGTTACATACATTACATTCGCATTGCACGGTATTAGTCTTGTGGAGGGTGACAAGACCTACAAAGCGTTGTCCGGTCAATACATTGCTTCGTGTTACAATGGGCCATGCCGGATGTACTGCAGAACCGAGCTGACGCAACGTGTACGACTGTATTGGTCAAGACTCAATGTTCCACGACGCGAGGGTCTGCAAACAATCTGTTCAGTCGATTGCATTATTATGACCCCTCATCGTACGGCTGTACGATACGACGTAAGTATACAACATCCCAGAGATACCTCTCACAGAGGAGGCAGAGGCCGCCTGCACTGTGGACAAATGTTCTGAAAGATGGATGCAAGATTCAATGACAATCTGTACGAGAGGTGGTCTGATCTCACCTTGATAGCTAACCACTGTTCGCCGTGTACATCAGCAACGAAAAGAGACTGGAAAATCAGAAAGACGCACCCGCTCCAAACAGCTGTGTGCTAAACGACGAACGTTCAATGGCATTGACACACCAACAAATGATGATTACTCACAAATAGATGATGACATGGCGCGAGACTGTAGCTCTTCCTCGTGGAACCCAGCCTATGCGCGGTGGCAGCGAGGCCCATGACACCGAGGTCGCCCCGCTCCTTGCCGTCACTCGACTTGCTCCTCCGGCGGAGTGAAGGGTCACCTCGATCGCGTCCATGCAGATGGCGCAGTCGCCGAGGGTCTGTTCAGGCGCTTCTGGGTCGGGAAGGGGCAACGGCGGGTGATAGTCGTAAGACTTCGGTATGGTAACCTGCGAGGACAGTCAGTGAACGTAGAAGACCCGATGTGATCGAGGCGACATACACGGTTGAATAGGAAGAAGGTTGGGCCGAGGCGGTCTTGGAGGATGAGTGTGATGACCTGGGCGAACATGAGCACAGGGACGATGTATACCCATCCTGCGCCACGGAATCGTCAGTACGCATTCGCTCCTTGTCAGGTCAGACAACAGCTCACGTCGAGGCTCCACATCCAGGATATTCTTTGAGCATCCAATGAAATCTGCAACCGAGTCGATCAAAGCCGTCAATCAAGCGCTCACATTCGTGAATCGGATACTCACACAGTATGAAGAACAGCCTGCAGACGGTCGTGCCTACGAGGTATTCTGTACTGAGGCCACTACCCCTCGACCTCCGGGCAGACCTGTAAATCTGCACTGCCCAGATGAAGCTGTACATCGAGGCGACGAAGAACAGCGGAAGCGAGAGTAAGATGACGATGCGGAAGACAACGATGAGGAAGAGAGATATGATTGTCCCTGCAGTGGCGTGTACGTTCAGTTCGGCGGGCCTACTAAGGACAGCGAAACGCTTACAAAGTCTTGCAGATGGGTCTGTCCTGATATGATTCCACAGGAACCTCAGGAAGGACGGACGTTCAGTCGCAATGATGGGTGGGTTGCTGGCTGTGCTTGCTGGGGCGCTGCATTCCCTGGAGATGTACCGGAGGATGGAGCAGCTGAGGGGTGAGCGGCAACATTGTTCGAGGGGACTGGAGGGATTGGAGGTGGTGCTGGAAGAGGTGCTGGAGGCGGTGCCACGTCTTCTGGCGCTTGCACTTGACCAATAGCAACTGCAAATTGCTATATAGCATCGTCGCGATTTAGCTTATACAGGAAAAGGCACGGGGAAAGCACACACCGCTTCGTTGATGAAGAGCATACACGCCAGTCCTGCGGGAGCGAGCACAGACAATGATGCCCTACCGTCGGCCAAAATACCTAACGTGATGTGCTGTGGAGGCTCAGGCACACCTAATCTATGCAGTACAATAGATAACACTCACACCGACAAAGGAGATGGCGTCGACCAGGCTTTGTGCCAGAAAGGTATATCGCGAGACGCGATTGAGGCCTATCGCAGAACCGATGCGTGCAGTTTCTCGTGTGAGCAGCCTGAGCAGTATCAGATTGATGATTGTGGATATTCCAGCGTCTGCGGTGACGAGTTATAAGATGGGCATATAGCCTAACAATGAAGACTTACATGTGGTGATCTTCCTGTAAAGCTGCGGTGACCTATGAAGCAACGGTCAAGCACTGCTGGCGGGTGGAATGGCAGCCTCGCGTACTTGAGTCCCGTCGTCTCTTTAATTTTCAACAATACACCGCAGTCCTGGCTGACGAGCACACCATTCAGCTGCATCTCTGGCGGACGGACGGTCCAGATGCCCGTCGGCTTCTCAATCTCCTCTTCCAGTTGCTTCATCATGTCTTGAGGAACGTCTGTAGGTTCCAAGTGTCCGTACAGCCTGAAGGAACACCGTGCTTTCGGCGGCTCGTCTAGTGGTGTACACGTTTAGATGTGTACACTGAACACAAAAGTCAACGGTCGTACCGGAATCGTTTAGTACGTCCTGGTCAATAGAACCGGTGTCGATCTTCTCCTTCAGCTTGGCCATGCGAGCAGAGAGCTCAGCCTCGATGATCCGGGCAGTGTCGTTCAAACGTGAAGTGGGGACAAGCGAAGGGAGCATCCGCAGGTCTCGACCCTGACTGTACTCGGGGCGGTCAGCATCGTCAGCTCCAGCGCGAACTGCAGACGTACACAGTTTCTGCAAAGGCATAGATGGAGCCATTAGAGACGAAGTGTATGCCGTCGAAGTCAAGCCTGAGCTCTTCTGATGCCTTAGGTTCCGACAGCTCGATCCTGCCCTATAGCCGTCTGTCATGGAAGTCATACGCAAAACCTCACAAGGATACGCACATGGATGATCGCAACGTCCTCAGAGATGTTGTTGGGAACTGTCTGGTTCATGACGATCTTATCACCAACACTTATGCTCAACTTGTCGGTGGCGACCCAGTTCCAGGAGCCTAGGAGCTCGGGTAGCAGAGTAGCGTTCGTGTGCGAGACGAAGTCGTTTGCGAGAGAGCTCCATGGAAGGGCAGATTCGTTTGCAGAGAGCGACGTGAGGTTGTAGAAGTCAACCTCACCATGCCAAAATCCTGTGAGGTTGGTGTAGTATGAACCCACGTCTGGGTTGAGTACAGGACCGAAGTCGACGAAAGTGTTGACAAGTGGCATTGTGACATTGTCTTCTGTATGCTATTCCATGCATTAAGTGGAGATCAATGACCCAAGATACAGGCGTACACTGACAAGCGTGAAGTTCGAAGGAGACCCGTGCAACCAGGCTGAGAAGTCCGCCACCTGGACATTGAGTGAATCCAACGCCTTCATGTACTGATACCGAGCATCTATCTCTTCTCCACGGTTGTTCGTGAGCATGAAGAGCACAAAGCTGATGAACAAAAACGTTGGGACAGAGCCACGGCCGTTACGCTGACCAGGCGGGGTCGGGGAGTCCTCCCGACGTGGCTCCCTGCCCTCTTCCGCAGCCTCCGGGTTGTTCATGACAGCCTATGAGGGTCCCATGTGAAGAGTTCTTCCTTGTGAATTCAAAGGGAGCCAAGACTCAGGTGGTATTGAAGTCGTTAGCGTGGAGGTGGAAGTCGAGAGCCTGGAGGAGGAGGAGGAGGGGATTCCAGGATGCGGTACACGTGCAGACGACCGCGCGCACTGTGGCACCGGCGCTTCTGCTGAATCAAGTTGTTCGAGTCCACGACTGCCCCTCCTCCCAATGCGATGGAGACAATATCTTACTCGCAAGCTCGTTCAGGGGTGCGACACTTGTAGGTCGTGTCCTGTCGTGTCATCTGAGCCTGCTCAGGTGTGGCTTGGTCTCCTGGTACGTACGAGCCAAACTTCATGATCATTGACGGCTGCTCAATTTATATTGGACAGCGTTCTCAGTTTTCCCGCAGAGGTACTCAATATGTCTCGCACTCATGTACTGGGTATTACTCGTCTTGCGGTAGCTGTCATCGGTTGCGCTCAAGATACACGACCCCAAGTATCATTCCAGGTGCTCGTGAGCCAAAAGCTCTCATTACTATGGACTCGCTGTCCGTCATTATAGGCTCTATGGTGATACGAATATTTCCCGCGTGTGTGCAGGGTGCACTAAGCTTCATTAAACGGGCATTGACTCAGAAATGCTCCACTAGGTGTCTGACGACCTCCTCTTCGGTCGGCATCGTCATGAACTCCTCCAGCGACTATGGCAGTGAAAGAATTCAAGTCAGCAGATGCATGCGACCACGGTATCACACGCTACGCACCTCATTGACCGAGATGTACTTGGCAATGAAGCTGTCTCCCAAGGCTTCGCGCAGCACGCCGTCCTCCTTGAACAATCTCCTCGCATCCTCGACCGTTCTTGGTAACCTCTTCGCGTTCTCCATCCCCACTTGTTGCCTCTCCTCGTCGCTCATTGACACCACAGACTTCATGCAGTTACCAGCAGTCATTTCCGCGCCGCTCCTCACCCCTTGCACCCCGACCGCCAGCAAACCTGCCAGCATTACGTATGGATTCGCCGTCGCATCGGGGATCTTGACCTCGATATGGTGCGAGCCCTTCTCGCCGCAGACACGGATGGGCGATTCCTTGTTCTCAGCTCCCCAGCAGGCATACGTGCCTCCCGACGATATGCCATCCTGGACGCGCCAGTACGAACACGGCGTCGGAAGCATGAGTGCGCAGAGGGCGGGAAGATGATTTACGAGCGCTTGGACGAAGGAACGCTCGGTGTTGGTTAGGGTAGGAGCTTTAACGGCATCTGCGCGGGCGTAGGGGTCCGTGTCGGAGGCGTCGCTTGAATGTACGGAGATATGTACGTGTTGTCCACTACCGACTGAAGCCGTGACGTGAGTTGACGAAAGCTTCGAGAAGGAAGATACGTACAGCTGTTCATCTTTACACGGGGCGCGAAGGTAGCACGCAGGCCATGCTTGCTCGCGGTATTGTGGATGGTCTCACGAGTGTAGACGAGTGCGTCGGCGGCTTCAAGTGGCTGAAGAGGTCCAGTCACAACTTCGAACTGCCAAACGACGTCGTCTTTAGCGGAAGGGAAAGACTTGGCAAAGAACACATACCTGACCGGCTGCACCCTCTACATGGTACGTCTGTAGTTCGATTCTAGCCTCCTGGAGATTGTCTGCTATCTCCTCGATGACGATACTTTGCACAGATCCGGTGCGCAGATTGGCAGCCCTACACCATCCCTCTCTGGTGAGCGGATCCGGCTCCGGTGACGTCGCGCCCAGGAGAATGAACTCGGACTCAAAGCCACACAGGAACGTAAGTCCTGCTTTCGTCCAGCATCTCTACATACAGAGCGGTTGTCAGTAACAAGCTGACTGGCATTTATATTAAAGGTACAACATACGAGACAGTTTTGTGTAGCAGCGTCCTCGGACATATCCCAACTGCCAAACTTCCCTCTGGCGACGGGGTTTCAAGCTGAAACCAGCCCATCACCACCGCGTGTCCAGGTGCGTACGTGCATATGCGGAAGCTGTCCAGATCGAAGACGTACAAGTGCTCCCCGGTCTCGCCGAATCCTTTCGCGAAGGAGATGTTGATAAAGCCAAGCGTCCGCGCCGTCATCGGGATTCCGGGTCGCGCTTTCTCGCACAATTGTGCAAAACGCGTAGCGGGGATGACTTGGAAACGCACGGTGTTGGTGAGGTCGACCCACTGCACGCGCACGTACCTAACCCCATGGTCGGCCAGTCGCGAATTCCATGCGGATGCGCGGGTAGGTACATCCCGAGGATGCTCTTGTTTGCTGAGTAGGTGCTGGAAGGTCGCGGCGATGACCATGGTTGTGGATTCGCAGTTGACGAGAAGTGCGCTTGTGGTGGTTGCATCGACTCTCCTCTGCTTTTATATGCAAGGTATGCACTCCCGTGGCTCCACAACGCCCGAGAGACTAAGTAGTCGTGATCATGCTGGAGCCGAGCTCCGAAGTGCGGGCTGCTGGCGGGATATGATCATCCAGGACGGAGTGTCTGGCATGCCTTGGCAAAGCGAACACGTACAACACGTACTTCTGTGGACGTGAGCCGTAAAAGGGTTCCATCCCTGCCCAGCGCTCCATCAAGGCAGGCGACTATTGAGTCTTCGGGACCCAACTGGACGTGTCGAGCTTTATCTGCGGCGAGGGCCTTGTTTGAGGCCGAGGTTTCGATGACGTGTCTTGAAGGACACCGGAAGCAAAAGCCATGATTATATATGATCTACATTGCAGGAGCAAGAAGTGTGGGATACGCATTCGAAATGACATCCTCTCTCATGGCGCGTTGTGGCTCGTGACAGACAGGCGAAGGCCCCTTGCGCTCGAGCGTTCGACGGTAATGCACATTCCCAGGTCGTACAGCCAAGCGCAAGCTACGCCCATGACGCCATAGCATGTAGAGAAGGAAGTCAAAACGTTGGTCAATCAAGTCCCTTGTGATGCAATGACGCACTGGACGTTGCATACCACTACTCGGTTCTTCATCGAGCTCAACGGAGAGCAGTTAGCGCACTTCCATACAGGGGAGTACTGTGCATATTGGAAGGAGTTTCTCCCAGGACTCTGCTTCGCGCAACGTGCTGCCTCTACACGATGCAAGGATGCGATCTAGGTTCATCGCGAATCTGAACCTTGTTGCACCCTACGCCCTTCCCACTGTTTATTGCATCGTCTGGTTGTCGACCTCCTGGACTCGGTCGAATCCTACTAGCCCGGTATACCCCGCATAACATTTCTATAACAATGGAGTTTGATGACGGTGCTGCAATTTGGGCAAGCGCGATGTCTGCTCAGCACATCGATCAATCTGAAGTCGACGAAGGGTAGTCTCTGATGAATGTATGTCCGTTGAATCTTCATTTGTTATGCATCAATAATGAAACCGCTCAGTTCGTGCTGGCGACGCTGACCTCAAGATACGCTCTTGCGATGAATGCTCTTCAAAGTCCATCAGAGGACAATCGACAATACTCGGAGGGCCTGCTCGGAGACGGCGTGCCTAATAGTCGGGGCGAGTTTGAACTGAAGGAAGATAGCAAACATTGGAACTACTGTTCCAGTATATGTATAGGAAACGACCTGACATTGGGTCCATTTCCTTTGACATGCTTCGCAGCGTCGCTGACGCTGCGGATGTCTATCAAATGGACGCTTTCGGTGAGAGATGTGACTATCAATGAGGTGAAGTGACGTGCATTCGTCTGTACGAACTCGTCGCTGACTCGGATACGTTCTACAGATCGCAAGTTCGGGCACATCCTATGGATGTCCTTGCATACGCGACCAAGCGAAGCTTTCCGATGTCGTCGACGAAGCTGCGCTACGAACAATTGGCACCGATGTTGAGACGGCGCTCCAAGCGCTTGGCCGGAGACATTCATCCCCTGGGTCAGTTTCCGTTGACCGGCTGTTGAGCATACAGAATCCTGACGCGAACGCACTCAGATCCTTTATCGGGAGAAGTGGATTCACATCATGCGCGATGCCAACGACCCTCCCGTCATCATGCATAAGGGTGGTCTCCAAAGTTGCAACTTGTGGTACACGTATTACAGGTCGGTCACCAACGACCTCCGCAATTTCGGCCCAGGAGAGGTCCAGGAAGGCCGCAGCGTCTTCGGGAGGTATCGCAGTTCCCTCAAGAACTGCACGCATTGCAAGATTAGAGCGGACAATTGGGCGAGAGCCTTCGAAGCTGCCCCTGGGAGAATGCCAACGTTCGGCTCTGTTGTCTCCGAGACGGTTCCCTGATACGCCTAGTAGCACATTCCTCCTTCTATTATGGGGCTCATGCTGGTTGTCGCTTCTACCAAAACTCCACTGATAGTCTATGTTACAGACATCTTGCGTATCAGTAGTCTATGTTACATACGTCTTGCGTGTCTATGTTACAGATGTCTTGCGTATACAGGTTGTTATGTCGCATCTATGTAGTGAATGAGCGGTCAGTGCTATAGTACAGTAGTAGTGGTTTCGGAATTACGCCTCCTTCAGCTTCGATCGCTCCTCTATCACGCGCCCATTATTCACGAACCTCGACAACACCTCGACCATGGGCCGTCTACACTCCTTGGAGTTGAACTGATTCGAATGGTCCAGGTCCGGATAATACAGCACCTCCAGGCCGTCCTTGCTCCACCGAAGTGTCACATCCTCGGTGCCCGTGAGGTACTTCATCACCTCCCGCGCGTCGACGATCTGGTCCTGGCCACAGAGCACGACCGCCGTCTCGCAGCCCTCGAGGTCCTCCTTCCAGAGCACGTTCTCCGTCCAGAAGAAGTGCCGCGAGAGCGCGCGCGAGATGTCGGGGTCGCGGCTCGCGAGGTACCACAGCTGCCACTCGGCCGCGGAGCGCGGCTCGCGGTACACGAAGTTGTACGCGATGCCCGGGAGGTAGAGCAAAAACGGGATCGGGTCGACGAGCATCGTGGACACGACGCGCGGGGCGAGCGCGGGGTCGTGCAGGATGTGCGCGGCGAGGACGGTGCCGTAGGAGTGCGAGGCGAGGACGAACGTGGAGATGTTGTGGTGCCGGAGCACGTTCGTGAGCGCGGCGAGCATGTCGGCGCGTCGGAGGGGCGGTGGGGCGATGCGCATGCAGATGGAGAGGTTCTCGACGGCGATGATGCCTACGTCTGGGTCATGGACCGCTAGCTCGCGGAAGAACGTGACGTAGGGCCAGAGCCCGATCTACAGCCATGTCAGAACGGTGCTGATGGAAGAAACAAACAGCGCACCCCGATGCCGTGGAGGAAAACGACGGGTTGTTTGGTCTTTGAGCGATGAGGTCGGTACCAGTACGCGAGTGAAGGCTCGGGTGTGCGCTGCGAGAAGAGCGACGATAGCCGGAAAGGGAAGGAAGAAAAAGGGTTTCCGGCGTCGCGGTGCTTGAACCCTGCGAGTGCCAACCGGACGCAAGTCACCGTATCGAGTAGACCCACAATCTGTGCGTGGTCAGACCTCCGACAGGGTATGGCTGAGAAACCGAGACTCACCATGTACCAAACCAGCGGCCTGTGCAGCATGACAACAGGATCCAGCGTCAGGCGCATGCACCTGGCCGCCTCGCTCCAGCCGTCTTCCAGCGGCTTGCCCACGTAATTGTCCAATATTGCTAAGTAGCCCTCGATTTCATCATCCCATTCCGGCCGTGCGCTGCCGCGGTTGCAGCCGAAGAGGGCCCACAGGAGCCATTCCCGCATGTTCTCGCGCTTGATGAGCGAAACATCGCCGCCGAAGAACCAGCCGGAGGCCATGTTCATCTGGGCAATGTAGACGAAACATTTCCCGAAGAGCGCTTCGCGCTCCTTGCGAGAGAGCGGAGGAGGATGGGTTGCAGCCTAAGGGACGTGTTAACACGGGAATATGATACGCTGAAAGGTGGAAAACCGGGCCAGGACCTCTGATAATTGGGGAGAAAGCCTGAATCAAATCCTAACGAAATTGGGGGTTTCGAAGGGGAGCGTGTCTGTTTCGCGGTCGCCCGAGGGGTGAGGAGCATCCGGACATGGATAGCCCAGATGCTCTCGTGCACAGCGTCGACGCACAATCACCCCTCGGAGGGCAGAGTCCCAACAGAGTCCTGTATCGATGACGAGTCCGTCCGTAGAGCCCTGAGGAAAAGTGCGGACAAATCGTGCGACTATCCGCCCCTCCTACTCCTCCTCCTCCTCCTTCGGACAAGCCAGATTTTATTACGACTTTTTCAGCTAGGTCCAAAACGTTGGACCCCGCCTAAAAAGCGCGTATAAGAGCGGAGGTCGTCGGACGTTGGTTTTCAGCAATCCGGACACTGTGACTGTGCCGCCCAACTTGGGCCACCGTAGCCAACGATGCGGACGTAGCTGTTAGACGCAAATCGCCAATTTTGTTCGGACGAAACGGCCAAATCCCGGAAGTCGCGGATCAGACCTGCCCCATATGCATATAACCAGGGGTCCTCTCGGGCCACGGTAGTTGCGGACGACTGACCTTTTGAAGCAGAAAGGATCGCGGGAGATATACGAACAAGTAGAAGCACACCTCAACCAGCGCGTATGCTCCGAGCCACGGAGAGTACAGAAACCGGCCTTCCCGCCAGCTGGCGAATATGTAGACAAAACTCAGAGGGGCTATGAGACGGAGGCCAGCGATGGAGGTGCGGATGAAGATGTACTCCGGAACGGAGTTGCCTATCATGTTGGCTGTCTACTAGGAGTCGTCACGATTGTTGCGGTCGTTCACAGACTTGATTGTGGAGGGGAGGGGTGTGTAAGTATTAATGGGAGTCCTGCGCATAGTATGATAAGTTATGCACATCTTATGCGAATTGCAGAGTGAGTACTCTGGGGCGGACTGCAGTGGGGTTCGTCTCCTTCCGCCACCGTGCCGAGTATTAGGTGTCGCACAAAATGACGGAGGAGGTGATTGCAGGTGATTGTCAGAATGATCAAAAGGCTAGACCCAGACTCTTCCTCTCAATGGTCATTCAGACGCGGACGCAGACGCTGAGACGCCCCGTCGCGTGCGGCGTACCCTCTCTGGGCAGTCGCTCATCGTGGGCTCAGGCTTCGCGTCGATGAAGTCGCTCACGTTGCGCATCGAAGGCGAAGACGACGTTGAGGCCGCGCAAGGTACGCCGGCGGGGCGGGCGGTTGCAGGCGTGCTAGAGGACGGGCGGAGCCCCGGCGGGAGCGTCTACCTGCACCCATCGAGGTTCTTACCTGGTGCGGTGGGGAGGAGGCAAAGCTGTCCCACAACTTCACACAATCGAAGGGTCCGCGGGTTCTTTTCGCATAGTACCATTCTTATACTTATTCAATGCATGCATGAATATTTTGGGTGTTTCCGAAGGCAGGAATATGCTTTCGGCAGCCGTGCAAACGAGAGACTCGCCCTCCCGCTAAAAACAGACAGACCTTTGCATTTTCTTTCAACGCGTATTACGTCCCGCCCTCTGAGCATCTATAACAATAATGATAGCATGCAAAGCAATTCAAAAGCTGTTTTTGAAGAGTTTTGTGCATATCTGGTCCGTTTTGCAAAGCCTGCTGGGTTAGCCACAAGTATCCCCGATCCGGTTAGCTCAGAGTCAGAGTCTCAGACTGCCGGATAAGGCAATTGACGTCGCTGATTACGGCTTCGCGAAGCTCCGTTGCGGAGTCACTACTGCTCTCTTTGGTTGTACAAGGAAAAATTCGCTTTCAGAGCGCGTCCGAGCCGCATCACCCCAAACGTGCATGCACTGACTCGATTTCGGCGAGTAATTATATAATGATACCTCAGAGCGGTTGGCGACTCAGAGTTCCGCTTGTCCACAACATCCGTCTCTACCTCTCCCCACCTCCGAGTCTACTTAGCAGGACGCCATGCTGCCGTACGCGCATCCCCATATTCCACTTGATGTGGTAGAAGAGATCTTCAAGCATCTGTCGCCATATGCCCTGAGCAAACACGACCGTTTACATGATACTAAAGGCATGTACGCTGCGCAGGCAACCCTTGCTAGGTGTGCCCGAGCATGCCGCGCATTTCAAAGGCCTGCCGTGGAGGTTCTATGGAGGGAGCAACAGCTCATCCACGCTTGTGGCGTCCTCCCGAACTTCGCTCTTGCCAGCTTCAAAGGTCCGGTGATAGACGACCCCTATGAAGATGACTACGAAGGAAACGACGACTGGCCCGAAGACGTCAATCCGCACGCTGGCAATCGTCCGAGTCATCGTACCTATGTGAGTCTCCAGCACTAAACATTCTGTGGCAACGCCGTAGTCATGATGTATCGATATGCACAGTATCATCTACCAGGACCTATCTCGTCCGACGAATGGTCCCGCTTCGAGTATTATGCGTACTTCATCTGCTCTCTCCATTATGGCATCTCGGAGAGACTGGATTCGACCATTTTCTTCTATCTCCGTCAACACGCACACGACAAACCGCTCTTTCCCAACTTGCGCAAGCTAGAATGGGACCATGCCACCCCTGACCTAGCCATGGTCATCTCACCAACCATCCGTGTTCTCCGGCTTTCAGAGCGCGGCCACTCTGATGGCGAAGAGCTCGAGTATTGCAGGCAGCGCCACGCATTCAAGACGCAGCTCCCGAGCGTACTTCGCAGCCTCCTGAACGTGCAAACGCTGGAGCTACTACGACTCGGCCATGAAGGCTTCTGGCATCCATTCGCGCCAGGTCCGGATCACCAGTTCGTCGCTCAAAATATTTCCGTGCTGCACATATCGGAGCCGTATAGCGCTTTGATGAAAGGTGCCCTTGCGTCTGTGTCGACGATCCAGACACTTACGCATCTGAGGATCGAAGTCGTGCTCTCGAGCCGCACGGGTGACGACGGGGAGCTTCAGGTTGGGACAAGACGCGTATCCGCACATTTGCAAGACTACGGCGCCTGCAGATTGAGGCGAACATGGGACAGTCCGCAGTCATTCTCGATGCTATCGTCGCACCCAACCTAGTGGACGTCGAGGTGAAGCGTGATAGCGAGAGTGATCCTTGCAAGTACCCATTCACGCTTCCGGAGGCCTGGAGCCACTGGGTAACCGGAATGCGTCGTCCCTACGGAGGCTCTACCTCGGCTTGCAATACTACTACATACCCGAGTGGTCTCGAGGAGACGTGCGGGCACGGAACCGATGTTCCTCACCCTGACGAAGCCATTGCTCCAGCTTCGCCAGCTCCGGGAGCTCACATCTACGTCTACCCTGGCAGAAACCGTGGTCCTATCGACATACCTCTGCCTTCTATGTTGGCAGCGTGGCCGATGCTGCGGATCCTCGTCGTGGAGGTGGCCATCTTCACACCCGAAGCGCTTCGAGCGGTCGTGCACGCTTGCCCTCAGCTGAAGAGCCTGACTGGCAAGTGCCTGTCGGATGACTTCCTGAAGCTGCCCCCTCTGCCGGCGGCGTCCGACCAGCGCGGCGGCTCTCGTGGCGCCGTGTCCGACTCTGCGGGGCATGGGCTTCTTCAGCTACGCTTCTTCAGTGCCACCAAAGTAGATGATCCTGCGGACATCTCGAAGATCGCACACTTCCTGGACGAGCTGTTCCCTCAACTTTGCGTCGGGGTGTGTGTGGATAAAAACTCCTACGTATTCGAGAATCAGGAGAATTGGAAACCCATCCTGCTAAAGATAGAGGAGATCTCAAGTCGTACGTGCTAGTGTTCTTGTTCGATGCCTCCTGCTCTTCGTAGTTTGCTCAATATGGACAAGGTGACGTATTCGTAAAACGATAGTAGTGGTCTACCATTCACATTGTCTTCTGTGTTCGGCACGGTTGCTGAGTACTGTACGACCGCTTACCAGTTCAAGCTTTGGTATTTGAGGTTCGAAAACGGTACATAGTACTTACCGTACTACGAGTCACCGATCGCATCGTTCAGCTGCTTGATAGTCGCACTCATCGTCTCAATATGGAATCATCTCATTCTAAAGTGACTATGTGAACACTACATCATCTCACCGTCTACTACGGTGGCTAAAGCTTGTGAATTTCGTATGGTATTGACCCCTCATAGCTATCGCATGCATGCGCAGACTCAACTCCAGTGGACGTTGTGAACCCGAGGATTTGCCGTGGATGTCATCACCATAGCGCTCGAATGTCAATATTCGGGCCCGGACGTGCGTGTGTACGACGAAGCAATATTTGACTTGCTCATGCTTGTGATCTGCCAATCAAACGACTAACTTGATTCGCGTGTAAGGTTCTGTCGTAAGTGGCCCATAAGTATCAGCACGGGTGCAGAGAGCGTAATCAGTCCAATCTTCTTCCCTGCTGGTATGAGCGCAACTTCCAATTTCGCGGTGACCTACACTGCAGCCCAGCTTTCGACACCGAGGTACACATCCGTTGCAGACTTGCGACTAATGAGCGCGGAATCAAGTACGTGCGCGTCCAGTACGTCGATTACTCGAACATGGTACGCTTCCGGGTGTTGCCCGTCTCGTACTTCAAACGGGTCTGCAAGCTCCCACGTCCGAGCCTCAACTTCTTGCGTTTTGCTCTCGCGTTCGTCGGCTCCCAGGTCGCGGAGGGATTCAGCAGTTCCGATGAATGCGTCCATGTGATAGACCTGAACACTTCCGTGTATGCACGTACGCACCTGGACATGCCGTCGTGATGGCGTGGTTTCAGGAGAAGATGCCCTCGCCGACCGGTGAGCTCGCAATGTCGCTGTGTCCTAGGACGATGCTACAGAAGGTGGTCGACGAGGCCAAACAGGAGGCCGATCTGACGTTCTTGGTCGGCTTCGAATCCGAATTCATCCTGCTGAAGGCGACGTCACCGCCGGAGCTAGTGAATGACGCGGGATGGGGCTGCTCTGCGGGCTACCGCACAGACTCAGTCGAGAGCCGCGTGCTCGACGAGATTGTCGATTGCGTCGAGGATGCTGGTATCGAGGTGCATTTTATTCACGGAGAGACCGCTCCTGCGCAGGTATTAGTCCATCATATTCTCAAAGCATATGTCTGACTCACCATGTTGATGTTTCCAGTACGAGCTAGTGACGGGGCCGATGTCACCTCTCGAGGCAGCCGACGCTCTGGTCTTCACGCGAGAGACAATATATAATATCGCCCATAAGCACGGGCTTCGGGCGACCTTCGCCCCGCGACTGTTGTCCGATACCCGTGAGTGTTGTCGCGATCATGTGCAATACCATACAGAACCATTTTGCTAACGTTGATGTCCATTCATAGTCGGCAGTGGAGCGCATATGCATCTGTCGTTACACTCAAGCGTGCCTGTCACAGAACCCGACTCCAGATCAGACGCTGCACTGGCACAGAAACTCACACCTACCGAACGCTCCTTCCTTCAGACCCTTGTGGAGCATATCGCTTCCCTTAGCGCGATCACCCTACCCACCAATGCCTCCTACAACCGCGTTCAAGATGGCATATTCTCCGGCGGGACCTACGCGTGCTGGGGATGGTATAACAAAGACACGCCTATCAGGGTTTGCGGAGAAGACGGAGCCCATCAATTCGAGGTGAAGACGATCGATGGCACGTCCAACCCGTATCTCGTGTCCGCGGGTGTGTTGGCAGCTCGGTTGAAGGGCGTACTGAATGGGGCGGAACTGAAGACTGGAAGTTGCGCCAAGTCTGTGGCACAAATGAGCGAAGAAGAGAGGAGGGAGGTCGGGTTGGAGGATCCTCGTCGCTTCCCGCGGACAGTCGCCGACGCGAGGCGCATGTTGGACGAGGATAACTTCCTGAACCGGGCGTTGGGTGCTGAGTTTGTGGGTGTGTTTCTGGGAGTAAGCAAGGTGCGTCATATGGTCCGATCAATGAGTCAAATGCCCTTCAGACTCACGATGATACTCACTTCCATAGCTGTTAGAAGAACAGATGACGCTGCCTACGGAGGAAGCGACGATCGCACACCTTGTCCAAACGTTCTAGTACGATACCTTCACGGGTCGTCTACAACCTTTGCATGATTGATACGGAGAGCATACTTAGGCTGCCAGTGCGCGTCGAACGCGCGTGGCGCTTTCGACGTGATGGGTAACGAAGTGCATGTCCGACGCTACTCAAGCAATGAGTATTTGCTCAGTCGTGTGAAAACAGATAAGGGAGGCGTACATCACCTCTAAACCCTGAGTATGGCCTAGCCAAGGAGAAAATCGTGTAAGTACCATACCAGATCGACCTCGCAATGAAGCACATTGGGCGGGAAGGTTGCTGTGTGTTCTCGCTCTTCATCCGGTTCAAATCAGAATGCCCACTCTGTCCCTTAAGACTCCCCAGTCTGAGATTAGGCGTGGTCAGCGCTCGCACAAAGGGCCTACTACTGCTCCATACAGAATGTCGAGCACGTACTTACGGTCGCAGTGATCAACGGCAGCGGTGTGACACGCGCAAGAACCACGGGAGTAGCCTGCCAACTTGCTGCCTAAATGCGCGGGTCCGAAAGACTCTTCATGTGCGTGGAGAATTGAGGAGGACGATTCCGAGTCTGCTGAACATCCTCTGGTCTGGCAGTGGCAGCCTGAGTGGTCAGGACCTCGGCCTCACTGTGCAGTGACTACGCGGTCACGTGCTTTCACCGCTAAGCGCGTGGACAGCATCGACGACCTCTGCTCTGAAGGCTCAGTGCCGCGACCATGCACTGTTTCTCATCTCATGAATGGTACCTGAAACGACCTGAGCGACACACTACTAGCTCGAGCTTTGTGAACCTCTATTTTTGATCGGAAACTATCACTTCTTCCGAACAACCGCTCCCGAGTAGTAGCGACCGCCGAACGCTCGCCCGTGTGCCGCCGCAGCTCGTGGAGCGTGAACCGTCTTCTGAAGAATCACTCTCTGTCCACGAAGCTACCACGAGGAGCCTCAGGCAGCCGCTCACCGGCACCTGTCCTACATCGATGAACTCGTACGCCAGCACGTCCTCCAGCTCTCCGACAGTTCGAATGCCTTGTGCGCAGAGAACGTGTCGCGGGCAGAGTGGATTCTGCGACATCATGCCGTTCTGGTACATATGGCATGACCCCTTCCATGCAGCAGTCAGCTTGTCGCTTTGATTGCCCCGCTATTCGTTAACACAGATGCAGGTTTTTGGGCGGCGTTCAAGTCGCTCAACTCAGAGCCTCGTGGTACCCGGTCTGCGCTGCGTTTAGCAGATTCAATGGTACTATGATGTGGTGCTCCGCTGAAGCGTTGTCTTGAGTTCGCAGGGTCTTGTCTATTTTTTCTAGGTCCATGGCCGCATGCCAGGCTATCGAGAAGGACGATTCGGGGGTTTCAATACTTATGTAGCGCTTCTGCGCCGTCGGCCCTGTGAGTAGACGTTATCATGAGATATGCTTCTACGGTCCTTGGCGTCTCTGACATAATTGCTTTGACGGTTGAATGGACCGAATGCAGGGTCGGATTCGCGCTGTCCGGTAATTCGCGGCCCTGGTTGGTTCCCGTCATGTCCACGATTAGGCGTTGAAATAACATGTCCGACCGCAAGATGGGCGGCGAACTGCAAACAACAATGGTCGTTCCTCGCGACAGGTCTTCCGGCTTCTTCAGAAACCGACTTTTATACCTGTGTGACCACCGTCGGAGGCAGGTTTGTCGCCAGTGACACGCCATGGCTACCCTGGTGAGCACACGCTTGGATCAGGATGCGAGTAGAAGTGCCAATGTCACCTATCGCGCCTATTTCTTAGGGGAACGTGCTCCGGACATGCTGTTCACCGGATGTTCACCTGGTCTCTAGTGCTGCGCAAAGTTCAATTCCTCCTGTCTGACTTCAATGATGGGCCTCTCCGCCGTGTGGACGCATCAGGTGAGGACTCTGGCCACTTGACGTCTTCAACCGTCTTCTATTCTACAAGTCCATCGTCGTTTACCCTCTAAATCGCTACCTACGCGGTCTCGATTGGTTCGACTCATGATTATAGGCTAGCATCAGGCGAGACATACATCGGTGAACGAAAACACCGGTAAAAAAATGGTGTGTACACCGAGGATTTCCTGAACGCGTGTTCTGGGAAGTAGGTGAAGCGATGTCACTTCTAGGGGCACAATGAATATTATTTGGTTCGCAGCACCTGCCAGTGGTTTGCTGATGTGCGACTGGTTGGTCATCGGCTACATTCGCAGCAGCGGGAGAGGTGTTAAAGTTATAGCGTCTCAGTCTCGACCTCGTGGTACTCGACTATTATATTGATCTACCTGTTAAAGTTATAGCGTCTACGAGGCACAGTATTAGTGTCCATCGTCCATGAATACAGCTACATAAACGGCTTACCTCAGTCTCGACCTCGTGGTACTCGACTGAGGTGCCTCCAGTCTACGCGTGTCCGTCAAAGTCCGTTCGTACGTCACGTGTCCGTGTCTAAACTAGCGCCCGCGTCTCGGTCCCACCTCAACACTCCCCCTGGGCCGAGACGCGCATGTACTGTAGGTGTTTCTGTAACGTAGGTAAACTAAGGGCTTTCGTAAAAATGTCTGCGGGGTTCTCGGCTCCAGGAATATGAACAATCTTCAACAACTTACCACGGATTGCCTCTCGCAACCAATGGTACCTGATGTGCAGGTGTCTCACCCGCGAGAAGTTCGCGGATCGCGTCGCCAAACTCTCGCCCCCAGCACTATCCATCCGGATGACGATAGGACGTTCCACGGGGACGTAGATCTCATCCATGAAGTTCGCGATCCATACGCCCGTCTGCCCGGCGTGCACAGCGGCGATGTACTCGGCCTCGGTAGTCGACAACGTCACCACTTCCTGGCGGCGCAAGCTCCATGAGACAGGTCCTCCCGCCATCATCACTACGTGCCCGTGCGTCGATCGTCCCGTGTCTTGGCAGTCGCCCTGTGAAGCATCCGAGTAGATGGTGGGCTGTAGTCCCGCTACGTGGTTCCCGTCGTAGGTAATGCCGTGGTCGAGAGTCCCTCCGATGTAACGGAGGACCCGTTTGAGCGCACGCCAATGGTCATATGCAGGGTTCGCCATGAATCGGCTTAGCAGCTGGACGGGATACGCGAGATCAGGTCGGGTTGCAACGGCGAGGTACATGATCGCGCCCAAGGCCTCGCGGTAGGGGATCTTGTCCATCTCTGCTCGCTGCTCTGCGGTCGCCGGCTCAGAGTCCTTCGACAGTTTGGTGCCTGGTTCGAGCGGTGTACGGACTGGGTTTGAGTCCTTCATCCCGAACCGGTCAAGCACTCGCTCCGCGTACGCACGTTGCGACATGCGCATCGTCTTGAGTTCCCGGTCCCGCTCGATCAGGACACCAAGCATGTATTTGAACTCGCCTCCCCCGCTGAGCCGGTACCGCACAGCAAGCTCGGATCGTACGTTCGTCAGGCCAGTGATCGAGTCTGCGGCTTCACCGATGTCGTCCGTGTACGTCGTAGTGATCGCCAGTCCTTCCTCGTCGAACCTCGCACGTACGCACTCGTCCGCTCGCGAGCGCGAGAACCCGAGCTCCTGGTACGTCTTGTCGAGTTTCTTCCACCAATCGTTACCCGCCTGCATGCATCCATAGAGCCCTCGGACCATCCTACAAACATGAGTCGGGAATTCCTTAGAGACGTACCCGGCCGGTTGCTCCATGTATATTGTTTCCTCTGGGGACGCGTTGAGGTACGCTTTCTCCACGTCATCCTGACCCATCTCCATGTCTCGCACGACGGCGGTGGCACACACAACGCGCAGGGACTCGAACCGGACGACTGACGCGTGAGTCTCGAAGTAGTCGATGCCGGGGATTTGCTGGAAGCCCTTCGCCACCAGCCGTGCCTTCGGCTTCCATCTCCCCTCCGCCTCCTCATCCCCGTCAAACTTACGCGCATACACCCACTTGTTCCCAATGACGTTCATGTCCGGCGTACGAGGTACGAGTTCCCAAGCGTTGATCTTCGCTAGCCCGTTGATTTCACTATCCATCGAGGGCGTCCAGATCTCGGGTTGGCGGCTCGCCTCCTTGTAAGACTCCGGGGTCTTCCCTCCACGGTACCATCGTGTTTCTCCGTCCTGACCTGCGGGAGACGCCTCCGTGAACATCGCGATGTATGCGCCTTCCGGACTTTGGTTCCGGCCCACCCCTCCGTCGTCGTCTGCAGTCCAGGCCTCGCCTTTACTGCGCGCCGCCTGCTCTCTCGCATCCGACTCTTGCGACTCGCGCAACTTCTGGCTAGGCACCGCTGTCCTTGCGGATCGACGTGGGGCGTTCACCTCCTCGGGTAGCGCCAGAGCAGGTACGTCTTCGTCTCCAGGCCTCGGCTCCCCCGTGGCTGCTTGCCCCAGCTGCGCATCGGGTTCTTCGGCTGCAACCTCCTCGTCTGCATTGGGCTTCGAAGCCTCATTGACTGTCACTTCGAGAGGCGCGTCCTGGATCGCCAAGATGCGGTGACCCGGTCCTTCCTCGAATATGACGTCGCGGCTACGAATGATTCGGCCAGACGCTGGGTCCCACAGGCGGTAGTTCGCGTTTTCGGTGTATCCGACGAGGATGCATCGAATCGACTTAGGGTCCAGTTTCGTCCGAGTCTCGTCAGGGACCTTCGCCCAGGCGACTGAGCCGAAGGCTCGCAGATGCGCAACGTTTGGCACATGCCCGAACCATCTCTCATATGGGGTCCGGCCCTTCTGGCGAGCTGAAGCCGTTAGGTTCTCCACGTACGTAGCCGTTTTGTATGCCTCTCCCCACAAGCCTACTGGTAAGCCGGCGTCGATGAGCATCGACCGGGCGTGGTCGCCTAGCGTTCGATGGCCGCGTTCTCCGACTCCATCCTGCTGAGGAGTGTAAGGCGTCGTCATCTCATGGATTATGCCATGCTCTCGGTTGAAGGCAGCCCATAGAGCGTTATTGAACTCGTTCCCGTTGTCGGTACGAATCCGGCGAAGCTTCTTCCCTGTCTGGAGTTCAGCCATCGTTCGATACCCGCTGTACGAGTCGAGGGTCTCGGTCGCCTCCTTAGTCTTTAGGAGGTCGAGGACCTTGAACGAGGACCCTCCATCGTTGATCGTCATGCTGTAATAAGCGCCGCCCATCGACGGCTCGCGTGCTCGTCCCGTCAGGTCGATGTACGCCCGTTCCAGGATGTCCTCCTCGACGCTGGAA